CGGCATAAATAGGGTCTTATTGTGGGAGCTTAGATGGCGCAGTACATCTCGTGCAAGTTCTTTCGTCGAGCGCATCGAGTTGGGTTGAGGAGCTGCGCATCGCGCGGTGCGTCGCGTTGGACGTGCGCTGGACGGACGCCAACGTCGCCGCCATGGCTTTGAGCATCCTTTGCTGGTTGGCCACGACCTCGAGGAGCTGCGACGCCCAGCGCGGCACGTGCTCGTCTTCGTCGTCCATCTCGGTGTCGTCCATGTCGCAGAAGCCGTCATTGACTTCGTCAAAGCTGTCGTCTCCGTCGTTCGCATCTTCGTCCTCGGCGGCACTCTGACTCGAGTCAGCGTTGCTGCGCAAGGACTCGACGCTGCTATGGATCACACACGTACTCAGCTTGCGCAGACTCGAGAGGCTCCTGGGCCCGTCGTCCAGGATCGGCGATGGCTCCACGACGTGCAGGTGCGCCGGTGGCTCCAACACGCGGAGTCGCGTCGCCGCCGTCACTTGCGTCGGCTTGACCGAGACCATGATCGTCTGGGTGTGCTTCTTGGACGCGTTCTTACGGGCCTGCTTGGGCAGAATCGGCGACACCTTGGCCAAGTTCGAGCGCACGCTCTGCGTTCGGCGCTTGAGCAGACGCGCGACCGTTGGCATCGAGAACTCGTCGGCCTTCTCGTCCTCCACGTGGCCTTGCCCCGACGGCATCTCTAGCGGCAGCACCGACACGCGCGTGTCGGATATCGTGCTTGGAAGCGAACCTCGGTGGCGACGCACCGGTCGAGAGGACCTGGCTTCCTCGCCCACCGTCGGTGGCACTTGGTCATTTTTTGGATCTGGCGAGGGCGCGGGTGTCTCGGTCGTCGACGATGCACTCGGTGGTGGCGCGCTCGTGTCGTGGGTGGTAGACTTGTTGTGGCGCTGCGCGAGCTGCTCGCGCAGCTGGTTGTGTCGCTGGAGAAAACCCGGGTCCTGCCCCAGCGCGACGAGCTCCCCGGTCGCGAGGCTCCTTGCAACCACGTCGCGCACCATGCTTTTGCGAATGATGCGGCGCACAGACGGAAAGTTGTTGGTGACGTCCTCGAGCGCCGACCGCGTGAGACAGCTCACCTCGACAAAGCAGAGCGCGCGCACGGACGCCCGGCGCTTGGCCGAGAAGAGGAGGCCGCGCTCGCCAAAGTACGCGCCTTCGTGCAGCACGTTGACGACGACGATGCGGCCGTCGCTGGCCATGCGCTCGACCTGGCAGCGCCCGCGGTTGATGATGTACATGGACGTGCCGATGCGGCCAAACACCATGATCATCTCGTTGGGCGGGTACACCACTAGACATTCGCAAAAATGAATCTGAATCGCAATCTCAACTGGAATCGTACTCATCTGGAGGCGGAGCGCGATCGCGGCTAAAAAGTCTGGGGGCGCGCCTCGAAACTGATGCACGGAGCTCAGAATGTGCTGGAACTTGAAGAGCGCGACTTCGTCCCGGATCGCGGGGCTCATCGAGTGGAGGACTTCGGCAATGTCGCCGATCTTGGCATCGCGCTTGTACAGGAGGTACTTGCGGATGCGGATGCGGAGGTTCTGCGGAATGTTGTTGACGTCCAGAAAGTCGTTGACCTCGTCCTAAACCACGACCGAATCGACTCGAGTTGGCGCGGGACGGACATCGCACCATGCGGCGCTGGAACTCGAGCGTGTTGACGTTGAGGCCCTCGACGAGTTGGCACATGGTACCGACGACGTACGCGTACACGCACGCGCCGAGAAACATCATAATGACAAACAAGGCTCGCTCCGTCGTGTTGGCCGGGTAAATGTCGCCGTATCCGATCGTCGTGATCGTCTAGAGATGTCGTCCATCGAATTCAAGACAATATTATGCATCGAGCGAGTACCATCGCGGCCCAGTAGACGGCTGCAATGTACGCGTCGCCGAGATAGTGCTCGGACGTCAAGCCCCCGTTGAGGCTAGCCGTGCTGAGCCACGTCGCTTGCGGCGCCGTCATGATGGCCACCAAGTACACAAAGCAGGCCATCCACTACATGTAAAGCACACACATGATGATGATCCATCTATCCTTGGCATACGTGGGTGAGAAGGAGGATGCCGGCGGCAAACTTGATGAGGCGAATCCAGCCGTACTTGATCGAGATGCGCATTTCGTAGCGCTTGAAGATGCGACTGGCCACCTACGCCGAGCGCTGCGGGCCACATCGATCAAGGTTTCAAGACATACGACGATCTTGAGAATTTTGGTGAGGCGAAACATGCGGAGGAGCCGTGGCAGCTTGAGGAGGTTCGAGTTGCCGCCGCCTGACGGCAAGAAGGTCGCGAAGTAGTCAAAAGGCACGATCGAGATCAAGTCGATGGGGAACCACGTCGTGAGGTACTCGTGCGCCCGGGTCCGCGCATCAAACTCCAAGTCGCCTTTCGGGGTGGTGTGCGGCGTCCGGAAATTGATCGCAATGTCGGTCAAGAAGATGGCGTCCGTGAGGCGGTCGACGGCGAAGAAGGGCGCCCAGTTGCTCAGGTCTTCGTACGTCCTACACGTAGCGTCGCATGAGCATCTCGCATCGTGCTTGCAGCGACGGCCGACATGAGGTCGCTTAGGAACGAGAGCTGCAGCGGCAGAAAGATCGCTAGCAACACACACAGACGGTCAAGAGAAGCAACGCTGTTGGCGGCGAATTCGTACCGACATACAAGAGCGAGACAATCAATACGGCGTCCCAGACTTTCCGAAAGCTGCTGTCGGGCAGCACGACGTACTTGGCGAGCTGTTCCTTTCGCTTCTTCCGCAGCGCCATGACCTCGTTGGCGACGCCAATGAAGCTCCCGAGGAGATAGTTCTCCCACTCGTTCTCGTGGCCTTCAAACTTGCTCGCGCCCTCCAAGATCTGCGTATCGCGGAACCGCTTGTCGTACGCGGGCGTGTGCGACCGCCGCTTCGGGCGTTTCCGATGCATCTCCATACTGCCGGTGGGCTTGTCGGCGCCGAGGAGCTTGATCGCCTTGTCCGACCGCATGCCTGTTGGCATCCGGCCTTTCTCGAAGGACCGCATCGTCCCCGCCAACTGGTCGCTCAGCGGCAGCCGCAGGTTGGCTCGCGATAGCATCCGCGGCGGCGGCGGCCGGCGCGACGAGATGGTTGTCGTGGCTTGGCGGAACGAGACTTCGTCGTGTCGGCCCTTGGTCGGGCCTTCGTGGCGGCTGGGCGACTCGTGCTTGCCTCTGCTAGGCGACCGCCGAGGCGAGTTGGACGACCCCCGGCGCATCATGGTGCCAGGAATCATTGCGTCGACGGGCTCCTGAACGCGGGGGTTACGGACTTGAGCCGCGACCGCGAGAGGTTATAATTACGCGACGTTTTCGGACCGGTACTTACACAACCGACGACTCGACACGTTATGGCACATTCTAACACGCCCGTGCATGTCCTTTCCCGGACGCCCGGCCTTTCCCCGATGCATTCGCCGTCCATGACCAAGGACGACTGGGCAGCGCCGGTGTCGGTGGCTGACCTCTACCTCGCACGCCATTGGCGTCGACTCGGTAGCGCCAAACTCGGATGTCGAGATGGCGATGGCTGCAGGCGCGCCTCATTGCTATCGCTTCGACGCTGAAATGGCTCGCGCTGGAAAACACTGTCGACGCTGGCACACGGCAAGCCATGGACGCCGTTGCTGATCTCGTGCGCTCGCTCAAGGCGACCATCCGAGTGCTTGGCGGCATTTCTCGAGACCGCCACGCAAGCCTTTTCGCTTCTCACGCACGGGACCGCGGACGCTTCGAGGTCGCGCAGAAGAAGATTGGTTCGAGCGCCCTGCTGTCTCCTGCGCCAACCCGCGACCAAGTTTGTCAGCGATCACTACGTCTGTAGTGCCGTACCCGCCTTTGCATTGCCTTCTCGCGCCCGTCGCTTCCTGCATCGCGCGAGACGCTGTTTCGGAAGACGCACTCGAGGCCCAAGCAGCCCGGCACGGAGTACGTCCAGGACATACATTGCCTCTGCAGCGCCGAGTGTTGCGACCGCTGGAAGACATGCCAAGTGGGATGAAGCGCAGGTGCGAGACCGCGACGAGTGGATGTACAAAGGGCGCTGCATCCATGTTCCCAAACGTGCCGCGGCCAACGCTTGAAGCACGACTGGTACTGCGACGCCGTCGCCGAGCTCCAGGTCCGCTAGCGGAGAAGCGCAGCAATCTCTGCTTGAAGGACCGCGGTCGGTCATTGAATGTAGCTAGCTAGCACACATGGAAAAAAGCCTTTTCTTCACGAGACAACAGGAAGAAGAAAAAGCAAGCATCCAAGAGTGTCAACGGAGACATACATTGGTGATGGTAGTCGACCAAGATAGTTCTGAACGCCCACATCAACGCACTTTGGCGCTGTCCCCAACGGTCTGTCGTCCATGGACTGGGCGACGCTCTCTTTGGTCGTCGAATTGGCGCTGGCAGACGCACGGGACGTCGGCGTCGAGACTATCGCGCCGGCAAGTGATGCTGAAATGGCGGCGGTCACGCAGCACATCGCGCAGCTCGGTGTGCTCTTGCATACTGTCGACGTTATGGTGGGTACCGATCTCAACGCTGGCGTCCACGGTGATCAAGTCCACGACGAGGCAGTGGGGTTGGCTCATCGATTGACTTCCTTGAGAACTTTGTTGCAAGCCCGTCTTGATGTCGGTGTCGCCTGTTGTGTGTGTCTCCACGTCCAGCCCTCGGCGTTCACAGCCCCGTGCAACCATGAGCACTGCCTGCCGTGCTTGAGAGCGCTCATCGTGTCAGCCACCGACGATGTCGCGCGCCTCCCGCTCGCGTGCTGCCAACAGCTCTGGGATCTCGATGCCATTGCTCGCACCGAGGCGCTGGCCCACGACGCGATGCAGCGGTTGCGCGACCGAACGGAAGAAGCGACAGCGGACCGACCAGTCTACTGCCCCAACACGGCGTGCCCCGTCACGTTTGTGAGCGCGCGGCATATTGATGGCAACGAGAGCTCGGTCGTGTGCCCAGGATGTCGCCGCCGCATCTGCACTCTATGTTCGGCCCGCATGCACGAAGGGACGTGCGACGACGCGGCCGACGCGAGCTTGAACGCACTCGGCGCCCGAGAAGGCTGGCAGCGCTGCCCGCACTGCCGGCGCATGGTCGAGCTTGTCGACGGCTGCAACCACATGACGTGCATGTGCCGCACCGAGTTTTGCTACGTGTGCGCTGCGCGCTGGAAGACGTGCGGCTGTCCGCATTGGCACGAAAACCGATGGCAAGCCGTCGCACGGCCGCAGCACGCTGGTCCGCAGGCGTATGGACAGCAGCGAGTCGCCGCAGGTGCGCGACATCCGCGTGGGGCCATTCGGCAATGGCTTGATAATTTGCACTTGGGCTAAGCAAGCTAATTTGAGCGCGACGTCGGTTTGGTCACAACCGAAACGGGGCATGGACCGACCGACGGTCGCGGTGGTGGGTGCGCCATGCACCGGCAAGACGTCGCTCATCGTCGCTCTCGGACGTGGGCTTGGCGTCGATGTGACGAGCTCGCCGACCTCGGTCTTTGCCGTGGGGCGAGGCGTCACGGCACTCGAGAGACGTCTCGACGACGTCAACGTCGCCGCCCTGGACACGCGCCTCGTCTTCTTGGTGTTTGACGTGACGGCGCCAGAGTCCTTTGCCGCCGCCGTCGCCAAGGTCCGTGGGTCTTGTCCTCGCGTCGGGTGTTGACGGTATTCCACAGGGCGCGGCGTTGCAGTCGTCCGACCGCACCATCGCGCTCGTGGGCACCAAAGCCGACTTGATGGCCCATGACCACGACGTGCTGCTCGTCGCGTCCGAAGCGCGCATCTACGCCTCGAGCGAGTTTGCCGTGTACGCAGAAGTGCAGTTGCGAGCCGATGGACCAGATGCCGGCCTCGACGCTTTGCTCACCCTTCTTCGCGCTGCGTACGTACCTCGGGACGAAGCTAAGAACGGTACGATAGGAAGAAAAACTGTGTCTAGGACTCCCGTCAAGCAACCACTTGTGCGCAGAGACATTTGGCTCTACGACCCGTACGACGACAACTCGCCGCCGCGGAGCCCGACGCGCGCGATGAACGAGATCTACTTGTGCGGACGAGCCAAAGCCCTCGCGACCGAGCGAGCGCTGATAGCCAAGTACGAGCACAAGCGGTACGCGTCGCCGAAAGCGACCCGATACGTTGCGCCACCGCCGGCCCCGTTGCCGCGCCAGACCCGACGCCGTCAGTCCACCGATCGACATAGCACGCTTATGAGCAGCACCCAAGCCAGCGTCGCGCGCGTCAAAGCCACCAAGGCGTACAAGCCACACAAGGAGGCAGTTGACCCAAAGATCCGAGTCCAGTGGCACCGACCGAGGTCGCCCGTAGACGTGCACGACAAGGCGCCGGCGCCCGTGCCGCGTGTAGAGACGCGGTCTGCGGCTCAACCACGCACTGCCGAGGCTACCGCTGTCGCTACAAGCTGCCGCGTCCCATTGGCGACTCCTCCAAGCGCGCCGATAGAGCTTGATACCTTGTCCGTGCTTGACGCTCCGACGTTGCGATCCGCCACAGACAATGACCGAGTGGTTCCGCGTACAGACCACAACGCCACGCGCGGCAGCCAGCCGGACACCGAACGTCCCACGCCCACCGAGGCAGAGGTGGATGGCACTTCAGCAGACAACACGTTCGTGTGTCCAGAGGTCGATTTGCCGACAGAGACAGTCGTACCATCATTGGCGCAACCGGTCGATCCCGACGCGACGTTCTTCGACTTTGACGATGACGACGGCGCCGTCACTTTTGACGACGACGATATTTTGGACGCGTTAGATTCGTTCCAGTTGTCCATTTAAGACGATAAAGAAGACTATGGAACTAGACACAACTTGTCGTTTTCCCATAGTGCTGTAGCTTGCAACACGTGACGTTGCACCGAATAGCTGTTGGGCTGAATTGTCGTCACACGCCGCAGGAATTCTGCTGCCCTGTCTCGCGCTGCTTGCTTGCGGCACCTTGAGTGCGGTCATTCCATCACCGCCCGAACGGCTTCGACACGCCCGCAAAGGTCGTTCCGTCCCCACGCTGGCATACTGGTAGGCGTGCACTCGCGCCGGAACACGCTCGCGAAGAGACTCCTCAATAGCTCCTGGCCCGTCTTTGTCGCACCCAAGACCAGCACGTGGTGTGGACAGCGTACTTTACTCGGTTGACTAGCGACCTTGAGGCAGCCAGGTCGCTTCTTTGTGCAGGCCCACGCTTCTCGCAGCGAGACATGCGCCGGCGTGCTGTTGGCGGCCAACCACTCGCACTTAACCGGGTTGCCCAAGATCGCCACATTCCGAGAAAGTCCATTTTGCAGTCGCTCGCATGGACGCACCGCTCGCCAAGGGAGAGCACTGCTCGTCTCTCGACCCGGCGGACGCGTCGGCCATGGGCGTCAAGACCTTTGGGCCCGTCGTCGCGGTCGCCTTGACGCTCAACTTTATGGTGGGCACGGGCTGCTTTGGCCTCCCGTACGCCTTCTCGGTTGCTGGCATTGGGCTCACGTCCATCTTTCTCATCTTTGGCTTCCTCGGTGCGCTCATCACGATGAACTACACGCTCGAGGCCATGGCCCGCGCCGAAGGCGTCCTCTCGGCGAGAAGCGAGAGCCCGCCTCTCAACCGCCTCACGTACCGCAAGACGGAGTTCTCGGCCATGAGCGAGCTCTTCGCCGGCAAGACGGGGTACGCAGTCGTGCAGACCGTGCTGGTTCTCTACTGCATCGGAACGCTTTGGGCCTACGCGAGCATCTTTGCGTCCTCGGTCGCGTCGGTCTTCCATACGTTCGTGCTCGGCGACGTCTGCGACGTGTACGCTGCGAACGCGTCGAGCGGGTGCCTCGAGAGCTACTACGGCTTCATGGCGCTCTTCGCCGTCATGTCGATTGCACTCGTGCTCATGGACCTCGGCGACCAAGCCAACATCCAAAAGCTCCTCTCGGGCTACCGCCTCCTGGCCTTTGGCATCATGCTCTCGACGATCGCGTTCAAGCTCAGCGTGGACGGCGCCGACGCCATCTCGGCCCGTCTCGCTACGCGCGCGCACTGGGCGTTCAACTGGCAGAGCTTTGGCGCTGGCTTTGGCCCGACCTTGCTCGCGCTCAACTGCCAGTACAACATGCCGGCCGCGCTCCAGCCGCTCGACATTTCGCAGAAAGGCCGCGCGCGCCTCATCACGTACCTCTCGATGACGATGGCAGCGTTCTGCTACTTCTTCCTCGGGCTCCTCGGCGCGCTCGCCTTTGACGACATCAACCCGCTCGCGAGCTTGATGTGGAGCAACTTTTCTGGCTGCGGCAACGGCTGGGCCTCGTGTCCGTCCGGCCAGCCGACGGTCTTTGGGTCACTCGTGCACCTTATCGTTGTCATGTTTCCCGTTGTGAACGTCACGTCGTCCTTTCCCATGGTCGGGCTCACGGTCGGCGGCAACATTCTCACGTCGCTACCCAAGTCGATCACGGCGCCGCTTGGGCCCGCCGGCGCGCGCAACCTCTCGCGCCTCATGGCCGTGCTCCCGCCGCTTCTCTTTGCCGCCATCTTCAAGAAACTCGATGTCATTTTCACGTACGCGGGCTTTCTCGGCTTTGGCCTCGGCCTCATCATCCCCGCGTGGTTCCAAGTCGCGGGCATCCAGCACTTTCGCGCAACGTACGGCAACACCGAGGCGGAGAAGACTCCGTTTAGCGTCCCACTCCTGAGCTCGCTTCCCTTTGCGACGATCTTTCTCGGGCTCACGTTTCTCGTGACGCTCGTCGCGCTCTACTCGCTCGTCGGGTTCTAATCATGTTGAAGCAGTGAGTACACATTCGAGAAGTAGTCTCCTTAGCTAATGCCATTGTATTCTCTTTGACGAGACTCCGCCGCGTAGCAAGCCCCATGTTGGCACAACGACATGTGCGAAGTTGAGCTCCGCGGGTGTACAATCTATGTCATCAGTACTGTTCTTGCACGCATTCTATCTAGCATGCATGGGCCCTCGTCGAGCACGATGGCACATCGGCCATGGCCCAACGGGCTCCTGGGAGGCGACCTTGATAGTTTTGCCTCCTTCGACTTGATACTTGACGCCGTGTCGCGCGCTGCGCAGGAAACCCACGGAGCGTCAAGCTCGTGCGACGCTGCCATTGGTCGCTAAGATAGCACGATCGACAGCAAGGGTCCGTCACTCCGATGGATCCTTCCTTGGCCAAGAGCATCGGTCCGGCCTTCGCCACGACGAAGGCTCGGCATTGGAGGCTGCCACGTCAGAAACGGCGAAATCTTTGCTTATCCGGACATCCGGAAAGCACGACAAGGTTTCCAAATATTTGGATTTTGACGACGATGAGCGACTGCGACGACCTCCTGCGCATGTTCCAGAGCATCACGACGACGGACCACGACGCGCTCATCGCGCAGTTCGGGAAGCTGCTCGCGCTGGAGCCCAAGACGAGCGCCTTCTTCCTCGAGTCCTCCAACTGGAACGTGGAGACGGCGGTCAACATGTACCTGGCGACGACGCCGGCGCCGATCGAGGACGAGCTGCCGGTGCTGCCCGACGCCAAGTTCTTGAGCGACCTCAGCGCCGCCCAGAACGCTGTCTTCCTGCCGCACCAGCAGATCACGTTGCACCTCATCTTCCAGAACCCGGGCCCGGTCGAATGGCCGGCCAACACGCGCCTGGCCTTTTATCAAGGCGTCCCCTTTGGCGCCGGCAACGACGTGTACATTGGCGCGATTGCGGTCGGCGAGCAAACGCAGGTCAACATGACGACGACTCTGCCAGGCGAGAGCGGTACGCACTATGGCACGTGGCGGCTCATGAGTGACGGCCTCGCGTTCGGCGATCCTGTCTGGGTCCTCTTGTCCGTCGCGGGCGAGGATCGAAAGGACCATCGCATGGACAACGGCGACCACGCAATGGAGGTCGACGACGAGATGGACGTCGGTCAGCATGCGTACCACGACCATGCGCAGCCCGACATGGAGCTATAGCGTCGTCCTCGTACACCCTTTTTATGCGAACGCACCATTTTTACATTTACTTTTCTCCTCTACGCCAGCCACAACTTGTTGGTCGTCGAGGGTTGCAGAGGAGACGCTCTGAAAAACCCACCTTTCTATCGCCGTCCGAGCTGCAGCCGGCGCTCCAACTCGTCGACTTTGGCTTCGAGCGCTGCATTCTTGTCGGTCCATTGTGCTATCTAGAGAGGTCCTGAACGCAACGTTACGACGTTCAACAGGTACGTACGGCGGCAACGTAGCGGGCTTTCTCTTCCTGGAGCTCTTGCCGCGCGCGGTCGCCCCGAGCGGCCTTGAGCTCGTCTTGCAGGTCCCGGATGCGACCTTCGTACGTGGCCTTCATCGCCTGCATCTCTCTTGTCAGCGCCATGGCGTACGTGTCTGTATCGGGCACAGCCTGGAGCTGCTGGACGACCGGCGCGGTCTTCTGCCCGGCCGCGATCGCATCCGAGAAGGGCGTGGTCGGTCGCCGGGGCTTGCAGCCTGCGAGCTCCTCGAGGCGGTCCTTCATGTGCCGGAGCTGCCAGTCGACGGCAGCGCACGCGTCGACAACGCCGGCCCACTTGGTCGCATCTTCCGAGCGCACACCGAGGGCCAAGCGCTCGTTCATGGCTGTGACCACTTGCTTCACAAGCTGCTTTTCTTCCATGATACGCTGCGTCTCGACATCGAGGTCCCGCTGCTGCTGGTCGTGGGCTCGCTTCTCCTGCGTCAGCAAGTGCTCCCTACCACAGCATCATCCATCTCCCCATATTGATGGACATTGTCGGGACGTACATGCCCGAGAGCTCGGACCGAAGCTGGACGACCGTGGTGCGGGCGTCGTGCAGCGTCGCTGTCAGCGCGTCGATTTGCTTCCGCAACGTCACGACCGTCGCCGACACGTCGTCACGCTCTTTGGTGACGCGCACGAGGTGGTCGAGCGCCTCGTCGCGCTCGCGCATAGCCGCTTCCATCTCGCGCCGGTGGAAGCCGCCGATATCGGCGCTCGCCTGCGCCATGTGCAGAGCTTTGAGCGTCTCCTCGTGCTTGGTTTGCCACTGCGCGGCCGCCGCCTCGGCCTCGGCGACCCGCTGCTTCCACACAACGTGCGCCTTGTCGTTCACGTGGCTGCGCAGCAGCGTAACTTCCTGCGTCAATTGCGCAATGGATCGCGCCGCGCGCGCCTCCCGCTCTTCAAACGCGCGCTGGTCCGCATCGCGCTGCCGCTTCCGCTCGGCCAAGCACAAGTTGGCGGTCTCGAGCTCGTCCGAAATCGCTTTCGCAGTCGCTAAAGCGTGGGCATGGAGCTCCTTCTCGTGGGCGAGCGCGAGGTCGCCTTGGTCGTGCGCAGCCTGGCACGCGGCGCCGGCTTGGGCGAGGGCGGCTTCCAGCGAGGCGACTTTGGCCAAGTAGACGCCCTCGACTTCGTGGTGCACGTGGGCCCGCACGTGGCTCTCGGACGTCGATACTTGCAGCGCCACGAGCTCTCTTCGCATCGTTTCGAGCTGATTTCGGAGATCGTTGATCTCGTCGACTTGACGCTCGGTCGTGTGCCGCCACTTGGCCAGTGCGTCTTCGTGGACCACAGCAGCGTGCTTGGCCGCAGCTGCGAGCTGGGCTTCCATCTCGCGGTGCCGGACGGCCATGGCATCGATGTCCTTGGCATGCGCTGCCTCCAGTGCACGCAGCTCTCGAGCCTGCGTGGCGTTGATGGCCGAGCACTCGGCCGTCCACTCGGCGCGTATAGCGTCGAGACGGGCTGCGTGGGCTTTTTGGAGATTGGACGTTGCTTGGGTGACGGCGGCCGCACGCTGCGTGGCGGCCGCTGCCGCGTTGGCTTCCATCTGCGCTGTTAGCGTCCGTGCCGCCTTCTTCGCTTGCGCCAGCTCGGCTTGGAGCGACGCGAGTGCCTCTTGGCCTGAGCTGCGCGCAGCCGCTTCGTCGCTCGTGGCGCGCTCGAGCTGCGATCGCAGCGCCACGTGTGTTTGCTCCAGCGCGTGCAGAGATGTCTCTGCGCGGCTTGCTTTTGCGTTGGCCGCCGCAATCTAACAACCGTGTACTTCTTCCTCAACGAATGGCCGAGCGCTGTACCTCGTCGTGAAGCCGCGCAAGTACGTCAGCGTGCGCATCGAGGTCGCTGCGCAAGGCGGTCTTGTCCGTTTGGAGACCATCGTAGGCGGCCTTGAGCTGGTCATGAGCAACTTGAAGCGCGTCGAGCTTGGCCGCGTCGTCTGCATTCTGCTTTGCGCCGCGCTGGAACGCCTCTTGCCAGCCAGCACCGGAAGCACCGTGGTCTTTCGCCACCTACGCCGTTGAGAAACACGTGCGTTGAGATTGAGTCGGCCCAACCGCGGCCAAAGTGTCTTTGAAGAGCAGGATGTCTTGCTCGAGGGTGGTGATGGCCGCGTCTTTCGCACCCAATGCCGTCTGGAGTACGAGCTTCTCGGCGTCGTCCGCGAGGCCTTTTGTCTTGAGCGCCTAGCGTCGGCTCAGCACTCGCATCTCACGACGCCACGTACCTGCACCCGTCGCGCAAAGGCGAGGAAGCTCTCAAAGTAGATGCTGGCCGGCGTCGATGTGCTTGGATGGTGGTGCGTCTCGGCCGCTCCTCGGCCTTTGGCGTCGGCGTCGAGAAGTTCATGACGCGGAGGAGACCGTCCGAGAGCATTTGCTCGAGCGCATGCTTGGTGCTTTCGTCAAGGCCATGGCACCGCGCCAGCTTGGCGGCCACGTCGTCGGGCACGGCGAGGTGGTCCCGGCGCTTCAAGAGCAGATGCGCATGCCCGTTCGAGAGTGCGTCCGGGTCACCGAGCAGCTGGTACACGCAGCGAATGTCGGCTTGTAGCTGCTGCAGGTACGCACCAAGCGTCTCGTTGTGCTCGGTCTCGAGTCGTGGCATACCCGCACTGGACGCTGCCGCGGTGCTCGGACGGGGCTTGAGCTTTGCGTCTTCGTGGTTGTTGGAGCGCGAACGAGGCGCAGCCAGCGGCGAAACATCAGCGGGACGGTCTCGCGGCTCGTGCACGGGGCGTCGCACGCTCGTGTGCGGCCTACAGGCGCGTGGGCGTGTCATCGCAGCCATACGAGAGGTACCGTGGCTTGGTCTTCCGGGCAGCGTCTTCGTCGCGGCCTTCCTTGGGCTTTCTACACCGCAGTTGCATGAGCAGCGCAGACCCCGCAGGCGCGATCGTACGCCGACGCCGGGTACAAAAAGTCGACGGCGAAAGGCTGCGTCGTCCGGCGCGGGGGCCGCCCGTACTCCATTCTTGCGAAACCGAGCAGTGAACGTTACGCGAGATATGGCCGCATCGCCCGAGATCGTGAGCGCCGGCCGCGAGCTGCCATGGGTCTGAGCATGTCGTAGCTCTCGTCGCTGCCGATGGAGGTCCTTCTCTTCTTCAACCGCTGGTTCACGCTGCTCTACGTGCTCTTGACAGGCGCCATCTTCGTCTACAAAGGTAGCATGCCACAAGGGAGCACGAGAAGACGACTCTCCTTGTAGGCATGTACCTCCCGTACCCGCCGACGGGTGCGTACACGTGGGAAGTCATCTTCCTCTGTCTCTACTACATCATCGATCGCATCCGCATCTTCCAAGGTCCGTGTCGTCGCCTTGCTGGATCGCCCATGGATCCGATTTGTCTAGCCTCCAAGGGCAACAAGACGGAGCAGGTCTTTCCGCTCGTGACGGCTTGTCTCTTGACACTGCCTTGCGTCATCTCGCTCGCGTACTACATCAGCCTGCAGACCTACGTGTACTACGACGCGCTCTCTATCTCGGTGCTTAAGCGCCTGCGTAGACTGCAGCTCGACGTCATTCTCAACGCGATTGGCCTCGTCTTCCTCGGCCTCGAGTCCATCTTTGGCCCGATCACGACCCTCCGCCTGCTGCGGGCAAGTCGCTTTTAAGAAGACAGCAACAGTGTAGCACCAAGTACATATATATATATATATTTACTGCAGAGCGCCGTGGATAACGACCTGCGCGCCGTGGCGGCTTGTGACGGTGCCCAAGCTCAGGACGGCCTCGGGGCTCAGCGCGGCCTTGACCTGCGCCTCGTGTTCGGGCGCCACGATGAGCACCATGCCAATGCCGCAGTTGAACGTCCGGCTCAGTTCCGCATCCGAGATATTGCCGGCCGCCTGGAGCCACTTGAAGACGGGCGGGAGGCGCCAGCTCGACGCCGTAAGCTCCACCGCGAGGTCGTCCGAGAGCACGCGCGGGATGTTCTCGAGGAGACCGCCCCCCGTGATGTGGGCGAGCGCGCGCACGTAGCCCTTCTTGAGCAGCGGCGTCAGCAGCGAGACGTAGATGCGCGTCGGCGTCAAGAGCGCGTCGCCGAGCGTCTTGGTCGCGTCAAACGGACACGGGCTCTCGTAACGGAGGCCCGCGTGCTCGACGACCTTGCGCACGAGCGAGAAGCCGTTCGAGTGCACGCCGGCGCTCGCAAGGCCGAGGACAACGTCGCCGGCCCGCGCTGGCAGCGGCAACAGCGACTTCTTGTGGGCAGCGCCGACGCAAAAGCCCGCCACGTCGTACTCGCCGGGCGCGTACATGGACGGCATCTCGGCCGTCTCGCCCCCAATGAGCCCGCACTTGGACTGGCGGCAGCCCTCGGCGATGCCCTTTACAACTTCGGTCGCCGCGTGCACATCCAAGGCGCCGGTAGCAAAGTAGTCGAGGAAGAGGAGCGGCTCGGCGCCCTGGACGAGGAGGTCGTTGACGCACATGGCCACGAGGTCAATGCCGATCGTGTCGTGCTTTTGCATCGCGTGGGCGATCTTGAGCTTGGTGCCAACGCCGTCCGTGCACGCGACAAGGACCGTGTCGGCGCCGTAGCCAGCGGCTTGGAGGTCAAAGAGGCCGCCAAAGCCGCCGAGGTCGGCGTCGCACCCGGCGCGGACCGTCGACTTGCAGAGCGGCTTGATCGCATGGACGAGCGCGTTGCCAGCGTCGATGCTGACGCCGGCGTCGGCGTACGTGAGGCTTGTCGGCAGCGTGCCCATGTACATGGCGACCTGCTGGCGCTTGATCGCGTAGAGGAACGCGTCGCCTTCGAGCGGCTGCACGCGCGCTTTCAGCGTCTCGGCCGTGTCATTCGGCAGCACGGGGCACTTGAGCTGGACCGCAATCGGGCCGGCGTCGACCTCGGGTGTCACATAATGGACCGTGCAGCCCGAACTTGTCTTCTTCGCATCGAGCACGGCTTGGTGCACGGCGAGGTCCATGCCGCCCGCGAAATCCGGCAGAAGCGACGGGTGCACGTTCAAGACGCGGTTGGCCCAGCGCTGGCAAAAGGACGCCGAGAGGATGCGCATGTAGCCGATGCAGAGCACCAAGTCCACCTTCTTGTTTTCAAGCAGCGACGTGACTTCGGCGTCGAACGCATCTCGGGTTTTGCCCTTGCTGCCGACGGCGACACCCGGAATCTTGTGGGTCGCCGCTCGCTCGAGGATGCCGGCCGACGCCTTGTTGCTCACAATGATCTCGACCGACGCGTTGAGGTCGCCCGCGGCGATCGCGTCCAAAATCGGCTGCAGCGACGAGCCGCGCGTCGAGCCCAGCACGCCGAGCTTGATGGGCGGGCACGAGTGCAGAAGCCCCTTGTGCCCAATGTCGGACCGGAACTGGTGGCCCTCGAACGCAATCTTGGAGACGCCGACGTACGCCTGCGCGATCGCGTCCTTCATCGTCGGCGCAACCGCCGTCACCGTGAGCACGCGGCCGCCCGAAGTCACGAGCGACCCGTCCTTGAGCGCCGTGCCGGCGTGGAAGACGTTGGTGTTGGGGAGCGCGTTGGCCGCCGCGACGCCCGAGATGACCTTGCCCTTCGGGTAGCTGTCCGGGTAGCCCTGCGACGCCATGACGACAGTCGCCGCGGACGCGTCCTTCCAGAGCACCATGGCCGGGTCGAGCTTGCCGTGGCAACACGCGAGGAAGATCTCGACGAGGTCGCTGTTGAGGAGCGGGAGAACGACCTCGGTCTCGGGGTCGCCAAAGCGCGCGTTGTACTCAACGATCTTGGGGCCCTTGGGCGTGAGCATGAAGCCCGTGAAGAGGCAGCCGACGAACGGGTTGCCCTCGGCGGCCATGGCCGCAATCGACTTTTCGACGATCGCAATGCACTCGCGCTTGGCCGCGCCGTGGAAGCACGGCGCCGGCGCGTAGACGCCCATGCCGCCCGTGTTGGGCCCTTGGTCGTTGTCAAAGATGCGCTTGTGGTCCTGCGCGCCTGGCATCGTCACGACTGTCCGACCGTCGCTGAAGGCGAGGAGCGACACTTCTTCGCCCGTCATAAACTCCTCAATGACGACCTCGTCGCCGGCCGACCCGAACGCGCGGTCGACCATGACCTCGCGCAGTGCAGCGTGTGTCTCTTCCTTGGTCGTCGGGATGAGCACACCTTTGCCGGCGGCGATACCGGACGCCTTGATGACGACGCGGTAGTCGATGCTGTCGACGTACGCCTTGGCCTCGCTGTACGAGGTGAAGTTGCGAAAGGTCGCGGTCGGGATGTGGTGGCGCGCCATGAAGTCCTTGGAGAACGCCTTGGAGCCCTCGAGCTGGGCCGCTTTCGCGCTCGGGCCGAACGTCGGGATGCCCGCCGCGCTGAGCTTGTCGGCGAGACCGTCCACGAGCGGCGCCTCGGGCCCGACGACGCACAGCGTGACGCCCTTCTGTCGGCAAAACGCGATGAGCGCCGCGTCGTCGTCCTGCGCGATCGCGACCGACGAGATCTTGTCGCCGTTCGTACCGCCGTTGCCCGGCGCGACGTACACGTGCTTGGCTTGCGGCGACTGCGCGAGCTTCCATGCGAGCGCGTGCTCGCGGCCACCGCTGCCGACGAGCAGGATCGAGTGCTGCTGGACGTCGGGCTGGAGGAGCTCGACCGCGCGCGCATCAACGGCCGAGAAGGCACGGAACGCCTTCTGGGCAAGCGCCTTGCGCTCGTTGAGCGAGTAGGCCAGCGCGCCGCCCTGCGATACCTTGGTCGCCACCACAGCGTAGTCGCTTGGCGACGTGACAACGGCGATCGTCTCGTAGGCCCAGGCCGATGAGCGGACAAAGGCGTGGCAGCCCAGCCCCCACGTCTTGAGCGCAGCCTCGTCGTTCGTTTGCGGCACGAACGCAAGCACAAGACTGATGGGCGCAGCAAGTAGGTCCTGCGCCTCGTGCGGCGTCGCGATGTGCACGTGCGGGATCTTGGCTTGCACGACTTGGGCGCGCCACGCTGACGACGAGAGCACCGTGATGCGCATGCCACCTTGCTGCAGCGTCTTGAGGAGCTCGAGGGCCTGCGCGGCCTCGGCGACCGACGGCGCACCACACGTCACGACAACGACCATCTTGCGCAGCTCGGTATCTTTTGGGATCTGGGCCACGAACGTAGCATCCGGATGGCCACATCCTTGATTGTTCAACAGCCTGCGATGTATTTTATTCCTACATTAAATCCACATACAAACATAGCATGATAATATATCATACGTGGCACCGCGCGGGGCCGGCCAGTCATGATTGTGTCAACAGGCACGGTCGCCAGCGATCCGATCCTCGCCGTCCTCCTCCTCCTCCAACGCCGTAACGAGCCAAAGACCGTTGTACGAGGCTCATTCCCGTATGTGCTTCTCACTGGACCTGCGTCGCTACCACCAGCAAGTGGTGCCCACAGACGAAAGGCCGCGCAGAGGGCGAGTTGCCTGTCTCGTAGACCTAAGGACAGAAGTGTTGTTGTATTAGGAGGTTTATGCGGTGCGAAGCATGGGCGGCGCGGGTGGCTGGGTCGATGCCGGCGCCTCCGGCATGAACGTCACGTGCAATGTGAACGACTTGCCGAGCTTGTCCCAATTCGTGAAGAACTTGCCCTCGGACTTGTCGACGTCGAGGTTGGGCACCTTGAACGCGATCGTCTCGTACGGCTCGCACGCAAAGAGGAGGTACTGAAAGTTCTTGTCTGCGACCTCGACGCGCTGCTCAAAGGCCGACATGAAGCGGTGGCGCGGCTGGAGCCCGTCCATGACGTCGGGGTAGAAGATCTGGAAGAGCAGCATGCGCGCGCCCGTGTCCGGGTCCCGCTGTTTTGTGACTTTGTAGCCGGGCAGACCAATCTTGATGGTGCGAATGCGCTGGATCTCGGGCTTGGGCGGCGCTTGCACGTTGGCCGATGCTTCCGCAGCGTCCTTGGCCGCTCGGCGCGCCAAGTTGGTCTGATGGCGCTTACCCTGTGTATGGGCAAGGTAGTTGCCTTCGTTGCTGTGCAGCGTCAAGCACAATTTACACTCAAACGTGCCCAAGTGGTTCTTCAGGATGTACGGGTCCTTCGAGAGATCCACCGTCTCGAGCGCAAGCTTTCGCAGTCGCTCACGCCGGTCAATGTTGGCCTGCTGTTCCGAGGCCACGCCACCCGAACCGGGCTTGGAGCCGACGCGATTCTGGAAGTCCATGCCACCCTTTAGCGCCATGGAGGCGGCGAGCGTCGAGCCGTGTGTGATGCAGTAGTCGTGGACAAAGTTGGTCTCGACAAGCAGCCGCGCGTTGAATGAGAGCTTGAAGAGCGCGACTGGCACGCCCATGAGTCCGCTCACATGCGCCTTGACGGCCGCAATGGAGTCGGTCGCCTGCGCCACGACGTGCAGCTCCTTCGGGCCAAGACCACGCACGAAGAGGTCCATCGGTCGCCGTCCAAAGAAATCGGTTCCTGTGGTCCCGTTTGGAGCCACTCTATAAACTAATAGTCTCGGCAATATCATGCTCTTGGTAACCTCTTTAATTATATATATGTGGGTCAACCTCTGGAAGTGGATAGAATGTGCTGGCAGCACCAGCATCCAGGATTTCCCTCGCATAGCACGTCTGGTAAGTGGTGCACCACTGGCGGAGGTCAATTACAATAATGCGAGCAGATCGAGTAGTGTCCCGGCAGTGTCCACTCGATTCCACGAGCCCAAAATGCCAAGCGGCCCCTTGCGCTTGCTCTATTGGCTTCGTATCGCCGGTCCCGTGCAATGTATATCAGACACAAGGGACCCGCTATGACGAAGTGCGGTATCAAGCACATATCGTAGCTCCGAGTCTCAAAGAATGAACCCTCATTTCAAGGCAGCCCCGGTGCTTTGACGTGTCGGCTCCGGATTGGACTGCTGCAGCACCAGTCAGAGCTAACGTGTGGCCCAGACAGGGACATCGGAAGAGGCGAAAGCAAGCTCGGAGGCGCGTGCTACCTTTGCTAGCTCTGCGTTCGAGGTACAATCAAAGGCGTCAAACTTCATAGGACACATGTGCAATCTTCCCACAGAGCCACCAACTTCAACACGGAAAATCCGGATACCGCAGGTCAAACTGCGGGACTTGCATCCGGATGGCACAATTTTTGCATTTGCGTCAACGAACAAGAGCGATGGCTGCCGTGATTGCCGAAGCACTGGCGATGATCCAGAGCCAGTCGCCGCTTCTGTCGGCCGACGGCATCAGCAAGATGGGCCAGATCACCTTCAACCAGCGTACGCGCGCCGCGCCATGCATTGTTGTCATAATGCATCCTCATAGCGCTTCACAAGGTCGAGGCCGGCAAGCTCGGTGTGATTGCCGCCATCGTCGAGGCCATGAAGCGCTCGATAGACAACGGATCCATGCAGGAAGACGGCTGCCGCGTCTTGCGCAACATCGCCTTTCAATGCGGTACATTGCTCTCTTCTAATCGCATCTCGCGACGGATGATGATCCTTCTAGAGTCCAATTTGAACCTCGTCCAGAGCCAGGGCGCGATCGCGGCTGTCGCTGAGGCCCTCCACCGCCACATGACCAACGACGCTGTTGTCGCCGAGGGTTTCTGGGCGCTCGTCGTCTTTTGCGCCAACCATCGTACGTCCTGGCATCGCTTCCTGCCGTTGGCTCATGTGCACGGCGTAGATGGCAACACGCTCGTGGCCAAAGAGCTGGTGGCCAACGTCGCTGCGATCGCCGCGCACCACACGTCCAACGCAGAGATTCAGAAGAAGGCCATGTTTCTCGGCATGCTTTTTGCATAATCCAAACCCTTTTAGTCTGCGTTATACCGCGCCGTACCGACAGCTGGAGCTAGCGCGGCGCAGCTTGCCGTAGGCGGGGTGGCGCAGCGGCGAGTGCAGAGCGTTGACCTCAAAGAGACTGAGGACGCCGGATGCGAAGAGGGCCCACGCGCCGGCTTGGAACGCCCGCATCGAGGTCGCATCTGCGACGAAGAGGTTGAGCGGGTCGATGAACTGCGTGAACGAGCACGTGAAGAGGAGCAGGATCCCAAGCCAGCCGAGTCCTACGCAACTCTCTGATTAAGCATTTTGCATCGCATCGCCGACGACGAAGGTACCGGTGACCCAGTAGTCGAGGTGCCCGAGTCGGATGACAAACCAGCGGTGAATGACCTCCACGTGCATGAGGTACGCACTCATAGAGAGACTAAAGTAGCCGACGAGGCTCGGGATCCAGAAGCCCCAAAAGATGCGGGGGTTCCCGCGCGTGAGGTTCACGACGCCAAAGACGTTGAGTTCGTGCCGGCAGACAAAGCCGCGCGCGTGCAGCAGGAAGGCCCAGCCCAGAATGCCGAGCACGGCGCTCCAATAGTCAATGCGATACGGATAGTACCCAACCCACTTCTTCTTCCGGCGCGACGGGAGGCCGTGGATGTAGTCGTTGAGCCAAAGCTACAAATGAGATGGTTCATGAGATCCGTCCTTGGAGATTGCTGTCGTACGTCGAGGTCGTGGCAGCAGTTAATAACCTCGAGGAACGTGAGTAGGTACGCCACGATGAAGCTCGCTGCACCCAGCAAGAGTGGCAGATCGATGGTCTCGCGGACGAGCGAGAGCGGAAAGTCCGTCTGCGTCAAGTTGGAGGTGGTTTGGGTCGTCGCGTGCGGATGGTACGCCGCCTCGTTGGCGCTAGCGTACAAGAAGAGCGTCGCGCCCAGCACGGAGAAAAGCGCCGAATAGAAGCTCCACGAGTGAAGCAGCCAGCGGCGCGGCGCGTCTGGGTCCAGCGCAATGTGCAGCGTGCGAAACGTCTTGCGATGGACGCGCGAGCTCCAGAGGAGGCGCGTGTCGTCGCCGACCGAGTAAAAGTCGATGAGCGTCGGCGAGAAGCACTCAACGCCGTAGAAGATCGGCTTGGCCCGCTCGTGGCGGGGCACGAGAAGCAGCTGCGACGGCGACTTGGTCAGCCGGCTGCGCTCGGCCTCGGTCATCATCTTGCAGTCTGTCCGGAAACGAGAAGATGCCCATTGGACGGTTGTATCCGGAGGGCCAACCACTTCAACATCGACAGGCTCCCTTGCGGTTGCGATGAGGTTGGTTCTGTCGCTGCATTGCTCAAGCAAAGTTAGCTTGTTAATAACGGTCCACCTTTCTCGTGTGCTGGCGACGACGGCGTAGACCAAGGGAATAAGAGGATAAGGCATTCCCTTGGCAAACGGTTAGCTATTCCCTGTGTGGTGCTAGCAAGGGAGTAGGGCATGGAGATTGGGGCTTGGGAGGTGAGAGGAAGAACGCTGGGCCGCCGTGGCCCCGTTCGCGATCCTTTGCTGCTCGCTTGGTTCGGTCGGCTTCTTTGCCTCGGACTGGACGCCAGGATATTCGAACCTTCCACCTCAAACGCCAAAAGATCGCAATACACCTGCGATTGATTGGCCAAAATGACGCCCATAACGCGCAGCGATTGGCTTGTGGATTTTCGAACCCGAGAACGCGCCAATGGCATGGCGCGGCGTCGCTGCAGGTCCGTAGCGAGGTCATTTCCTCTTTCGCGTCGCCCACCGCAGGATGTCGCTGTTCCGCCACGTCCTCTCGCGCCGCGTCCGCCACGCGTCGACCAAGGCGACGTCATGCGTCGTCAACTCGCACAACGAATGGGACCCGCTGGAAGAGATCATCGTTGGCAAGATCGAGGGCTCGACGATCCCCGAATGGCACGTCGCGGGCAAGGCTGTATGGCCATCGCGCTACTGGGATATGTACAAGAACAAGGCCGGACAGCCTTTCCCGCGTGAGCTCATGGAGGCTGCTGCCAAGGAGCTCGACTACCTTGCGCATGTCCTGGAAGGCGAAGGCGTCGTCGTGCGCCGGCCCGAGTTCAACCCAGAGGACTTTAGCAAGCCGTTTGAGACACCCGACTTTAAGAGCAAGAGCGGTCTTTACGCAGCGATGCCCCGCGACATTTTAATTGTTGTCGGCAACGAAATCATCGAAGCGCCGATGGCGTGGCGGTCGCGGTACTTTGAGTTCCGTCCGTTCCGAAGCCTGGTCAAGGAGTACTTTCGCGTACGACATTTCTTCCACTTCTTTACTGATGCTTGACTGTTTACGCATAGAACGGTGCCAAGTGGACGGCCGCGCCCAAGCCGCAGATGAGCGACGAGCTCTACAATGAAGACTGGCAGCCCAACTCGGGCGAATTTAACGTACGTCCTGCGATTCACTCATGTCTGTACACGCCTCATGCATCTCTTCTAGTCGGTCGTCACGGAGTTCGAGCCGACGTTCGATGCGGCCGAGTTCACGCGCATGGGCAAAGACCTCTTCACGCAGCGGAGCCAGGTCACGAACGAGTTTGGCATCGAGTGGATGCGCCGGCACCTCGGCGACGACTACAACATCCACGTCCTCGACTTCAAGGACCGCAACGCCATGCACATTGACGGCACGTTCGTGCCGCTTGGACCTGGAAAGCTCCTCGCCAACCCGTACCGGCCGTGCGTGACCGGTCGGCCTGTCAAGACGTATGCGTACAAGGACAAGGAGTACGAGTACCGCCTCCCGGAGATGTTCAAGGGCTGGGAGGTGTTTGTCGCGCCGACGCCCGAGCTGTCGCCCGAGCACCCGCTGTTCTTTACGAGTCCGTGGACGGCGACGTGCAACGTGCTCGTCGTGCGCCCTGGCGTCGTCGTCGTCGAGGCGCACGAGACAAAGGCGCGTCAGCTCTTCAAAGAGTGGGGCTTTGAAGTCATCCCGGTGCCCTTCCGCAACTTTATGCCCTTTGGCGGCTCCTTTCACTGCGCGACGTGCGACATTCGCCGCACGGGCTCGCTGCAGTCGTATTTTGATTGAGGCTCCGCACACCCTGTGCATAAGAACAGAGTTGTGTCTTGTGTATTCTCTTCAAGCAGCTTTGACTTTAACTCGAGCCCCACCGGTCAGCACGTCCGTGTAGAGGAGGACGCCGAGGAAGACGACAAGCGTGCCCAGCCACTGCGCCACATGAAAGACGTGGGCAAAGTAGAGCACGCTGAAGACGAGGTTGCACGCCTTCCGGAAGGTCAAAATCACTTGCAGCGATACGGTCGAGACGCGAGCCGCGAGATGGTACACGGCGCGAATGCACACATAGTTGGCGACGAGGTTGACGCTGAGCAGCGCCAGCAGGTGCGGCACGGCAACGGGCCCCAGTAGCCATGGCGGCAGCGCCCAGAGATCGCCGTGGCTCCAGTCGGAGAGACGCGCCGCGACTGTCGACCGCTCCGACAGCAGCATGAGCGGTAGCGAGAACACGTGCATGTAGAACATGCTCTCGCGCGCCACGTCGCCGCTCGACGCACTCTTGTACGCTTTCAACGCTGCGTTCTGGCAGTGGCCCAAGAACGAGCCAAGCAGCAAGGCGGCGACGAGGAGCGTGACGCCGACGCGCCAGTGCCCGAGGAGGGCGACAACAGCTTGGAGCTGCGGGTAGGCGCAGAGCGCGCTTTGGGTGTCGCTGCAAAAGGTCACGCGGCCAAAGAGCGGCTTGTCCATTAGCGTCGTCATGAGAATGCCCAGCGAGATGAGACCGACGCCGCCGATCTGGTGCGCCGCGTAGCGCTTCCGGAAGCACACGGCGCCGACGAGAAGCGACGCGACCGGCGTCGACGACCGAAAGAGATTCAGCAGCGGGAACGAGACGCCGCACGTGAGCGCGACCGAGTTCATTTGGCTCACGCCAAAGTAGAGCCCGGCAAGGCCGAGATGGACGGGCAGCGGCAGCACGCGGGGCGAGGTCGGGATGCTCGTGATCGCGACGCTGACAAACTGGAAGGCGGAGATAAAGGTCCCAGCCGTCGAGTCGATGGCGAGCATGCTCTCGAGCGATGCGCCTTGGACCCAGCATGCAGCTAGGACGACCGCGACGAACGAGACCACCGTGGCACCTTGCGCCATCGAGATTCAAGATGCTAACGCACACTATTAAATCATGATATTGGATTTGGTGTATGACCTCGACGCAAATGGTGTCGAGGGTACTTCCGAGACGGTCGCCATGTATTCGAAGTAGCCACAAGCTTGGCGGAGGGTGCCGGGTGATCGCAGGAGGGTGTCGCTGCAGGAGGAGGAGCGACTGCAGCCCAACGGCGCGAGCGAGGAAGAGAAGGTCAGACTACCATGATTCTCTTGGTGTAATGTACTTGTTAGATGGATCGTGCTAATATTCAGTCAGTGGTATGGTACACAGCAACATCGGGGCACATGCTCGCATATTGGATTAACGAGAAAGGCCGGGTGGTCGCGACAGAGGCGCCAAGGAGGGGCGACACCGCTCACGGGGCTTCGTTCGTGATCGTGGGGCTCGAGAGACGCACGTTCAGGACGGCGGACGATGCATTGCTCGTGCGCTGGCGCTTTGGCTCGCTGCTACACACGCACGCTAAGAATGCAACGTTGCAATACGATCTGAGGTGTACCTTGGCGCGTCATTCTCCCGCTTGCGCGAGGCGACCGTGTCGGTCGTCGACGCGTCGGACGAGTCGTCGCTCGTCGAGTCGGCGGCCGCGTCGGTAGTTGCTTTTCTTTTCTCGTCTGGCTTGCGCTTGGAAAACACAAACTTGCGGAGGACGTCCATGCCGTCCTCGCCCGTCGTGGGCTCCGTGCGGCGCTTGCCGCTGCCGGGGCCCTTGAGGACTGAGCTCGGGAGCGAGCTCACGACCTCGGCGACCTCCCAGATCGCGTCCTCTTCGGGCATATTGCGCAAAAGCTTGGCAAAGTACCCGTACGCATGCGTCCGGACCTAGTCAGTTGAGTCACGACGTGTGTCGCAGCTGAGGGCAGCACTTTACCTGGACCGCGGTCTTGGTCTTGACGTGCGTTTGGATCTTCTTCCACTTGCGCCCGTACATGTTGAGGCCTTCCATGAACCGCGCGTGTTCTTCAGCTGTCCAGCGCTCGCGTTTCTTGGCATCCTTGCCATTGTCCTGCACGTCTGACGACTCGGGCGAGTACACGGGCGCCGGCTTGTGCTGGAGACTCGCGTGGTGAGCGTACTCGTCTGCTTCGTAGGCTGTGCGCTGCTGCACGGGGTACTCGCGGCGCGGCATGAAGCTACTTTCGTTGCGCTCGTACTCGGTCGGGTACGCGTAGTACGACGGGTGCGCGTACTGGCGGGGCGGCGGCGCAAACATGGGCTGGCGATGCACACTGCTCTCATAGTACGGTTCGTTCATCGGCGCATACGATGGCGCGCGGGCGTACACGTCCCGGCGCGGCTCGGGGTAGTAGGCCGGCGGCGCGCGCTGCGGGTGGCGCGGTTGGTATCCATGCATGGGCTTGGCGCGGTAGGCATGGTCGCTGCTATTCGGCGAAGGCGGGTACGTCGCATGGTGGTGCGGCGACCGCGTCATGAGCTGGCTCATGCTGGGCAGCGATGGCAGCGACGGCGCGTCCCCAAACGGGGGTCTGAGGTACTCTTTCTTCATCGCGCCTGATGATTTGAGGAATGGCAATCTCGGATGGTTCTTGTAACGCGTATCCGGCACGTCCCACACTGACGCTTTGTATACGTCGTCCGGATACCGTGCGATCCGCATAAATCCGTGCGAAGCCAAGTCCTCCGCCACACATTTGCCAGCGTAATTAAATTGCACGCGCCACGTGGGACCGTCGGCGCCGACCTACAATTTTGAAGCGAATAAAATGTATATAGCATTACACATGTCCCAGAGACATGCCGTTCTTCGCGCCAGCGACATACACTGTATCGTCTCGCCACCTGGTCCAGTCTGCAGCGCCATCAGCGCGGCCGCCGACGCGAAATGGCTTTGCGTCTCCTTCGCGCCAAGGCGTGCGCCAAAATTTCCGCCCTCGGCCACGTCGCCTCGTGTGCAACTGTGTGGGGCCGATTTCTGGGCATGATCGTCCCGAACAGGCGTTTCTCGGGTGCAAGATGGGAATGTGGCGTTGGGTGGCGCTTCTACACGCCGCCGCGCGCGCTCGAGGCGGCGTCGCCTCGTGTCACTCGTGTCTCGCGTGACATCACCGGCACCGCAATGGGCTGCCGATCCTCGTTGGACGAGTCGTCGTCGCGGCCGCGGCGAGCTACTGCGCCGTTAGAATGTACAATAGCTTCTTGAACAGAAGTGCGACGTCAACCCACCCAAAGGGTCGGCCGCGTCTGCGATATGCCAAACGACATGCACGTGATGGGCACTTTGCACTTTGCAATACCAATTTAGTGTGAGCGGAAACCGAGTTCTTCTCGGGAGGTCAGCTGCAGCCGGACTTGACGCCATCACCTCGCAGCTTCAAAACTGTATACCGCTTCGTCAGCTACTCGGCAGACGTGTGCATAAACCGGGGGCAGTGCTCGATAGCGCTCTGATTGGCCCGATTTCCGTGCCGGATTGAAGCCGACGATGAGTCGAAACAGGCGTAACGTCTCGCACCGCCTCCAAAATGCTTGACGAGCTCGCGGAGGAGACGACGTCGCCCGACGTCGTAGCGTTCGCTCCGTACGAAGCCACAAACGCGCATCTCCCGCCATGTCTTTCTGGTGGCGCTGTCCACGTCGTCGCCGAAGCCCTGCGCCTCGTGGCGTCCATCGACGTCAGGTACCGCGCCTATCAGAACTCAGAACTCACTGGCTACTTGCAGCCGACGCATCTTGACCGAGACGAGCGTGCTTACGACTAGCGCGATCAGCTTCTTGGGCGCTTGGGACCAGAGAGCGTCTCTCTTGGCGGCGTACGTTGCGCACAACGAGGCCCGGAGCTCGGAGCAGGCCGCGCTTCGGGCACGCGCCACCGACATTCAGCGCAAATGGCTGCACGTCAAGTTTCGGGCCATCGACCATCCAGCCCGCTTTGAGCCGCCGGAAATATATCCGTACCTCGATGCTGACGACGCGTCGGCGCCCGAGGTGGACGACGACCTCTTGACGCAGCAAGTATGCATGCTGGGTCACGTTGCCGTCGACAACGCGTGTGCGTAGATCGCACAGTACAAAGTCGCGCTGGACAAACGCGTGGCAGACACGAAGGAGGCCCGCCGCCAAGAGGCTCTCGCGGTCGCCCAGCAGCAAAAGGTCACAGCGCTGCGCCGACGCCGCGAGGTGCAGACCAGATTCGCAAGCGACGAGAGTATCGACACCAGTCGTAGGCGCACGCGGAGCGCCATCGACTCGAAAACATCCAACACCGGTGGGAGTACCTCGTGAATTTGGCGCTGCGGCGCGACCACGTGAACCGACTGCGGCGCGCCAAGAGCGCGGCGGTGGCCGATGCTGACGACGACGACGATGACGACGACGAACGGCCGACAACCTACCTCGCGGCCAAGCTCTTTGTCGAGCGCACCCTGCACACTGCGACGCTGCATGCCATGTGGGCGGTGGAAATGCAGTCGCTCGCGTCGCCGCCACCTGAGCTCGTGACCAGCGACGCCGGGCCAGTGCTCCGCCTCTGCATGCTTTTATGTCCCAACCCGTTTGGCGCGCAATTCAGCGCCCTGTACCAGCGGTACTTTGCGCGCGAAGGCGCGACGATCGGCGTCCATTTCGAGTGGCGCGTCTTTGACGTCGGGCAGCTCGAGTTTCCGACCGTCGCGCTCGATGAGTGGGCCCACGGCTACTTGGTCTGCGGCGGTCCTGGCCGCGAAAACGCGTCGCCGCTATGGCACCGATCGGTCGTAGCTTTTGTTGCGCACGTCGTGGGACTCCATCGACGCGTCGGGGCACTTGGGCGCGGCCATCGCATCCTCGCCGAAGCGCTCGGTGGCCACGTCACGTGTGCGTCACCGTGTCGGTTGGACTGGAATGTTTTTGAAGAAAAGGTTCTTTCCCAGCAGTCGATCAAGACGATGGTGTATGCAATTCCTGCGCTCCACGGCGACGTCGTGACGAGTGTGCCAAGCGCCAAAGTCGCAACGAGCACGCCGGGAGCCGCACACTATGTGACCACCTTCAAGACCAAAACCGCCCTCTCGTTCGATGGACACCCCGAGTGCGGCCCGTTTATTCTGCACATGCTCGCGCGGTACCTCCAAGCACCGGCGACGGACGACTCGTCGGCGATCCCCGAGTGTCCGTGGCCCTCGGGCAATGCCCTCGTCGCGCGCAAGCTGCTGCAGCACTTTCTTGTTGCGCATAAAGGGCAAGAGGACACCGAGAGCGTGCTCTCGCGACGGCTGCCCGAGCGACGCATGCGCGTCTTTGCGCACAAGACGGCCGACCCGATGCTCGAGTTCGTCTCGGACACGAACGAGTACCTCTCGTTCGCGTCCAGCGAGAACGTCGATGTCGTCGTGCTGCCCATTTGTCTCTCTTCCGACAAGCACCCGATCGTCTTTGACTCGACGCGCCTCGAGTCGCTGACCGACTTGGCGTCCGTGTACCCGTCCTACGTTCATGCCATTCCGCCGCGCGTCGCGATCAGCGATCTCTCGCTCGCCGAGCTCAAGGCGCTCTCGAGCCTCCACGCGTCTCCAAACGCGAGTCTGCTCAAATCCCCACGTGGCCGGGGCGGGCACGCGGGTGAGAGCAATCGTCTCCAGACGCTCACAAGCGTGCTGCAGTTCATTGCGCGTCTCAACGCGGCGCAGCAGTCATCGCCGCTCGAGGTTGCCTTCATGTTTCCAGAAGAGAACGACGCGACGTTCAGCGCACACGACTGCGACCGCATCCGCGTGCTCTACACGACCCTAAGTGGCGCGCTGCGGGTCTTGCACACCAATATGGACGACGCCGTCCACGTCATATCGCGCGACATTGCCTTCCTGCACACGCTCCACAAGCTGCACCCGCGCTGGCGCACGGTGCTCGCACTCCCGCGCTCGATCGCGACGCCCCTTCGCATGACCGTGCAGCACGACGCATCCGCCATCGCGCACTTTGCCGACGCGATCTTGATTCCCAAGTCCCATCCCGTACTCTTACCCGACCAGATCGACTCGCTCGCGCAAATCTATCACCGCGCCGGCGTCCACGTGTACGTGGACCTCAACGATCCATACCCGACGTCACTCTCGCTGGTGAAGGAGCACATCAAGTGTCTTTGCCTCCGCGTTGACGGCGTCTTTATATCGAATCCGCGCATCGCCCTGGATGGCTTCCGACGCTTTGCGAGCGGTCATAGCTACGTCGACGAGGTTTATGAGGATATACGCCAGAGCTTCAGCCTCGTCGCTGCCTTGGCCGAGCACGAGAAGCTCCAGCGGCAGCAGGAGCCGCAAGCGATCACGTACGCCCACCACGCGTACAAGTTTCCAGGCAGCGAGAGCGAGAGCTGGTCCCAGCGCCTGCGGCACCTTCCGCCCGTGATGGACCACGTGGCGCACCTCGTCGAGGTCGACGCTGATGTTGAGATGGAGCGACAAGTGCGCGGCAACTTCTGCAGCGCGCCAAAGCGGACACTTCCCGCGCGGCCCGTGACGGGGCGGCCACTGCTGCTGGCCGTCACTGCACCCGTCTTGGGCGCTTCGCAGCAAGGTCGTCGATGCCGCACGCGCGTGTCTGGGAAGCGGCATACGATTGGGTCATTGGCCGCTCCGTCCAGTCCTGCTCTCGCCGATCGTTCGGAAGACATTCGCAGTCCGGAGCGCGTCGTTTCGCTCAACCAACGCCGCTCCGTCGCACCACCTTGCAAGCCCCCACTCCTAAGCACCCGAAGCCTACGACCCCGCGCACCAGATCGATAGAGCCTCAAGACAACACAGCAGTCTCTGTTGTCCGCTTCACCCCAGTAAGCCAATAAGAGGTAGCAGCGTCCGAATTGGAATGGCTCCTTGCCACGGCCCTTTCCACATAACACTCGGCCTCAAATGCAACCCATTTTATTCAGTAAATCCCGACGATATTGCAGGCAGAACCGTTGATGTGGTTTAGCGGTAAATGCTCTTCTCGATGCGCGTCGGTTCGATGTACGGTGCCGCCGTCTGAAGCGACGGCCTACGGTTCGTTCGTGAGGAACGAGCAAGCAGGAGACTCTGTCTACGTGTAGCGTGGTGTCTTGGCCGCCGAAGATTTCTTGGCGCGCTCGAGGTGCTTTGTCTCGGCCGCCAGCCGACGGCCTTCGTACTGCACAGAAAGGTCATCCATGAGATTCTCAAAGTCACCAGAACCTGATGCGTCTTCCACTCGTCGCGCGTCATGACGATCTGAAACTCAAATACACCGTCGAGTTCGAGCGTATTGAGCACGGGACTGTCGGTCGAGTAGTGTCCTGGCTCGCGCAGGATGTAAAAATCTATGCACCTCGGTATACAAAAGCTGCAGCACCGAGGCACGCACCGCGCGACGGCGCGAGCTTGGTCCAGCTGCGTGGCGCGGGGTCCTTCGTTTCCCACTTGTAGAGAGGCTGTTGTTTGGCAGGCTTTGCCGGCTGTCGATTCTATCGATCAAGAGGTGCACGAGGAAGCTATTGAACGCTACCGGCGTGAGCTGCTGGTTGCTGTTGCTGCGACGAGGTGGCGTGTCCTTGGTATGCGGACTGCTACGACAACAGCTGCAGTCAGCGTCAGGGCCAATTGCATCGACGAACTTGAAAAGACGCGCATTTGGTGCTGCTGTACGCGGCGCGGGCTTGGCCAGGGTCTGGGCCACCTCGCGCAGCCGCAGCAGCTGATGGTCCAAGTGCGCGGCTCGCGGATCTAGTCAGCCTGAGCCCGAGGCGCCATAGTGGGCGTTCCCACCGTCCGCGTGTGTGCGGCGTAGCTCATCGACTTCGTCCACGCGGCGCTCCACGGCATCGAGCAAGATTGAGAGCTATCGTCACAACATCGAGCGCACAGTTGTCATCGGCGACTCGAACCTCGGTGTCGGGCAGCGTCTTCTTGAACTCTGCGACTTGCTTCTCGAGCGCATCCACTGCATCGTTTGCAATAAGATCGTCATCTCGTTGCACGTGAGAACGCTACCTTCTTTGACGAGCGTCGGCACGCGGCGAATGTCGACGCGATGCCAGGTCGCGACGCGCCTGTCCATGATCGTGGTTCGTTTTGGCGTAACCGCATCGGATTGGTCGGAAACCTTTCGTGTGGGCGAATCGCAAACAAGTATTCGAATTGATATTGACCAATCATAGGGGCGCGTGAAGAATGGAACAGGGCGGTTTGGTATTGGTGGATTTGCTGCGATGGCGGGCAAGGAGATCTTCGGCGACGATGGCGCGGGCCTCGAGCTCACGGTGAACTCCAAGTTCGCGGACCAGTACATCGAGCGCAAGCGCAAGGAAGAGCTCTCGAAGCACCGCTACGACGACGACGACGAGTCCTCGGACTCGGAGACCGAGGACGAGGACGGCGACCAGCTCACGACCGAGCTCGACAAGGACATCTCGCGGACGCTCAAGCTCATCCGGTCCAAGGACCCGTCCATCTACGACAGCAAGATCAGCTTCTTCGAGCAGGGCTCGGACGACGAGGATGAGGACGAGGAAGATGGCGAGGCCAAGAAGGCCAAGAAGACCAAGAAGACCAAGCCGCTCTACTACAAGGACCTCGTGCGCCAGCAGGTGCTTGCTGGCGACCTCAACAGCGATGAGAGCGACGATGAGCCGCCAGTCACGACGTACGCGGACGAGCAGAAGAAGCTCAAGGGCGACTTCCTCCAGTCGGTCGCCGCCGAAGCCGACGACGAAGAGGAGCTCGATGGCGGCCTCTTCACCGTGCGCCAAAAGACGGCGGACGACGAGGAGCGCGAGGCTGCCGACTTCAAGGCGTTCCAGGAGGAGAACCCGGACGCGGTCGACGAGCTGGACGCGGATGCGTTCTTGGCCAAGTTTATGAAGTCGGGCGCGTGGAAGGAGAAGCGCAAGACCCCGAGGTACATACATGTTATGCCCTTGCTTAGCACTTATCAATCTAAATGTAGCTACGCTGAGATTGTGGGCACGGACAAGGTCGACGACGAAGAAGACGCCGACGAGCTGGATAAGGCTGACGCCTTTGAGCACTCGTACAACTTCCGTTTCGAAGAAGAAGGCGCCGGTCAAATCCAGACCTTCTCGCGTGTCGTGGAAGACTCGATGCGTCGCAAGGACGACAAGCGTAAGAAGGATCGTGAGGAGCGGAAGGCACGCAAGGCGATCGAGCGCCAGAAAAAGGAAGACGAGCTTCGCCGGCTTAAGAACCTTCGCCAGGCCGAGATCCAGTCCAAGATCGACAAGGTTATGGCCCTCATGGGGCCCACCAAGTCGGCGCTTACGGTCACTGACGTGGACGGCGCGTTCGACCCCGAGGAGCACGACCGCCGCATGGCGCAGGTGTTCAACGACGACTACTACGGCGAAGAAGCCGTCGATGAGAACGGCAAGCCCGTGTGGGAAGACGACGATGACGTCTTTGGGAAGCTCCCGGAAGAGGATGAAGAAGACGACGACGAAGACGATGATGCCAAGGCCACTGCACCGGTGACCGAGGACGACGATGAGGCGAACGACGACGAGCCGATGGACGATGCTGCCGATGAGGTCGACGAGGAGATGCCGGAGAACCTCACGGTTGAAGAGATCAAGGCCATGAAGCAAAAGTACCTCGACGAGCTCTACGCGTTGGACTATGAGGACATCATTGGCGACATGCCGTGTCGCTTCAAGTACAAGACGGTCGAGAAGAACGACTATGGTCTGACGACCATGGACATCCTCGACGCGGACGACAAGGATCTCAAGTCGGTTGTCTCGCTCAAGCGTCTCGCTCCGTACGTGGACCGCGAGTACTCTGTGAACCGACGCAAGGTCCAGCAGCTCCGCAAGCAGCTGCGCTCCAAGCGGTCGGCCAAGAAGCCGGTCGACGAGGTCGAAGAAGCGGCGCCGGCAGCAACCGAAGAGGTGGCCGCTGAATCGACCGAGGGCAAGAAGTCCAAGAGCCGGAAGCGCAAGCGCAAGTCCAAGACGGTGGAAGAGACCGAGGAGCCATCTGCTGTCGTTGACGAGGAAGTGGCGGTGCCGACAGAAGACGCTTCGGCCGAGTCGTCCAAGAAGAAGCGCAAGCAGAAGAAGAAGAAGACGGAGAAGACGCCGGACACGGGTCTCTCGGCGTCGCGGCTCGAGTCGTACCGGTTGAAGCCGCTCAAGTGATAACATAAACAGGCTGCCTTTCTTTTTTAGCCCATCTTATAGATAGTCTTATGCTGCTCGGGAAGAAGCCGCTGCCGCCCCACCGGCAACGCACGCTCCGGCATCTCTTTGCGGACCCCGAAGGCCTCGAGTACCTCGTCTCGGAAGATGCGACGCTGTACCCGCCCGTCGTGATCCACGGGCGTGTGTTCACCAACATCGACCCGCAGACGCGCGAGCGCGCTCAGAAGCGCTGGGACGCCCTCCGTGACGTGGTCATTCGCACGCCAGAGCTCACGCGCATTGCCCAAAAGCTGCAGGAGAGCGTTCGGTAGCGCATCAACGGCACTAAATCCCGCTGCATCGTTCTTCTGGCGTAGGATCCTCAAGATGCACCCGTCCGAGCGCTCGGACACGGACGTCGCGCAGCTCTACGCGTGGCTCATGTCCCAAGAGAATTTGAGCCCCGTCTTCAAACCAGTGCGACGACACGTTTGACATGTCTTGCTTGACGCAGCAATAGTGCCCGAGACGATTGGCAAGAACGTCTGTCGTGAAATGGAGTTTCTCCACCTTCGCCGTACGACGAGGACGCTTAGTATGTATCTGAAGCGACGTGCGTAGCCAACGACATTATTGTCCATCAAGGCGACATTGGCGAGACCTGCTTTGTACGCTGCGTGTGAGAGGATGCTGCTAACGCCGAGGCAGATTGTCGTGAGCGGTCAAGTGGGCATTCACGTCCGGACGCCGGACGAGCAAGCCGCGTTTGCCAAAGCGGGTGGCCGCCAAGACTTTCCGCCCGACCCGCCCACGTGCCAGCAGGAGCAAGAGGCCGCGCGCCAAGCGGTGTCGTCTCGAAGGTCGAGCGGCCAAGTCGGCGGCCGGCGACTAAGCAACTTTCTGCCGCCAGCACCACCGAAGGTGCGTCGTGCTTCCATGTGAGAAGCCGCTTGAACGTACAATAGCCAGTGGTAACCCCCGAAAGCCTCGCGCGCTGCGGCAACAAGGTCGCGACGCTCCGGTCGGGCGCGACCTTTGGCGAGATCTGTCTCATCGAGGCCGACTCCAAGCGCACGGCCACCGTGATCGTCGACGCTACTTGCCCGATGGCCAACCTCATCGTGCTCTCTGCGTCGTCGTACGCCAAGATGACGCGCAGCCCGCGCACCGAGGTGCGTGCGTCCTTGATATGTTGATAGTATGATCTGGATACAGGGCACGATCTCGGACCACATTGCCTTTCTCGCGCAGATGCACCTCTTCAAGACGTGGTCCAAAATGCGTGCGTGACCGACTGCGATAGTCCAACATCTTAGGCGCGCGTAGAGCTCATGCGTCTCGCGTCGTCTCTGCGCTACATGGTGTTTGCGCCGCAGGTAATCGATGCTGCAAACGTGCACATGTCACGCGCGGCAGTAGCAGTACATTTTGCGCAAGAACGTCGATGTCGAGTACTTTTACATGTTCCTCGGCGGCGAGGCCAAGGAAGTGTCGAGCGTCTCCTTTCACGAAGACGTTTTGACCGGGTACGGCCGCTGCTGCTTCTTCTTCACGACGATCCCTATAGCGTTGCCGTCAAGACGGCCGAACACAAGGGTGACGACCGAGCTCACACACCTGAGCAAGTTTGACGTGGCGGGTACGGCAAGTACGCATGGACGCCGTGGTGATGGTATGCGCCAGGCGAAGGACTCGTTTTGGGCAAAAAAATGCACTTGTGCCCCGTCGACGTCAAAGCCGGTAGGCCATGAGCGATTGATACATTCTTGATACATAAAGGCGACGCAGAAAGCACCGTCGTCGCGCTTGGACTCAGTGTACTGGATACGGTCGCTTCCATCCTTATCCATCGTGGGCCGTAGAAGAAGCTCTTGCCATGTACTTTTTCGGCGGGAACGCGTCGCATCGGCACGTGCAGCACTCGACCAAGATCCTGCGGCAGCTCTTCGACGCGCGCCAGCACTGGCGCGAAGCCCGCATCCAGCAGGCGCTCACGTACCCTGAGTACATGGTCCAAATGTCTGCTTCCGACCTACAATGCATCATGCGTCTCACACGCTCATGCTAGAACGTCCAAGATGATGCGTTTGAGCGGCAACATCTGCATGCAGTGCGGTCGGCGCACGCACGTGGCCGGCGACGTGCTCTGCCTCGTCGAGACGGCACCGCGCCACCACCCGGCAGTCGACCACGTGGGCGACAAGGCCCACATTGGCAACCGCATCGAGGCGCTCGGTGGCGGCGACGACGAGGTCGACAGCTCGAGCGACGAGGGCGACGCGGCCCGGCGCGAAGCACGGAGCCTCGAACGGCACGCGGTCCTAAAGCGATGCTGGAAGGACGCCGCCAAGCACGGGCTCACGCCGCGGCGCCCCTCCACCCACAGCGTACCGCACATAGATCTCATTGTCACCAAGGCATATTCTTATTCGTCGATAGATGCCTCAGGTGCCCAGCCAGCGCACGCCGGCGCCCGAGATGATTGCGGCGGTCCGCGCCTCGTGGCCCTACCAGCCGTTCCCGTCCATCCTCCTCACGAGCGAGCGCGCACCACATTAATCAATAGTATTAAAAGGCGACTTCCTTGATGCCCAAGCTCTCGATCGCAATGTCCTCGGCCGGGTGCTCGTACGCTCGGTGGTGGAACGACGTCGATGACGACGACGACGTCATCGTGGTGTTTGTATACGGTTGGCGGTCTCCGACATCTTCGTCGCGCGGCAGGTCGGTGGTCTCGGCGAGGTACTCGGCGCTCGTCATGTACGCAGTCGCCGACTGCGCGAGGACTTTGAGAATCTCGAGCTGCGTGTAATCGATGACCTTGCGCGGCTTGACGTCGGCGACGCACACGTCGCCAATGCACTCGCCGCTCTCGAGCACCATGGGCACGCCGACAAAGAACTGGACGCGCGAGATGGACCGCTTCTCGTCGCTGATGCGCTTGTCCGAGAGCACGTCGAGGACGACGCAGGGCTTGCCCGTTTGCGCCATGCGCCGAAAGGTCGGGAGCGACTTGGGCATGCGACTCATGTCGGCCGTCGGCGCATACTGGACGATCTCGAAGAGCGTCGTGCGGATGCCGGCCATCGGACAGTCGAGGCTCTGCATCGCAGTCCGGCAAATCTCGGCAAAGTCTTCGTTGACAAACGTCTGACGCTTCGACGCCTTCTTGTGGGGTCGCGGCACGTCGTCCGCCGAGCTGTCCGACCGACCTGACCCGCGCGCGGTCTCGTGGCTGTGGTGGCTGCCACCGCTGGACCGGTGGGCCGGGCGGTCGGGGCTGTGGCGGTCTGCACTCGGCCGGCGGTCGGGGCTGTGGCGGTCGGCGCTTTGTTGGCGGTCGGCGCTTTGTCGGCGGTCGGGTTGTTCAACAAAGCTGCGGGTCGTGGACGCCGAGGACGGTGTACGGTGGAAGGATTGCATATAGTTGGAGCGCTCGACAAGCGACTGCGTCGAGCCGCAGTCGCCGAGGTGCGCGTAGGCCTGCGCGAACCGCGTCGCGAGCTTGGTCAGCGCTGCGCTCACGAGGTTGCTGCCACCGGCTTTTCGGCACGCCAACGTGAGCGTCACGATCGACTTGTGGCCGTCGGGCGACGGCGTAATGATAAACGCGCTCGGCTCAAACCATGCAAGCTTGTACGTGTCGGGCTTGGCGCGCAGACCGTACTGCGCACCGACGCCGTCGTACGACTCGAACATGACGATGGCCGACGGGCCGTACATCTCCGAGTGGTGCATGCCGCAGTATTCGTAGTAGAGGAGCTCTTTCGGCTTCGTGAAGGCTTTGCCGGTACTCATCGCGCACCACTTGAGTGCAAGCGACTCGGCCGCGTCGTTGTGGCGTGTGTGCGCATGCAAGACCTCGCCGTCGAGGAAGGCCTTCCCGTGGAGGTCCTTCATCGTGCTGCGAAAGCCGTTCGAGTCGAGAAGCCGGAGCAGCTCGAGCGTGTACTCGATGGGCATGTTGACGGTGGTCTCGAGGCGCAAGGCCACTTGCTTGTTGCTGCTGTTGCTGCTGTGCTTGTACACGCGCGTGTCGTGCTTCCTGTGCATCATCGTCCAGTGCTCGAGGTTCATGGAGCTAGTCACGACGCGCTCGAGCTTCTTGCGGCCATCGAGGTACATGTGCTCCAGGTCAATGTCTGCCGGCCACGCGGCCGCCTGCTCCATCATCATGCTCGCGGCAGAGGCAGCGAATGCAAGTGTTATCGCCAAGTGTGCGTTCGAACTCGAAGTTCGAAGCTACACCACGCGTTGCAGCGGATACAAACTGCGAGACGATGGCGGACGTGGCCTTTTCGCAGAGGCCACGACAGCTCGTCTGTCTTTGCCGCCTTGTCGTCGACACCGAAGGCGAACCTCTGAGTGCGAAGCTACTAAGAACTACTAAGAACTCACTCGACCGGTCTGCAAGTAGCCACCAAACAGTGCGTGCGCTGCGGCGGAGGTACAAGTTCAGTGCACCTCGGTCGGCCTGTTACTGACGCGCCCATGCTACAAGCAGATCCGCGCTAATGCATCCAGACCGCAGTCATCAATGGATCCAGTCGACTACGGTGGTCTGCCGAGTTGCCGATCGTTGCCGTGACGTGGCAGCGGCTTGGGCGGTTGCGAGAGAGGGCGCCGAACGTTCTTCGCTGTGTGCAAGCATCATCCGGATACGCTGCATCCGGCATGTTCTCGGGCCGTTGGGACCGGGCAGAAGCTATTTCGAGTGAAGGTCCTTCCATATTTCAAGCCAATCAGCACGCAGAGAACAAGCCGAGCCAAGTCCCAGTGTTCTAAATTCATTTTTGCATTTGCCAGCTCCAGCGCAAGCAACTCCGCACCATGCAAATCTTTGTCAAGACGCTCACAGGCAAGACCATCACGCTCGACGTCGAGCCTTCCGACTCGATCGACAACGTCAAGCAGAAGATCCAGGACAAGGAGGGCATCCCGCCGGACCAGCAGCGCCTCATCTTCGCCGGCAAGCAACTCGAAGACGGCCGCACGCTCAGCGACTATAACATCCAGAAGGAGTCGACGCTCCACCTCGTCCTCCGCCTGCGCGGTGGCATGCAGATTTTCGTCAATCTAAATCATGTCTACCTATAATATTTCTATCTGCAAGCAACACGAGATGCCAGCATAAATGTTTAAAGGAATGGCAGAAAGCTCGTCAAGACTTGGACACCCGGTGTCAACGCACTGAAGATTGTTTGCATGGAACATGTAGGCTTTGCAGAGTCTCGCCCAGCCTGGCATTTGGTCGCTGCTTGCGCTTGTCTCGTCTCGCCATGTACCACGGCCATTGATCCCGCAGCTGCATGCAGCAAGAGGGAGGACAGGCGCCAAAATGGCCAAGTGCTTGAGCCATGACCAGCATGCGCCCCGACTGGAGCTAGGCTAACGTTGCCGAAAGCCTAGGCTCTCAGGTACGGGTATGCTCCACCGGTTAATTATCCGGATAATCCACGAGAGCGCTCATTTGGAATTTGCGATCGCAGCAAGCAGGAGAGTCGAGCGCATGGCGACCAAGGCGACGCAGACGCCGGTGCAGGGCGACGAGACTCCTTCGAGTGAGTCGACCGAGATGCGCCTCGTCGTCGCTCGAGGACCGAAGCGGTCGCGGGGTCTTGCCACGCTGTACGCAATGACACCCCCAACCCTGGCTTTCTAACGACACCATTTATGCTGCAGACCCCCCAAGGAGTCCAGCGGCGGCCGCAGCGCGCGCGTGCGGAAGCCCACCACCACGTACACCCCCGTTATTGAAGCCAAGAAGGTCGGTCGTGGCCGGCCGCCTGGGTCCAAGGCCGGGGCCGCGACCGCCAAGGATCCGGTCAAGCGACTCTTGAACCGCGTCCGTGCCCGCGTACGAGAGACCAGCATATACTGACGTCCTGAGCTCATGGAACTGGCGTTGGTGGTAGCTGTCCCAACTTCGATACCAAACGACGTACATTGAGACGTACGAAGCGGATGGGTGGCGCAAGCGAAGCACCGAGAAGCTCAAGCCGAGCGGCGAACTGGAGAAGGCCCGACGCAAGCTGCGCTACGGCAAGCAGATGCTCTTGGCCGACATCCGCAGTTTCCAAGAGCACTACGCAGCGCATCGGCCGCTGCCGCGCGACGCCGGCGAGATGAACGAAGAAGACATTTTGTGTGCCAAGTGCCTCCTCTCGACGACGGCGCCTGACAACGACATTCTGATCTGCGAGTCGCCTGGCTGCAACCGGTGTGTACTCGCAGCTCCATGCGTGCGTGGCCTCACAACGAGTTCGTAGCGTGTACCACCAGCAGTGCCTTGAACCGGTCTTGCTCACAAAAGACCTTCCGGCCGAAGACGTCGACTGGTACTGCCACCTGTGCCGTGGTATCTTCGAAGCCCTCCGGTTGACCAACTTGTCCTTTGGCACGGCGTGGATGGCCGTCGATGAAGTATGTATTCCTGCTGTAATCGTCGCTCGACGAAGCGATTGCTTATAGGTGTTTCCCGACCTTGAGGCAGAGACCGCAGCCGCCGAGAGCGACCTCATTCCGTCCGACTCGGACGACGACGACTTTACAGGCGTCGATTCCAAGGACGACGCGAGTGGTGATGGCGAGGTAAGTCGCTGCTCGTAAATGACGCCTAGTGACCCGGCACTAGTCTGAAGACGGCGGCTCGGAGGATGCAATGAGCGACAGTGAAATCGCGTTCCACAAACAAGCACTCGCCACGGTGGAACCGCAACCAAAGCCGACCAGTGGGGATGACGCAGTCGTGGTCGCTGGAAAGCGAAAGCGATCGGTCGTCGACTATCGCGCGTTGCTGGCGCAGCTGCCCGCTGACGAAGACGACGATGAGGACAATGACGAGAACGAGTATGCGCCACCGGACGAGAGTCCATCGGACCACAGCAATGCAAGTTCGTCGGACAACGAAGAAGAAGAAGACCCGGCAACCCTTATCGTTGCAGGCAAGCGGAAGCGAACACATGTCGACTACCTTGCTCTTAATGGCCAGCTCTTTCCCAACGACGCGGCGGGCGACGAAGAAGGCGACGCAGAGTATGCTCCGAGTAAGCTCGAAACGATTGCCGAGTCGTCAGACGAAGAAGACATGGCTGCTGGCAATGACGACGAGCCCTCTCTTCCTGTGAGGGAGAAACGAAAGCCTGGGCGGCCGCGAAAGCCCGTGGATCCCAACGCACCGCTGCGCAAGCGTGGCCGTCCACCGACCAAGCACCTCAAGCTGGCGGCAGCCACTTCGTCGTCCGCATCGACCTCGAACGAGGCGACAGCAACTTCTCTCAAGCGGAAGCTTTCGATGGGCGAGGCTGAACAAGGCCCGGCTTTGAAACGCAGCTCATCGCCCGATGATGAAAGGGCGCCTGGCATCTCTTCGACGTCGTTACCGATCTCACTGGTGCCGTCAACGGAGCCCGTGGCACTAGGGAAGCGACAACGGACGCCCGTGGACTATGTCGCTCTGAACGGCGCGTAGTTGCAAGGCCTTGGTAGCCGAGTCAATTTATGCTTTGTTTTTTCATCTAGTACATGGGGAAAGCAGGGTCGACGCGTGCTGCCCATGCGTCGAGGCCGCCTTCAATGTGCCACACGCGCGTCGTCGACTGCAGTAGCAAGAGCGCGGCGTCGACGGAATCGACACCCCGGCGGCAAATCACGTATACTATGATCGCATGAAGAAGCGTCGGAGGCGCGACGTCGTACCTGGCTTGGACGCAGGAACGCGCTTGAGCTGGGCGGGAAGCGCTTTCAGCGGGATGTTGACCGCGTGACGCAAGTGGCAAATGGCGAATTGGACGGGCTCGCGCACGTCGAGAAGGCAGTAGTCATCCGGCGACGATGCACGGCGAAGGGCCACGGCCAAGTCCTACAACGGTTCATGGCATAGCTCCACCAACGGCCCACGCTTCGAACCTCGACGCTCATGACGTGGTCGGGCGACAGCGACGACGTCAGCGTGCAGTGGCCAGCGCTACTCGTGGCCGCCGAGTCGAGTGCAGACAAGATCGTTGGGGCCTCGCCACACACAGCGCAGTCCTTGCGCCTTGGCGACAGCTACACCAAACTCTATTGCATTTGCCGAGGCGGTAATGCCACCGAGTACCTTGAAGTGGCGGACGCTGCCGTCGTAGGCGTCATAGAAAGCCTGCGAGCGGCTTAGCGGTGTGCCCATCCCAGTGAGGACCTTGACCACCTACGCAATTGCTGGCAAGTGAGCGCAGGTAGCAGAGCGTCGCCACCTCCATCGCCTGCATGGAGCCGATGATGCCAGGCACGACACCGAGTACACCATTGTCCGAGCAGTTGCCTGTCTACGTGTCTGCTATCAGTCGCGACATTGACGGTCGCGCGTACGAGGCCCATGGGCATGGCGTTGGGGTAGCAGCACCGGTAGCACGGACCGTCCTTGTAGTGGTATACAGCCACCTGCCCTTCCAAGCCCAACGCGCTCCCGCTCACGAGCGGCTTGCCTTCGAGGACACAGACGTCGCTGACGAGGTACCGCGTCGCGACGTTGTCCGAGGCGTCGACGACGACGTCGTAGGCGCGCACAAGCTCGGCAGCATTGGCAGGAGTGAGGAAGAAGGGGTGGATGGCCAGCGAGAGGTGCGGGTGGCGGCGTTGTAGCTCGTCGCGCGCGCTCTCGACCTTCAGCCGCCCGACAGCTGCCTGCGTGTGGAGCACCTGCCGATGCAAATTGGTCTCGTCGACAACGTCGCCATCGACGACGCCAATATGACCGACGCCCATGCCACCAAGGTAGAGCAGTACGGGGCACCCGAGCCCGCCGGCGCCAACAACTAGAGCCACATGACATCATCCTTCGCCCATGCATCGCCGCGTCTACCTAGAACGCGGGCCTCGAGGAGTGTCTTCTGCCGCTGGACGCCGAAGTCCGACACGAGCAGCTGGCGGCTGTACCGGCGGTTGGCCGCAGCGTCAAGCTCCGTCTCGAAGCCGTCGGTCACCATCGTCGAAGCGCGCAATGCTACCTACGTCTTTTCTCGTCGTCGCTCTCTCCATACAAAACGCAAGAGCACCTGAAATAGAACGCAAAATGCGGTCAAACAGGTTTTACTCACGCGACCGCCTTTGATCGGCGTCGTGAGAAGCGAGCGAAAGCATGGGAAGGAACCGAGTCGCTGCCAAAGCAACGCACAGACTGTGGAGGTGCTGCCTTTGATGGACGGTCGCCTGGTGTGCGCGGCCGCGGCCTGCTGGTAGAGGCCGCACGCCGTCGAATAACGCGTTAAATGCGATCATGGTGCGTTTTTTGTCTCCGTCATCCAGTTTGCAACGTGCCATGAGCGAGAGCATGCGCCGAACTGCGAGCGAGCCCAGCGGCAGCCCGCGCCTCCAGCGCCAGAACTCGTCGTCTTCGTCCGTGGCGTCGTCCTCGGTCCTCCGGAGCAACTCGAGCTTCCGGGGCGCGCTGCCAGGCATGCTCGAGGGCCGCTTCCTCGGCATCCTCGCGTCCGGCCTCGTCGACAAGCGGCGCGAAGGCGCAGTTCGCGCCGGGTTTGCGCGCCGCCTCTTCATTTTGAGTGTACGTGGGCTCCACTACTACCGCAAGGGCGACGAACAAGAGGTGTTTGGCACGGAGCGCGGCCAGCTGCCGCTCAAGGACGTCGGGTACGCCAAGGTCGTGCCGGAGGAAGAGGCGCCGTACGGAACCATCGAGGCCGGCGTCGACTCGCACTTTGTGGGCATCTTCTCCAAGCAACACACGCTCACGTGGTTCCTGCGCGTCGAGTCGGCCGACTCGGCCAAGTACTGGGCCACGTCCGTGAACGCAGCGCTCGAGATTGGCAAGAAGAAAGCGTTCCCGACGGAATGGACTGCCGAGATGCTCGACATGTACACCAAGATCGCAGTCGGCGTGCCCACATCCCCGGAGCTTCCCGATGGTCGCCAGCCGACGCCGGCCGCGGTGGCCGCCCCCAGCGGCAGCCTCCCACCGTCCCCATCCCGGGTACGTTCCACTGCATTTCGATGCATCATCTCCTGATGCTCCACTAGGACATGCAGCCAATCGTACTTGGACTCTCCATGTCGACGGCGGCGGGGCGCGAGCGCCTCATCACGCGCAAGCTCGAGCTCGAGAAGGACATCCTCCTCGGGCCGATTCCGCTCGGCCTCAAGGTCAAGGAAGCGTGCTACTTTATCATGAACAACCAAGACGTCGTCGTCTTGCCGCACGCGCAGCTGGCGCCGATCATCGCGGCCGTCGACGCGTCGGGCCGCGGCAGCCTCGAGTGCGTCCTCAAGGGTGCCCGCACGTCCATCGCCGGTATGTCGTTCGTCTCGCTGTTTGGCTCCACGTCGTGTGCGTAGTGGCTGCGCACGTGACGCGCGTCGTGTCACGCGTGCCGTCGGCGACCCTCGCGCCCGAGCGGCCGCCGGTGCCGAGTCTCTTGACGACGTCGACCACGTTTGGCGCGCTCTACCTCGTGAGCTGCGGCATTGCGCTGGCCTTTTCGCCGCCATTCCAGGGCGTCATGAAGGTCACGGCGACCCTCGGGGTGCTCCTCGCCCTCTCGGTCCTCGGCGTCGCGTACCTCGATTACGCGCAGCTGTCGTCGGTGCTCCAAGCCTCGGCGGCCCGCGAATCGCCGCCATCCCCCACCGCGAGTCTCTACAACGTCGTCCTCCGCGTCGCGTCGGTGGACCTCTTGTCGCCGGACGAAGAGCGCCCCGAGGTCGAGGACGAGCGCCCCGAAGCCGAGGACGAGGCAGACGAGGTCGTCGTGTCGGCGCCCGTGCGGCCGGACGTGATTCCAGAGCTGGCGTTCTCGCCCCGCTTCGTGGCGGCCGAGAAGGGCGACGAAGTCAAAGGCCGCGCGCGCTACGAGGCGACGCTGCAGTGGCGTCGCGAGAACCACGTCGACGGCATCCTCTACGAGGTGCAGCCGCACTTTCACTTGATCAAGCAGTGCTACCCGCAGTACTTTCACGGCCGCTCCAAAAACGTACGGCGCCTTTGTATCAACTTGATACTTAGACATGCGTAGGGCAACTGCGTCTACTATGAAAAGCTCGGCAAGATTGATCTCAAGCGCCTCAAGAGCGCCGGCTTGAGCTTGGACCAGCTCCTCCGCCACTACATGTACATCACCGAGTACCTCTGGCTCGTTCTCGAGCCGTCCGACACGGGCCGGACCATCTCGGTGCTCGACGCCGAAGGCGTTGGGTTCTACGACCTCACGGGCGAGGTCATGGAGTTTGTGCGCCGGGCGATGGCCTTCGTGTCGGCGCACTACCCCGAGCGCAGCGCGCAGATCTTCATCGTCAACGTCCCGACCTGGTTCAACGTCATCTGGAAGGGCATTAGCCCGCTCGTCGACCCTGTTACGAAGGAGAAGGTTGCCATGCACAACAATACTGGATGGATGGCGATCGTCTGCATTAGATTCGCATCTGCAAGGGCAAAATGGTCAAGGAAGAGCTGCTCAAGTCGATCGACGTGGCCGAGCTGCCATCCGGTATGCAGTGTATTTTTGTTCCACTGGAAACAACGCTGTATGCTGCGTGTAGACTATGGCGGCGACGGCCCCGCGCTCGGCGAGTCGGCCGAAGAGAAGGCGCTCGCGGCGTACGTCGATCAGTTTACCCACTAATGGCAATTTAACGCGTTTACCCTGTACCTCTGCAAAACGCATACGATTGATATTAAATACGAGAGGGTCTCGCGGCGCATCCGGCGATTCTTGGACGACGATGTTCCACGGGATCGACGCCGACGACGACGCGAGCCTCGAGGACCTTGAGCGAGAACTCGCCGAGTGCGAGCAAGAGCTCGTACTGTGGAAGGTCCGGCACTCCCGCGCGTTGAAGAAGCGGGCGCTCGAGGCTGCAGCGCCGCCATGCCCGAGCCCCGACGCATCGCCCGTCGCAGAGCAGCCCATCGAGCAAGCGGCGCTGTCAACCGAGACGTCGCTGCAAGCAATTGCGAGCTCACCAGTGCGTAGCCCAAGTCCGCAATTGGCGAGCCAATCTGCACCTTCGGTCGCAGTGCAGAGCCCATCATTGCTTGCTCCCATTGCGAGTCCCACCGCATTGCCAGCGGTTCAGACGTCAGCGGTGGCTCGAAGCGAAATGTCTGCGCCCGTCGCTAGCCCAGTACCCAGCTCGAGTCCGATCTTGGCGGCCAATCTGACCATCTCCACGACAACGTCGGCGAGCGCAACGCCGCAGCGCCTCTCGTCGCCGTTGGGCGCTGGCGTCGACGAGAGTAACCAAGAAGATCGGCGGCTGCTGATCCAGAAACTCCGCGAAGAAAAAGCCAAGGTCGCCCGTCGGGAAAAGATCGCCGAGCTCGAGAAGGCTGCGGCCGAAGCGCTCAAGGTACCTGGTCCATCGTCTTCTTCCATGCATCGCATCCTTGCCTCGTAGAAGCAGCGCATTGCGCGGGAAAAGCTCGAGCGCGTCAACCAGCAGCGGGCCGCACCGCCGCCACCGATCCGCACGACACAAAACAAGCGGCCGCTACCCGTCTCCGCGGCGCCACCTCGGCACGCCAAGCGTCACTTCACGCACAGTACGATCGTCGACAAGCCGCTGGACCCGGAGGCCATGGCCCGTACGTCATCTCTCTCGTCTCCTCCACCTTCACGGTGTCTAGTGCCCAAGGCGGTGGCGCTGCCGCTGTCGTCGCCTAATGACCTTCTCTCGCATGTCTTCCGCGTCTGCACGCGGTCGCTCCTGCAATCCAACAAGGTACGCCCCTGCCGTGTCTCGCCATGCGACTCACACCCGAGGCTTTGCAGCCGCTCTCGGTGCCGCAGCTGCAAGTGCTGTGCCAAGACTACTTTGGGAAGGAGTTCGGTCTCGTCGCCCAGGCCTGCGGCTTGGCGTCGGCCGACCTCGGCCAGCTCCTATCGCCCTACGCCTTCCTCCGTGTCGCTGTCCATGGTCTCTCGGCGCCGTCCTCCGCCGTCGACGCGTCGCCGATCGACGACGGGCTCATCCCGTCCGTCCGATGCGACTCGGCCGGTACCGCATCCTCATGTTGATTGCAAGCGACCCATCGCATCGAGTAGATGGCGTCGCAGCGTTCCTCCACGCGTCGCGCGAACGAGTTCAGAGCGTCCTCCAGCTCACATCGTCGCTGGCGTCGTCGAAGGAGACCGCGCTCCTCGACGTCGTCAAGGCCCATGCGATGCTACATGCAGCGGCGCCACGGCAAACCTTTCTCGAGCTCTGCTGGCCACGCGCGTTGACGTGACGATGCCAGCTCTCTCGAATTCGCTGGTCTTTCTGCATTTGCTCGACCGTCCCGAGGCGGCGCGCAGCGGCAGCGCGATGACGGCCACCAGGAATGATGACGCGCACGTGTCGACGCCGTTTTCGCTGATAGAAGCGTCGCCGCTGCGGTCGCTGCGGTCGTTTCGGTTTACGCCGGCGTTTGCGCAGCTGTACCCGACGACGTCGGTCTTGAGCAATACGTTTGCGCACCGCATCGACCCCACCAAGTACAGCTGACGCATGCGACGTCGACACTGACGCGTCGTCGTTGTTTCTAGGGTGCTCTGTCCCTTTGAGCTGCACGGCGTGTGCAACGACGACCAGTGCAACTACCAACACGAGCGCGAGTACGCCGTGTCGGCGACGACGGCTCTGCACGACTTGGGCCGCCTGCACCCGCTGCCCGAGACGGACGCCGGTGCCACCGCCGAGTCCATTGCGGCAACGTGGGTCGAGACCGTGCAAGCCGCATCGGCAACCGCTTCAGACGTGCTTTTTCTCCGCGGGCCCAAGTTGCAACTCAAAGAGACGCAGGCCAATCAAGCGTGGATGGGCTTTACACAGAGCCTCCTCTCGCTGCGCAAGATGGAGTACGAGATGGGACTTGGGTACTTGGACGAGGTACGGTGCATTCGCCGCCTCGAACCCATCGCGACGCACACGTAGGACGAACCGCCGGCGCCGAGTCCGAGTCCAGGGACGCCGCGCATGCTCCAACAGAGTCTTCGCGAGGACGATGGCGACGCGATGGACGAGGACGAGGACTTTCTCGCGCTGCCGCCGGCCGAGCCGGTGGCAAGCATGTCAGGCCAGCGGTACCACGCCAAAGAATACCTCCAGCACGCGATTCACGTAGGCGCATGCGGGATTTCTTGGCTTATCGGAGGATCGCATTAGGACTTGGAGCGACAGGTGGCGCTCAACCCCGAGGATGCCGACGCGTGGGTGTCGCTGTCGCTCATGCACCTCGATTTGGAGCTACCGCCGCACTTGTATGTCGACCGGAGGCGGCCGATCGTCCGCTCAGCGCATCGTTTCGTAGGGACGACGTCGGTGCAGTTTCGAGCGACGCGCACCTCCGCCACGTTCTCCAGGTCGATGGCCACCTGCTTTGAAAAAGATGCTCAATGGCGCGTAGGCCCTGCGGAGCCGATTCCAGTTGACGTGTAAAGACGACGTGGCGCTCGACAAGACGCTTCACGTGCTCAGCCGCGCGCTCGAGGTCGAAGCCAACGTGTACAACGAGACGCTCTGGCGTCTCTACCTCGCCTTGTACCCGGACGACGCGACGCGCCAAGAGCTCGCGCAGGAAGCCCTTCGATTCCTTCCTGCGTCCCGCGCGCTCTGGCTCGCCTTCTTGGAGCGCGCGCGCTTCGAGTCGGTCGGCGTTGCCCAAGTGTTCTACCACCGGTCGATCGAGAAGCTGCTTCGGCACGGCGATCCGCACACGAGCAGCGCGATCGTGTATACACTCGTGCTGCGGCTCGTCGCCCTCTACCTCGGCGCGGGCCAGACCGAGGCGGCCTTCGCGCTGCTGCTGTCGCTCCTCGTCCCGGAAAAGGCCGACGCCAAGCCGCTCTGCTTTGCGTCGTTTGAGTTTAACGTGTCCGAGTACTGCCAGCTCTGGCTGCTGCTCGTGCATCTCGATGCGTTTAAACGCATGCCCGAGAACGTCTTGGAGAAGGCGACGGCGCTCGACTGGGTCGTCGTGCGCTGCGACGAGCGCCTGGCGTCGGACGCGATGCTGGCGCTGGCGGCGGCCAACTTGCCCCAAGGTGCCTCGCTCTTTAACGCGGTGCTCCTCCTCAACTACATGGTGCTGTGGCCAACGGCGCGCGCCGACCTACTCCCAGCGCTCCTTCAGGCGCTTTCTGCCGCGCCGCTCGACGACGACGACGCCGTGACGCTCCTGCATCACGCCAAGACGATCGTTGGCGACGACGCGACGTTGCCGACACCGGCGCCAACATCACCAGCGCACATGGTTTTCAGCAAGAACGCGTCCAGCGTGTACCCGCGCGGGGCCGCCGACGCGCCCGAAGTGTGGGCCGACAAGCAGCTGCTCTCGTGGGCCGACGCCTTCATCAGTGGACATGCTAGCGTGTTTACGGGCCTGGCGCTGCTCGAGTTTGTGGCGGCGATCGCCGGCGCGCCCGTCGCGTCGCGGCAGCTGGACTGGCTCCTGCAGCGCCGCGGTTCAAGTCGGATATGCCCGTGCGCGCGCAGCAGACGCTGTGGTGCTATCGTCTGCACGTAGAAGACGCGATGGACGCGTGCGAGGGCGTCTGGAAGCGCTACTTGGCGTTCGCCGCGGACGACGACATGCCGGTCGCGAGCGTGCGCGCGGCGGTCGACTGGTGTCTCTCGCCGCCGACACACTCGGCCGCGCTCAAGTTTAGCGTCTTCCAAGTGCTCCTCCGCGCGCTGCCGCATTCGCTGCATGCACCGCTCTTTGCGCGGTATCTCTACGTCCTCGGCGGCCACCCGCCGTACCTCCTGGCCTTTGCGCGTACAAACCAGATCGAATCCATCTATCGTCGCATGAGCTCATTCATGGTGTGTAGGCACGTCGCTGACGGACCGCCACCGAAGCAGTCTCAAGCACGCCATTCGTGCGTGCCTCGAGACGACGCACCCGGGCCACGCCGACCTCGTCGGCCTCGCAGTGCGCCTCGAGCTGCTGGTTGCGCCGACGCGCGCGTCGATGCTTCGCGTGCAGTCGCTCCTGCGGGCGTCTCTGCAGCGCAACCCGGTCGCGGCGGCGCCGTGGCAACTCGCCTTGTCGCTGGAAATCGCGCTCGGCAAGCACAAGGCGTACGCGGACGCTGCGGCCTTTCTGGCGCCAGCGTGGGCCGAGCGCGGCGTCGTCGTGCGCTCGCAGCATCGCAGCAACGCCGAGTGGACCACCGCCTCGCTCATTGACGTCTCGAGCCAGCGCCTCGTGCTACTGCCGCCCTCGCTCTTGATGCTGGCGCACATCTCGGAGCTGGATCTGTCGAGAAACTGCCTCTTGGAGCTCCCGGACGCGCTCGGCCGGTCGTTCCCGCAGCTGCGACGACTCGACGTGAGCTGCAATGCACTGCGCCGCCTCCCGGATGCGATCGGCCACCTCAAGTCGCTCGAGGTCCTCGACGTTGGCCACAACCACTTGACCGAGCTACCGCTGCTGCTGAGCCATCTCACGAAGCTCACGACGCTCGATGTCTCGTACAACCTCCTCTCGACGGTGCCGGCGACACTGCGCAGCCTCCAGCAGCTGCGCCAGCTCCGCGTCGCCGGCAACAGTGCGACCATCGATGCGTGGCGGCGCGTCTTGCCTGGCGCGGCCCTCGACGCTGGCAGCAGCTGCTCCAAGTGCCTCGACGGACGCCACACGCAGCGGCTCAACGACGTCCTCCTCTGCCCGCGGTGCATCATCCAAGCAATGGCGCCCCTGCTCTAAAATTAATCGCAAAACTCTGGATCCTAAGTATTCCGGTTTCAACCCCCGAAACGACACGCAATGCAGAGCACGATGGCGTCGCCGCCCAAGGCCAAGGCCAAGGCGCCGGACGCCGCCTTTCTCGAGAAGCTCGCTTTGGATGCAGGCCACGTGCACGTAACTCGCGCTGTCGCGACGCCACGTCATTGTGATTACGTCATGTCTAGGTCGAGCTGGCGACGCCGGCCCGTCCGCTCAAGGTGCTCGTCGGGTAGGCCATGGCGATGGCGTATGCTAGAAGCTGAAGCGCCTGTTGTAGGACGTGGAACGTCGGCAACAAGATGCCGCCGTCGACGCCCGAGGGTCTCCACGCGTGGATTCCGCAGCGTAGGATGTGCTTGGACATCGTCTCGAGTTGGTCGTATATGGGAATGCGCTATGTAGATGGCGGCGACTTTGACGTGATAGCGATCGGGCTCCAAGAGAGCTCGTTCAAGAAGCACGCGAGCAGCCACGAGGTGCTTGAGAAGACCGAGAGCATCGAGGACGACGACGAAGACGACGACGACGCCACCGCCGCCGCCGACGCCGCCCCGGCGGAGCAGGCAGAGGTACCGGTCGAGCGAACCGAACCACCGGTGCTCGTCAAGTCGGCGTCGTCCAAGCGCAGCCTTTTGCCCCACTACGCGTTCTTCCAGCAGCTTGAAGACCACGTCGGCGCCTCGTATACCGTCGCGGGCTCGATCGAGCTCATGGAAATTCGGCTCATCGTGTTTGTCCACACGCGCAACAAGGTTGTTCGCTCTTCTTCGTCATCGCGTCTCTCATACCTCATACTGCAGTGCACGGACGTCGAGAAGACGACCGAAGCGACGGGCGTCGGCAACGTCATCGGCAACAAGGTACTCGACACAGTACACATCTCGACGTCGCCACAATCCAAGGTTAGGGCGGCGCGGTGGTCAAGCTCGTCGTCGACGGCGTCTCGCTCTGCTTCGTCAACTGCCACCTCGCCGCCCACGAAGCGCAAAAGTTCCTCGACCGCCGCAACAGCGACGTGCGTCCTCGATGACGTGGCAGCGCCTCATGGCTCCGTTGGTAGTGCACCGAGATCCTCAACGGCGCGCGCGTCGGGCACAAGTCGCTGAGCTTGGACCACCAGTTCGACCATGCGTTCTGGTTTGGCGACATGAACTACCGCATCAACCTCGAGTACTCGGGAACGCCAGCGTCCAAAGACACGCACTGGGACGACGTCCACGCGCTCGTGCTCGCCAAGGTCCGTGGCATGCCCGAGAATTCGTCGTGTGAACGTAGTAGCGTAGGACTATGCGCAGCTCAACGCGAACGACCAGCTCGCGCACCAGCTCGCAGATGGAAAGGCGCTCGTGGGCTGGCACACCGCGCCGTGTCTCTTCCCGCCCACGTTCAAGCGCGTGCGCGGCCAAGTGCACGAGTTTACAGTGCGTCGCGCGACGTGGCGTGCGCCAACTGACGCCATGTGACGTAGCGCCAGCGCGTCCCATCGTACTGCGATCGGATTCTGTGGACGTCGCTGCCCGGGTTCGCCAAGCACCTGACGCTCACGCAGTACGACTGCGTCGAGTCCATCACGACGAGGTACAAAGCCGTCGTCATGTCGTCCTCGGCACTCAATGCTATTGGCGTAGCGACCACAAGCCTGTCTTTGGCGCGTTCGAAGTTGGGCGCTACAGTCCGCAAGGGCCACTGCCGCGGCCGCACCAGGTTGGTCGAATACCGTGCTCGAGGATCGGTCACGCAAAGGGCGTGCTAGAGTTTGGAGGTGACCTTTGCAGGCGTCTCGGCCGAGAACCTCCTCGCGATGGACTTGACGGGCACGAGCGACCCTTACGTACGCCACCCTGCGTCGGACATGCACAGCACCGTGTTGCAATAGATCAAATTCATCTGCACGATCCCGGGCCTCCTCGTCGATGACGAGGCGGGGAAGCACCATCCGCAGTCCGGCATCGTCAAGGCCACCGTCAACCCTTCGTAGACTATGATCTTATCCGGTGTGCTCATGCACCGTACGTAGGTGGAGCGACGACGTCATGCCGACGCTCAAGATCAAGGCGCGGCTCCACGAGCTCGAGAAGGTGCATCTCGTGCTCGTCCTCATGGACTACGACGCCACGTCCACGGACGACGCCCTGGGTAAGAAGATCCCGCTAAAACATGACTGAGAGGCTGCGACGACTAGGCGAAGTCGTCCTCTGCCTTGCCGACCTCTACGCGCAAGACGCCGGCGTTGCCTTTGAGCGCCAAGTGGTCAAGAACGGCGTTGGCGCGGGGACGCTCCGGGGTACCGTCACGGTCGCGCCGTCGAATAAGGCGCTCGCCGACTGGGAAAAGCCGCCGGGGTCGTCCGCCGTGCCGGGCTGCTCGTGTGCGACCATGTAGCAGAATCCGAGAATCGAGTGTATATAAAGTATCTGCTTACGCCGACAGGAGCGCGTCCTTTTCTTCCACGAGCGCTGCAAACTGCTTTGGAGTTCGACTTCCTTGAGCTGGAGCGCGTCGACTTCGCGCGCGACCTTGACGAGACGCAGCGGCAGCGCGCTGGCTTCGAGTGCCTCGAGGTTGGCAAAGCAGTGGCGATCCCGCTCCGACTGGAGCCACGCGGCTTGCGTCGTCTGGAGCGCCGCCCCGAGCGACGCGCACTTGGCTTCGTACCCGCCGTGGAGGATCTGCGCCTTCTGTTCGAGCTTCGTCGCCTTCTTCTGGAGCTTGGCGTCCATCTCGTGCAGCCGCTTGAACTCGGTGGTGAGCAGACGCACTTGGTGGTCGAGGGGCAAGGTCGCCATCTCCAACACCGAGCGCTCGGTCGGGTCCCACACGTAGGCGTCGTGCAGCGCATGCCAGGCTGCCGCGCCGAGCTCCGAATCGGCCGGATGCAGCTTGGCCTCGAGCGCGACTTGGCTGCGTGCGTGGTGGAGCGCCTCGTCCGAAATCTCGGCCAGCAGCGGCTTCTTCTTCTTGGACGCCTTGGTCTTCTTGTCCGCAATATCAAACGCAAGAAGCGCTCGCATTTCGTCGGCCGCGGGACCCTCCAGGGCCGACAGCGTCGTACTCTCGGCGTGCAGCGGGCGCGGCAGGTTGCGCTGCACCGCGCTGGACCGACGCAGCGCGGCCTTCTCAGCCTCCTTGGCCGCCGCCGCCGCCAAGCGGGCCTCGCGCTCGCTGGCATCCTCGGTAAAGGTCTCGGCGTGTTCCTTGTCGTCAACGATGTCGGGCATAGCGAGCTCGTACTCGTTCTCGGCCGACGGCAGTTTGGCAAAGCCCATCTTGAGCTCCTGGGCGAGACCGCGGCTGCGCGCCTTCTCCGCCTTGCGCGACGCGTCGAGGCCGACGAGCGGCTCGGCGTTGATGCCAAGCTGGTCGCGCATCGGCGTCCGAAGCGACGACTGCGGCGTCCGGAGACCCGATGCAAGCGGCGTCGCCTTGATGAGGTTGCTACGGGGCGTGATGCCACCGTAGCCTGTGCCCGCCTGCAGCTCGACGTTCTCGCCGCCCATCAGCGGCGTTTGCGCACGTGCCAAGGCCGCCTGGTTCGCCGCTTCTTGGAGCAGTGCCTCGCGGGACGAGCTCGCAGCCGTCGCACGCGCCGGCGTGGCATGTTGCTGCGGCGTCATCTCGTAGTTGGTCAAGAGCGCCTGTGTCGACTGCGCGTGTTCGAGCGCGAGCATTTGCGCGTGGGCAATGTCTTCCGCGCCTTGCTTGGCCAGCGCCGAGAGCTCGTCGTTCGAGACCATTGGCGCCGGCAGCTCGAGCGGCTTGCGCTTGATCATCGTGCTCGGGTCGTTGAGCGCATTCATGGCCGCGATCTGTTGGGGCAGCGACGTCGTGAGCAGCTTCTTCTGGCGGCGCGCATCCATGCGGCGGTTCTTCTTCTCTTCCGCGTCGCGACGAACGCCCTCGAGCTTATCGAGGTACAGCGCCGCCGCCTTCGGGTCCAGCGCGCCGCCGGCCGTGGCCTTCTCGGTGCTCACATCGTAGAAGCCGACGGGCGCTTTCTTCTCGAACGGAATCTCCTTGACGTAGTCCATGTACGTCTTGCGCCGCTTGACCTTGAAGACCGTGCCGGTCTCGCGGCTCCGGTCAAAGTTGATCCCCGCAGCCTTCAGCTCGCGGCGCTTCTGCATCGAAGCGAGGCGCTTCGCTTCCTGCAGCTGCTTTTCGCGGGCCTTGCGCTTCGCCTTCTTGCCCTTCGTGTTGGCGAGACGTGCGCGCGCCTCCGACAGCATCTCCTTCTCGTCTTCATCCATATCGATCGGATCAGGGCGCGCGGGTTTGTTCTCTGGGTTCGGGTCGATCTCGCCAGGGCGCAGCCGGCGCGGGTCGTCCGCGTTCTCCGTGTCCTTGGACTGCGCCGCATCGAGGAGCTTCTCGTAGTGCTCCATGCACTGGGCAGCCGTCCGGCCAACAATCGGAGCGATCGTGCGCCACTGCGACGGCATGAGCTTGGCCAAGTGCAGCAGCTTCTCCTCTTCCTCGCGGCTCCACTCGGTCTTCTTGATGCTCGGATCCAGCCATTCGTACCAGCGCGCCTTGCACTGCTTGGCCGACTTGCGCGCCAGGAGCGACGCGACGCGGGCCCACTGGTTCTTGCCGTACTTCATGACCGCGGCCTTGAGGATCTCATCCTCGGTGTTCTTCCACACGCCCCCCTTGATCATGACCCGCATGGTAGCTCGCTTGGCGTCCTGGAACCGCTCGTCCCAGAATGTGGCAATATGAAACAAGGACTTTGCCGAAATATATTGCGAGGACCGAAATCTAATTGCACGCACCTTGACGAGCCGCCCACTCCAGACTGAACACTGCTCAGTCTACGAGGGAGCCAGCTGCGAAGAAGCGCAAAGGCGAGGTGCTTGCGCCTTTGCTATCCTACGAGTGCTTCCGGACCAAGTCTTGTTATCGCGCTTCACTCCTAGATAGATAGATTCAAATGCCTTGATGGATTCAAGGCATTGTCCTAAACAGGATCTTCTTAACGGCTAGTCGTTCCTGATTAGCCGACCGGTTTGGATCGCGTTCGGTTGGATGCAATAATTTCAAACATGCCCTTTGTCTGCCCGGATCCGGCCTGCGGGATCGCGACGAGCGTACCTCCAGCCGCCGAGGTTCCTGCAGAACTGCGCATGCATGGCCTCGAGTACGCAGTCCAGTGGTTAGTTCTTCTGATCCGCATATCCGATGCCAGCGTGATGTCTTTGCTAGCCTCGGCTGCCTCGGCCTCGCCTACCCATGCGACGTCTGCCACAAGCTGTCGCCGATCAACCATGGCCGTGCGGGCCTGCTCGTGTGTTGGCACTGCGGCTTCATGGAAGTGCTCGAAGAGTCCGTGCGGAAGGCGCTTCAGCTGCCGCCGTTGACGGTCGAGGTACACTGCAACACCTGCAACGACAACACTGGAATGGCGGCGTAGGACGCACTGCGCAAGGAAGTCGTGCACATTCGAGCCGTACAGGAGCAGCTCGCCGCAGCCAACACTCGTACGACGTCATCATGCTTGGACAACGCACCACGATGGATGAACGTAGCGTCCCAGATCAGCTCCGCGCCGACGCTTCGCGCCAAGGTATCGGCGCTCCGAGGGTCGTGGGTCGCCTCTCTACATGGGCAAGAAGAGGCACTGAAAGACTCTGTCACATGCAGCCTCACGGTACGACGGTCGAAGGTGTTCTCTTGCTGAATGCAGCGCAACGTGTGTAGATGCTCAAGCTCTTGCCGTCAACGGCCGAGACGACACTGGTAGACATTGGCATCATATTCGCTTTCCTTTATCCGCTGCTTGTCGTACGTAGGAGGACCAAGAGTGGATGGCAACGACCATCGAGTCGTTCTTCCAGCAACGTGCGCAACTGATCCAGCTACGAGATGCGTCGACGCAGGCGCTCGAGCTCGAGACGCAGCTCGTCGCCAAGGTTGGGCTCCATTTTCAAACGCAAGGCTACAGCGCACTGTACTAGAAGTCGCTGGGTGCAGCAGCGCTGAGCCACATGCGGCGCTACGAGCCATCCCAGGCACAGCAATTCGAAGCGCTTACGTCGCCTTTCTGGGCACTTGTGGGAAAGGCCAATGCCCAGCTTCGGCGCCTCGTGGCGACTGCCCGCGACCTCGAGTCCGCCGAGCCATCCTCGACAACTGCGAGTACGACTGCAACGTGGGCCAACCCGCGCAGTCGGCGGCGCGCCCGTCCGGTGGCCACTTGCGTGACACCCAACGACCTTCGCCTCCGCGTGATCGCAGAAGAGTTCCAGCTCTGGCGCCACATCTGCCGTGCGATCGCTAGCGTCTGTTGCTCGGAGCAGTAGTTATTAGTCGATGATTAGCAAGTTACTAGCTGTTGAAGATACGCGTGTAGAGCTGATCGTGGCGGCCTTGGACCAGGTCCAGGTACGGCGCCGACTGGTACGCGTCGTCGACACGCCGGTCCTTCCGCGTCTGCAGCACGGTCTCGGCGACCTCGGCGAGCTGCATCTGGAGCTTGGCGCTCTCGATGGGCCCCACGAGGTTCAGCCGCGTCGCTGCACTCAGAATGTCTCGCAGCGTGAAGAAGAGAAGAAGTCGCTGGCTCGCGAGGCTGTCGAGGCCGAGCGCACCGCAGAGCGTGCCGAGCACGACCACGTGGTGGCCCACAGGGCGCGTCTGCTTGATCGCGCGAAGGACAGGGAGGTGCGAGTACGTCTGTGTCGCCACGCGCAGCAGCGCAGTGCCCTGCGCGATGGACGCTCGGCGAGCGACGTGGTTGGTCGTCATGGCATGCACGAGCGCATCGAGGCGCGCAAAGTTCTCGACGGACGGATCCGCGTGGGCCTCGCAGAGGAACGGAAGCAGGAGGTTCCCGGTCTGGTACAGGGCCGAGACCACAAACTGACGCAAATTCGTCGTGTTGGTCACGATCTTCTCCTGCACCGCGCTCTCGAGGCCCTACGCGCGCCATCGCATCATTCGTTCGCTGCTTCAGGTGCCTACGAGCGAGTGGGCGAAGCCGCCCGTCGGGTACAGCGAGTCCACGAGCTGCCACGTATGCCACTCCATCGTGCTGCCGGCGTTCGCGTGAAAATCCCCAGCACCTCCGGATACGATCGGTCCGGATGATCGTATCCGGAAAGAAAGTCCAGCATTGCGTGCAGCTGGACCGGCAAAGCTGCTGGCAACGGAGCGCAGTTGCGCGAGCTGCAATCTGTCGTTCTGGTCGCGAAGCTGTCGGCCGCGGCGTCCATGGACATCGCATTTAGCTGCTCGTCGTCTAAATAGGAGCGCGACATGACTACAATGTATGGCCTCCAGCCGCCGCAAGTCCCACGCTTTGGCTACTTGGCTTCCGCGATCGCGTTCTCTCTGAGTGCAACCCCGCGCAACATCTCAGCTCAGCGGACGACGCTGATTCAAGAGTGGGGCTCCATGGATAGTTTGGATCGTTTTGGATCGTTGGGATGGATAGTTGTGGCGTGCGTCCGTCACCTTGCCGCGGAGGCCAGCCCGCCCTTTACCGACGCTATGGCGTGCTCCAATCGTAGGCTGCGTCGAGCCAGCACGTGGCTTGACGAGCAAATGGCACTTGAAGTGCGCGCGCTTCCACGCGCGTGCTGGTCGGTCGTATACAAAGACCAAGTCGAAGCGTGAGCAACAGTGCGTGTGTTCCAAGTGCTGTGTAATAAATTGCCAGTTCATCGAAAGAATGTATTCGGAGCCGCCAAATAAATTAAAATGCCACAAGCCAAGCCGATTCCGAAACTTGGATCGAGCATGGGATTCCGCGATCTCGCCCGTAGCGCGCAAGCATGGACGGCTACAAGTACCTCCTCGCCAAGATGAAGGCGAGCCGCGGCAACCAGAGCCGGCTTGGCAGCTTCGCGTCCGTCGGCTGCGCGTCCTACGACTTCCACGGCGACGACGCCGTCGGCTACGGGCCCAACTACATGGTGGTCGCGGACGGCGTCTCGGGCACGCAGAAGGCCTCCGGCGTGCTCGCCCGCCTGCTTGTCGCCGAGACGCTGAATGGCCTTGAGAAGCTGCGTCGGCGAGCGCTCGAGGAGCCCATCAAGACGACGGACTTTCGCAACCAAATGGCGCTTGCGATCCAGGAAGCTCGCCACATGACGCGGCGCAAAGGTCGGTTCGACTCGGCGCTCACGGCCGTGTACCTCGACGCGTCCACGAGCCAGCTCTTCGTCTTCAACATTGGCGACTGCAAGTGCGTGCTCGTCCGGAACGGCGCCGTCGTCTTTGAGAGCGACGCGATCATCTACGACTTCAACGTGCCGGCCGTCGTCTCGACGCACAACGACATCCATTACCCGAGCGAGTCGGTCGAGCTGCAGGTCGCGACCTATATGCCAGGCGACATTTGCATGGTCTTCTCGGATGGCGTCCACGACAACTTGTACATTGACCAAGTGCTCCGCGCGGTGGCCGCCCATCCGACGCATGGCACCGACATGGCGCGTGCGACGGTCCGAGCATGCCGGGATACGTTTGTTGGGAGCACCGACTTTATCCCGTTCGCTGTCGCCGCCGCCGGCTTTTGCGCGACGGCCATGGAGGAGATGAAGACGAACGATGCGATCTCGGCCGAGGACTTCGACGCGTTCGAGAAGAAGTGCGCGGGCCTCCCAGGCCCGGACCGGCCGATCTTTGGGAAGGAAAAGCGCGTCAAGAACCTCGCCTTTTACTCGGCGTCGAACCTGCTCACGTTTGCGGGCAAGAAGCTTGGGAAGAAGGATGACATCTCCGTGTGTTGTGGCATCATCGCCTAGTCGCCTGGCAGTCCGTATACGATAGCACTTGGTCGAAGACGCCGCCATCCTCCTTGTTCCCTTGTCAGTACTATAACAACCACCACTAGTCTCTAACTATATATTAAGCTAATATTCCCTTGCTACTCGATGTCGCATGCAGAACTTGGTTGACGCGACGTACCCCAAGCTTCTCATGCAAGCTCTCTTCTTCCGCCGAGGCGGCTTCGAACCCCGTGTCGCTAGTACGCCCGTGTCATGGTGTCAAAGATATATAAGCTCGAGGAGACGCTTGGCGCAACGTTGAGCTGCTGCTCGCTGCATCGATAGGCTGTAGTACACGTGCAACGAGTACTATATGGTCAGCCGAGCGCGCCGTTTCGGCGGGGTAGCACGCCGCGTGCAGCGCCACGTCATCGAGATGGTTCTTTGAAACCACCTTCTCCGCGTCTCGCGAAGGGTTCCGACCATCAAGGACCTTGCTATGCAGGACGCGTCGGGCAGATCGGCAGCCGCATGAAGGACCAGGTGGGATTATTCATGTCGGTGGTCCCACTCTGGCCATCCAATGGCCCATGCTACTGAGAGAGCAGCAATTGCGACGGCAGGAAACGCTGTGGGTTCTAGATTTGCCGACGCATTGGCGGCGCAAATCGGCGGAATTGCGCCGTTGGCACTGACCATCTGTATAGAAGCGACGCGAATTGCGTCGGCATCTGCGTCGGATCGCGCGCATGACAAGCGTCGCTGAATTGGGGCGGTTCAAAATATTTTCAAGTGCCGGCGGTCCTCTGTCTAAAACCACGCAGCTGGGACTTTTTTTTACTTCTTGACGTCAGAGCTAGAAAAGAAGCGGTGGGCAGATATGTCGTCGTCCTTGTCGAAGCGCAGCGTGTCCATGTCGGAGCCGCCCGTGAACCGCCGCCAGCGCTCGCGGGACATGCGCTCGCTCGACGCGGTGACGGCCGAGCCGCACTCGAACCAGGCGCCGAGCCCGGCCAAGATCGACTTTGAGTCGATCACGTTCTTCCTCTCCGTGAGCGACCTGAACCTCCAAGCGCCGGCGAGCGCCACCGACAGCCTTCTCCGCGGCGCCATGAGCTTCTTCCACAAGGCGTCGGCGCCGACGAAGACGGTCGTGCCCGAATCCTTGGTCCACATTGACCTGCAGAGCCGCCTTCGCGACACGATTCCGTTCCAGACGGAGAAGATTCGCAGCCGGAACCCCAACTTCTCGCTCGGCATCTCTGTGCCCATCACTGCACAGGAGATCAAGGCACAGGTTCTCTGCTTCAGTATCGTCTTGACCGAAGAGGGCGGCGGCAAGACCGTGGCGTACGCCGAGCTGCCCATGAAGGACCTTGTGCGCAAGTACTTGCACAACGCGTCAAACCTGCACTTGCAGCTCAAGGTTCTCTCACACATCCACACGGCGCCGACGCAGACGACGTCGGCCCGAGGCGCCAAGCCCGGCGGGTTCCTCACACTCAAGCTCGCCCGCGTCGCGCGGCAGCCGCACCCGCTCCTCACAACCCAAGACACGATGATGCGAAGCTACGCGTTCTACAACGGCGAGTACTCAACGCCGATGATGGCGACGGAAGAAGTCGCTGAAGTCGACCTCTACACAAAGGTGCCCAAGCTCTTCATGCACCACATGCTGCTCGAGTGGCGCACGCGGCTGAGCCAGTGGCAGCAGCACGAGATCCCGACCTCGGACCTCTTCCAGAGCAGTGACCCGACCATTGACCGCGTCTTTCGTGAGATGCTCACACTGCACGCGCCGTCGTCGATGCTATCGCAGGACTTTGTCGAGGACTACCTCGCCGAGGTCTCCAAGCAGGTCGACATGATCAAGGACATGGCCGTGCTCGCCGAGCTCCTCGAGGAGAACCACGTCATGTTCAAGCCGAGCTCGACGAGGGAGAAGGTCGAGAGCCTCGCGATGGTGACCAACCTCCACCTCTCGTACTTTAAGCTCTACTGCGGCGACCAGCCCTTCTTACGGCTCCGGTCGCAGTCGATGGACTTCTCCGGCGGCGACGCGTTCGACAAGCAGCGCACGTGGTCGGGCGACTTGGACGCGCGCATCTCGGTCGCGTCGCTGCCGACGCCATCGATGGACAAGGGCAAGCACCGCCGCGCGTTCCGGTCCAACTCGATCGACCACAGCATTGCCGAGCAAGAGCCAGCGTTTGTGCCCCGCGAGCGCAGCGGGTCGATCGACTTTGAGACGCCGGAAGCCATCAAGGCGACGTTTGAGATCGACACGCTCGCGTCGATTCTGACGTGTGCGATTCCGTCGGCCGAGGCGCTCGACGTCGACTGCCATGGCCTCATTGATATGGAAGAGGCGCTCGTGGAGCTCGCGACGCAGATCAAGTCGGCGCCGGCCGAGCCCGCGACGCCCAACAAGCACCGGATACCGACGCCGGTCAAGAAGAGCGCGCAGCCCAGCCCTCGGCCGCCGCACCACCACCACACGCCGTCGTCCAACCAAGACGACGACACGCGCTCGAGCTCCCATGGCTCATCGTCCAACAGCACGGACGATGGCATGGAGACGCTGACGCGGTCGGCGCGGCGCATGAACACGTTTACGAACCTTGTCGGCGAAAAGGTCAAGCGCACCATGTCGTCGGCCAAGATCCGGTCCGACTCGATGGACTGGGTTATCAAGCAGACGACGGGCGTCAAGGCCGTCGAGCCGCCCTCGATCGCGTCGCTGTGGCAGCAGTGGGAGATGCTCAAGCTCCGGTACCTCTTCCGAAAGAGCGTGTGCATCTCGCAGAGCCTCACCGTGCTCCTCACGGCGTTTCTGACCAAGCTCGAGACGGCCGAGAGCGACGACATGGAGCAGCTCGTGCGCGTGGGCCTCCTCGTCGGCTGGGAGAGCCTCTGCTACCCGGCGGGGAAGGAGTACAAGATGCTCTCGGACGCGTTCGTCGCGATCAAGTTTCTCGAGCACTTTGAGCTCACGCTTGCGTGCGCCCCGGAGAAGCCATTGAGCCTCTCGGTCGTCCATGGCCGGTTCCGCGTCGCCGTCGGCGTGCCCGCAGCCCACTTTGCGTCGCTCGACGCGCGGCTCCAGAGCGGCCACGTCATCAAGGTCACGAGCGTCCTCTTCACGCAGGGCATCAACGAGATGCAGTCGCTGGCCAATATGGTCGGGTCGGCGACGGGCTTGACGCTGCAAGCGCGCGTGAACCGCGAGAGCTTCCAGTCGCTGCAGCAGTACCACCGCGCGTTTCTGGAAATGCAGAAAGAGCTCAACGTCTCGATGCGCTTCCGGCTCAACAACGACACGATGCTGGACGCTCTCATGCCGCTCGTGGGCCGGAATGCGAGCAAGGTCAAGGCGCCGTCGCACACGTGGATGCTGCTGGAAGCCTCGGACATTACGCGGCGCCTCAACGGCGTGCGCGTCACGTGCTGCTCGACGGGCGCGGACCGCGCCGCCATGTCGGCGACGTTGGAGCAGGCGCGTATCCTCTACTCGAAGCGGTCGGCCAACACGAACGCGAGCAACGAAGACAACGAGCTGCTCAAGGCGCGCGCCAACACGATGCGCGAGTACGGCGTACGCATCGCCGTCGCCATGAAGAACTCGGGACGCTACGAGTACGCCTTCAACTCGATCCAGCGAAAGCTCCTCCCCGAGCTCTACCGACCGCCCGTCTCGACGATCCAAGACATGGCCTCGTCCCTCTTTTAACGACTTATGAAAATATAATACTATAGCGTTCCGAACTGCGCACTGTTGCAGCGACTTGCAGCAGCAGCTATGTACTCGACCTCGTACAGTGTACTCGTCGGGCGGTGTAATGCAGCCACGTTTGACAAGATGCTGGTCGCCTCAGCCGCGCCTGTAGCATGGCCGCTGCTTGCACCAGCGGCACGGTCATGAAGCTCAAGAATGCGCGCCTCACATGCTTGACGCCGTCATTCCACCGGGCGTGTCTTCCATCCTCGCGGACGTGTCGACGGTGGCGGCGCCGCGTGGCTGGAGAAGACAGCACTGCACTAAGAAACGCTAAGAGCTATGGCTGCATGCGCGGTCCTCGCTGCAGACGAAGGCTACTTGAGCATGGACCGAGCGCGCCGCAGCGCTACGGTCATCGGCCACCATGGCATTACGGTCCGCGTCGCCCTTCCGCAGCGCAGCTGATCAAGGATTCGTTGTTTCCGGATGGCCGGATACGCGTCCTAGTTGCGTGCGACGGGAAGGCCGATTTTGATGGGATGGATCCTAATTGTAGCGTCGTTTTCGGGCAGCCGATGAAACCAGGATATTTGCGCGATGACCAAGGTCGTCGTCTCCGAGGCGCGCGTCCGCGACGACCTGCGGTCCGTGCGCAGCTTCGAGGTCGGGCTGCTGCTCGGCCACGCAGCCAGCATGGACGTCATCGTCATTCATGTCCCGACGCCACCGGAAAACGGTAAGTCAGCGTCCTGCGACAGCAACGGACGCACGCCATCGTCGTAGCAGCTCGCGCAGCGTCGAGGCTCGCCGACGTGTCTGTCGACTGGATGTCTGCGCATGCGAAGTCCGTGCTCTGTATGCTTCCTGGTGGCATCGACTGCCTTGGGCTGTACGTGGTCACAACCGAGGATCCCCACGCACTGCTCCCGTGCTACATGTGTGCGCTCCAGGCGATCGTGGGCTCGACGACCGATGGCTTGTACATGCTGTGCGTCTCGCCGACGAGCTCTACCATGACGAGCAAGCGCTTCCAGGTGCAGGATGACGATGGTCCGAGGTTGCATCACGCCTGTACCGTAGGCGCCGTCATCGTTTGTCGAGGCCCGGCTCCAGTGGCAGTCGGTCGATGGTCTCTTGCGACGCTACGAGGCGGCGGTCCGCATCGACGTGCGTCTGCCGAGCCTCGAGCCTGCAGCCCTGCTGGCGCACGTGGCGCCACTGCTGACGCACGCGATTCCAGTGGCCGGTCGCGATCCCGGACGCGTCCACTTTCTGGAGCGAGTGTCGACCAATGATCTATCAGCTGTCGCCGCAGCTACTCGGCCATCGACGTCACCTTGCCGTGGGTTGCACCTCGAAGGTTCTGTCACTTGCTTGGCGTATGCACTCGAGAGCGTACGATGACACGACTGCATGCGTGGGATTTGAGGTTACCATGCATTAGGCGCCGCTGGGCGACGCGCTACGAAGCGACTTTGAGCGGACGATGGCGCGCCGCGTCGCGCTCTTGGAGTCCGACATGAACGACGTCAGCAGCTGTCGTCGCACTTGGCCCGGTACCTAATTCTTGCGACGTATCATCGCATGGACTGGGACATGATGCGTTGATGCAGGTGACCACCCGCGCAACGTGGCAGTGGCTCGGCGAGCGCAGTTTCGATGGCCGCGAAGTGGGTTCCTCACCGGCAACGTGCATCTCTTCACGGACGACGATCTGTCCGACAGCGCCCATGCGATCGCTGAGCTCTTGACCTCACCCACGCCCGTCGGGCTGCAATGGGTCGAGAACGAAGCCAGCCTGCTCGTGACCAACAAGCAGCCATCAAGGACGACACCGCGCGTCAGAGCGTGGCACCCCTCGCTCTTTCTGGCCCTCTTCGCGGCCGTCGTCGCGACCCTCGTTGCATGTTGCGTTAATTGAAGTCAAACGCGTGTCGCTGGTTCATTGAGTGGTGATGTCTGATAAATTAGGTGTTATAAGAGTAAATAAGGGGGCGTCTAGTAGAGGGCGGAGAAGGACCACTCGACGGCGCGGGCCGCGAGCTTCTCGGTGTGAAAGTCGCTGAACGTGTGCGGGCCGTCAAACGACTCGGCGTAGTACATATCGTCGTCGTCAACCTCGGTCGTCGCATGCATGCTCATGGCCGGGGTCTCGGGAACATGGATACTAATTGGCTTAAACGACACAACGTGCTCTTCGTCCGTAGACGTCGTCTTGGGCAGCGTGCGCACTTCGGCAATGTAGTTGGCATTCGCCTTGCAGTCGAGCGAGCAGAAGCCAGCGGCCGGGCTGAGGAACTTGAGGTAAATGTGCTTGCAGTTGGCGCACGTCTCGCGCTTGGTATCCCACGACGCCGGCGTCGCGGCGAGGTCCTCGGACGCGCTGCGCGGCCGCGCCTCGGAGAAGAGCATGTCGTCGTCGGCGTGCACCGTCTCGAGGCGGTCCGGACAACTCTGCGCCATGCGCATGTTCTTCATCAGGCCGTGGAAGAGCGTTTGGATCATGCTGATGGTGGCCGGAGATGGAATGTTTGGAAATGAACAAGAAGACCAAGCGGCAACTACGGAAAGGCGGCGTGGCAGATGGCGGGCCAAGCTCGCTGCGCCAGCTGGTTCCTCATCTCCAGCTGGGCCGCTACACGGTGCGCACTGGGTGACTCGATACTGAAACCAGCATTGCCCCTTCGCCACATTTCACCGCCTGGGAATGAGAAATTGAACTTGGCTCTCTCTACGGTACCCCTCTCTCGCGCCCGCTGATTGGCCAAAATCCACTGAAATCATCCACGCGTGTCGCATGCGGACCGCGACTCAGCATGTAACGCACACTTGGTACGCGAATTCCTCGCCTTTTGATTCGTCCAAACGCCGAGATTGCCCTAAAATGCACGCGCATGTGGCCACGTTGCAGCGATGGCAGGGTCGATTCTCTTATCGAGTGTGCCAGGGCGCGAGGCCCGCATGTTGAAGACGTGGCTCCACTGCTTCACATAGAACGCTCGGCAATCTGCAGTCACCTACGCAGGCGGTCCAGGTGCATAGACCAACGAGGACCGTCGCCTTGCCGATCATTCACGTGAGGGTCCCATGCAGCGGCATAGCACTTTGCAAGCGCCAATCTTGGCGGCTGCAAATCGTATGCGTGAGGTGGGTTTACCTGGGTTTAGCGTGTCGGCGCCCCGCGACAGACCGAGGCGCGATAAACCAACGTACAGTAAGCGATGAGGATGATTGACCCGCGCGATCGACTGGCGACTTTCTTGACGCTGGTTCGTCTAAAGCGCGTACCGTAGGACGACCTATCGCCTAGACGATACGAATCGAAGCGCTCTAGGATGATCTGCAGTATGGCGTAGCCAAAGCCATCCATCCCAGCCCCCGCACGAGTAGCTCGCTCGAAATTCGAACGAAAATGTGACGAGCTCTCGCGTGCGACAACACGTCGAATTCGAGCTCACGAAGAAGGCGCGCCTGTCGCCGCGTTGGCAGTTGCGTAGGCAGTTGAAGTGCCAGCCTTGTGCCACAACCTACGCACAGCTCCTACGCCTGCAAGTGCAGGTTTGCTACTCCAGGAGGTCACGGGAAGAAAGTACCGGTACGCCTGGTTCTTCTGGCAGCGGGAGGATTCTCGTGCAAATAGACGCTGCTTCATCGACTCAGCTTCAGGACGCGGCTTCCACAACGCAGCTTCGACCTCTTGCGCCAGCATCACGTCGGCTTTCTGGTCAGGCGCCGACGTGACGATCTAGGTCGTCGCCGATTGGATAAAAACCAACATTTTGCCCAATCACATGGAGGGTGAGATCCCCAACTTCGCTCGCCGGTTCAGGCAGACGGTCGACCATGCGCATGCCCTCGTCGAGCAAGATCAACACCCACTCGCGCATGCACGTGCAGACGCACACGAAAGAGTTCGTCTCGATCTCGTCTCTCTCGGACGCAGCCGTCGCCTTGCGCGTCCTCTGCGAAGCCCACTCGCTCGGCCTCGAGAAGGACGAGTCCGACATCGTGCGACGGACCCTCAAGACCGTGGCCTACGTCTCGGGCAAGCTGCAGCACCGCATGGGCACGCTAAAGAAGGGTGCGGGCGACGTTGGCGTGCCCCGCGTCGGCGCGACGCCCGACACGACGTCGGCCAAGTGCGCCAAGTGCGCACGGAGTTGGAACGCGTTCCAGCGCGGCCACAACTGTACGCATCAGCTACGATGTTTGGCCTCATGGTGCGCCGTAGGCCAAGCGTGTGGCCACCTCTTTTGCTCGCGATGCTTGACACCGACGCAGCTCCCGCGTAGCTTTGGCTTTGAGTCGCCGGCCAAGACGTGCGACCTCTGCCGGACATGGCTCGCCGAATTCATGAGTGCCAAGTTCGAGGAGGCCCACTTGGGTTCGAGGAAGGAAGGGCCTGCAGTGCCGAACGCTCCCGAGGTAGCCACCCCGTTTCCGTGCGTCGACGTACAAGTGTATTCCTGTAGGCGCTGGAGCCATTGGACCACTCGCCCCAAGGTTGATACTGCACCTCGGTAATAGCTCATGACGCCATCATGTAGCATTTGTCGAATTGCTGAAGGGCGCGCTCGAGAAAGGGCTCTCGCCAAGCCTCTCTGCGCGTCTGCAAGAGGTCTTTGAGGTGTACGGAGGAACGCCGCACGCCAAGACGAAGGCGATGTCCGAACTCAAGACAGCGATGACGTGTCTTCTTGCTGACGTCCCCGAGGACGAAGACGACGAAGACGAAGACGATGACGAGACCGCCGTCTCGGACACGACGACGACCACCAAGATGGCGTTTCCCAAGGACGCGCTGCAGACCGTGCTCAGCCTCATGCTTGCGCTCGAAGCCGTCGACTGGACGCTCGATAGTAAAGACGATGAAAACAAGGGCAACGACGAGGACGACGAAGCGCGCTCGTCCGTGGACCATCGCCTCTCGAGAGACCCGTCGGTGGCACTTCTTCGGCGCGAGACGCCGATGCTCGAGTACCAAGAGAGCACGGTCGGCTCCAATGACGACGACGACGCTTCGCTCAAGTCGCCGGCCACGCCGCCGCTGCCGCCCGCGATGGTCGAGTATTTTATCGTCAACCGCACCGAGACGAGTCCACTGTTTGCGTCATCGGCCAAGAAGGACGACCGGTGCCGCATCGAGGTGTTTACGTACCAAGGCATGATCCGCGTCAAGTCCATCTTCAACATGAACCGCCGGTTCACGTTTCGCATCTCGGACATGCAGCTCGTGCAACTGGAGAAGGAGTACTTGCGCTGGACGTTCCCGTACCGGTCCGAGCTCGTGCTGCAGTTCCAGAACGAAGCGACCAAGAACCACTTTTGCAAGCTCATCCAAGCGTACCTCACGACGCTCGACCCGAGCACGAAGCTCAAGCGCACGCTGCCGCTCGTGCCCTTCCTCCGCGGCGAAGTCAAGATGCACACGCAGCACTTTCCCGCCGCGTGTCTCACGAGCCTCGGCGAGTTTGCGTGGCGCGGCCTCGTGCTCGTCACCAACTACCGCGTGCTTGTCGTGCCCTTTGAGAGTGCGCCGCTCGTCGAGATCCCGCTCTTTTCGATCTTATCCGTCTCGCGCGAGTCGAGCTTTGGGTACCGATCTCCGTTCTTACTGCTGACGTCCAAAGACGTCCGGACGCTCCGACTGGATGTGACGCCCGATGACCGTCTCCTGACGCTTCTCCACCTCGTCACCAAGCTGAGCGAGTCGACGCAAAAGTTCCAGACGGGTCAGCCGACAAAAGACTCGGTGCTGAGCCTCCAAGTGCCGCACTTTAGCTTTGCGTACACGATGACGTCGGTGACGCCCGAGACGAACGGGTGGAAGTTCGCCGACATCCTCGTCGAGTACGGTCGCCAAGGCTTGGATACCAACCCGCTGCTACAGGTATTTCCTCCGCGATATATCGACGATAGGATGTCAACGATACGTACGTCTCTGCTAGGTGGTTGAGAATGGCGACGGCGCCGTCTGCGACTCGTACCCGCCCAAGCTGCTCTTCCCCGCGTCCCTCTCGATGGGCGACGTCCTCGCGGCCGTCAACTTTCGAGCGAAAAACCGCGTCCCGCTCATCACGTGGCAGCATCCGCGCAACCACAGCGTGCTCACGCGGTCGAGCCAGCCGCTGCTCGGACGGCTCCTCACGAGCCAAAGCTGCGGCATCGACGAAGGCCTCATCGCGTTCTACAAGAAGCTCTCGACAAAGTCGAGCTCGTCCCTGTACATCTTTGACGCGCGCAAGGTCAAGGCCGCCAAGGGCAATCGCCTCATGGGGAAGGGCGGCGTCGAGGCCTCCGGGCAGTACACGGGCGCGATCATCAACCACCTCAACATCGCCAACATGTACAAGATGCAGACGTCGTACCTTGGTTCGCGCTCCCAATTCGTGGAGGAAAAAACTGACTGGTGCTGTAGCGCTCATGAAGCTCTGCCTCTCGCCCGAGCACGATAAGAGCTGGTGGTCCGCCCTCGAGGTACGAATTGATACATTGATGGGTGTTGGAGCTACTCGCACTGTAGGGGACGCGGTGGTTTGAGCATTTGCACCTCGTGCTCGACGGCGCCGTCAAGATCGCGCGGGTGCTCGAGTTTGAAGGCGCAAGTGTCCTTGTGCACTGCAGCGACGGCTGGGATCGCACGTGCCAGCTCGTTTCGCTCGCGCAAATCATGCTCGACCCGTACTTTCGGACACTCGACGGCTTTGCGACGCTTGTCGAGAAGGACTGGCTCGCGTTTGGGCACAAGGTAGACCTCTTCGTTTCTCACTTCGGATTCGCTCTAGGATCTTATTTTCTAGTTTATGGAGCGGCTGGGCGGGAACCGATCGAAGGACCCGACGCGCGCCAAGGTGTCGCCGATCTTCTTGCAGTTCCTCGACGCCGTGTACCAGCTCACGACGCAATTTCCGACGGCGTTCGAGTTTGACGAACGGTACCTCGTCCACGTGGCCAACGCGCTCACGTCGGGCTTGTACGGCACGTTCCTCTACGACAACGTGCTCCAGCGCACGGCGGCGCGCGCGTGCGACAAGACGATCTCGGTCTGGACACCGCAGCTCGTGTCGCCGCAGCTGTTTCGGAACGCAAGCTACGAGGCGCGGCCCGACCCGCTCTGGCCGTGGCCCGGCCACCAAGCGCTCAAGCTCTGGACCGGGTACTACTTTCAGCACCACGAAGTGCACGCGCACAACCACATTGACGAAGAAGAGCGGCAAAAGGCGTAGCCAAATGGATATTTGTTTCTTGGTCGTATCTTGATATATATACGCATATTCACCGTTAGCACGACGTGTCGATGAGGATCGTGCCGGGGCCGCACGTGCCGCAGAGCTTGCTCCCGTGCTTCTCGGTGATGACGCCCGAGACGTCGCGGTTGGCGCCGAGGCCTTCGACACGCTTCCCAATGTCGTACTTGCTCACGTCGCTGCTCGCGAGCTCGACAAAGCGCGGCGGCGCCTCGGGCCGCAGATCGTACGCCGGGTCGAGCGACAGCTTTTCCATGACCTCGCGCGCCGCCTCCTCCGTCTCGGTCACAAACGACGGCGGCGTCTGCCGGTAAAAGATGTACTCTTTCTTGGGCGTGCTGCCCTCGTCGCCCAGCGTCACGCGCTTGGCCTCGCGCACACCCTTGAGCTCCAGCACGGGCGCGGCGCTCCGGGGCGTCGCCATCGTCGGCGCTGGTCGCTCCTCGACGTCGTCAAAGCCAAAGCTCTGGAGGTCCGCGAGACGCGGCTTGGGCGTACACCCGGGCACGCCGAGGTCGAGCGTCTCGGGCGCTCCGCCGACGTCCAGCGTCTCGGGGGTCGCGATCGAGAGCACCTTCTTCTTCTTGACTGGTGTCTTGGCCTTCTACACATCGACAGGATTGAGATGCTACGGAGAGTGCTCCGCGGACCTTTTTCGTGGGCGCAAGGACGAGACCGTGCTCGGCCTGGTTCCACGACATGACGAACGCTTCCAGCCGCGTCGGGGCGCCTGTACATCATCATGCAGACGATGCTACGAGTAGCAGAGTGGTGTCTACCAGCACTCGTCACGCCCAAGTCGGCGTCGGTCGTCGCGTGGGACGGTGCCTGCTGCGGCGATGGCTACACCGCCAACCGTCAAAACAACTTGGGAGATGAGGCCCATACCCGCTCGAGCTCAAACGCGTCCAGCGCGGCCTGGATGTTGTGGACGCGGAAGAACTCGCGGACGAGGTCGTGGATGTACCCTGCATCGTTGTCATTCTCTTGCGGCGTCTCGATCACTGGCGTCGCGGGCGTCGATGGCCGCGCGCGGTCGGTCTTGACGGTCGCGCTTGGCTCGCTTGCATGGTCATCATCCTCGTCGTCCAGAACGAGCTCCATCGAGGCCACCTTCTTGGACCGGCGACTCGTCTCCTCGTGGAGGCTGTCCCCGAGCGGAGCGTCGTCGTCGGCCCACGCTCCTCGCGACCCCATGCCTCCGATCCAAGAATACTCCTTTCATATTGAAAACGGTTTCCAGACGAATACGAATATATATATTGCGTCTGTTAGGGGTGGGGCAAGAGTGCACTTAGCGCCGCTTGGACACGCGCCTAGAGCCGCCGATGAGGGACGCCTTGGGCACTGTGCTGCGTACCTGGTCGAGCTTCGACGGCAGGCCGACGTGAGTCGAGTAGAGCGCGTCAAAGCACTGCAGCATGTACGGCACCCACTCGTCATGCAGCACCTACCAGCGATGACGATGACGCCTGCTGCGTCAACGATTACCTGCGTGAGCTTGAGCAGCTGCATGTCGAGGCAGCGAGCGTCGTCCGAATGCGCGGGCGCCACGCCGGTTGTCGCACAAAACGTCTTGAGGACTTCGGCGACACGCTCGAGCGTCGCCTGGAGCTGCGTCGAGAAGCGGACGCGGAGAGCGTTGAGCGGGCACAGCCTAGTATGTGTCATCGTGAGACAACGCAAGGAGGAGTTCGCACCGGAGGTCGTTGAACGAGGCGAGCATGCCGTTCGTGAGCTGCGCGAGGATTGGAAAGGCCATGAGCGCGTGTGGTGGGCCGTCTGCGACGCTATTGACAACCACAAAAAAGGGACTCGACGGGTACCTTGGGACGCCGACATGGCGAGCTGGCGGAACGACGCGAGCATGATGGGCGTCGCGCTGTACGCTGCTTTCGGCTGCACGTGCGCGTGGAGCGACGCTTGAAAGTCCGAGACCGCCGTCGTCCACTGGACCGAGATGCGCTCCAGAATGTGCTGCTCAAAACCCACGAGCACGAGCGCTACCGCATCGTTATAATAGCCACCGCCACGAAGGACTTGTACACGAAAAGTCGACTTGAACGCGGCCGAGCGAGCCCGCGAAGAAGAGCATTTGCTCGAGCACGGACGCGATCGAGCCAAAGTCGTCGATCTTGGGCAAGAGCCTACGGCGAGGATCAGAAGGTGAGGCCCGCACGACAACGCCTACGCGTCCACGACGACCATGAGGTCAACGACGAGGCGGACGGCCCAGTTGCACAACGGCGTGTCCGTCTTCTCGAGCACTTGCTACACATATACCATGTGCGCATGCCCTTTTCAAAGCAGGCAAGCGACGGACCTGGTGCCCGAAGATCGCCGTGTACTGCGTAATCAGGTCAAACCACCCCGTGCGCTTGGCGTCAATGAGTTGCATGAGCTACGGATAACACCATCGTCATGTACATGCCATGGTTGATGGCGTACGTGGTGGTACGGGTCGGATGTCGCAAGGCCTTGCGTCGTGTGGGCGAGCCACTTGCTGCGGCAGTCGAGGAACTCGTGCTTCAAGGCCTCTTCGTAGCCGGTCGGGACGGGCGACCACATCGCGTCGGCGCGCCGGAGGTACGCGACGAGGTGGAGGCATTTGGCGAGCGGAAGGTCCTGCTGCAGTGTCTCGATGATCTTGGACCGAAGAGTCGTCGTCGCCTCTTGCACCTCGCGCAGCTAGCACACAAGACGATAGTGCCATGGACGCCAAGAGCATGCGACGTACGAGGCTGCGCAAGATGGCATGCGACGTTGGCTTGGCGACCTCGTCGACCAGAAGCGTCTTTGCAAACTGAATCGCATCCAGCGCTTCCTCGAGCAAGTCGCTGGCGATACAGGCCTCGACGAGCTCGGGGATCTCGAGAAGCTCCATGAGCTGCGTGTGATGGGCAAGGATATATTGGATCTCCGTGTTGGTCTTGGCGGCTGCGTGGACAGTCGTGTCCAGAGCGCTGCAGGCAGCGAGAAGCTCGGGCAGAGCGGCCTCGACAGCGTCGACGTTGCCTGCGATCGTTTGCAGCTCGGCCGTCACGACCTGCGAGCACTGCTGGCTCTGCACAAAGACGTGGTAATTCTTGAGCGCTAGCCGCGAGAGGCGCTCGCCGACGTCGTCCATCTGCCGCGCCAGCCGCCATGGCTTGCCGAGGAGCTCGTCTTGGCTCGACTGCCCGAGGAGCATCGCGCTGTCCGGATACAGAATAACACGTGGCCATGTTATAACCCGAAAATTCGGAACATGCGTCTAACACGTCAAAGGCGACGTGTGCAGTATCCTCGGCCTTTTGTCGACGCCACTTCGATCCGGGAAGGTGCGCGGTCGCACGAAGACGAGGGCGACCGGTCCGTGGCACGGCTCCCGCCAGGCGATGGGCATGCCGGCCTGCGTGGAAAGGCCAGTTTACAGGCGCTGGCGCCGTTGGCCGTTCTGTTTAACGCCTTTCCACGCGCGTTATAATTCGGCGACGCATGTGCGGTCAGGGCGGCGTGGTGGGCCACGCGCGTGTCGCTGGACGTTGCAGGCGCTCGTCGCGCGTGGCAAAGATACAAAACCATGTCCATGTTGCTGGAGTTCAAAGCACTCCCATTAACATCATCGTTAGACCGTACAGGCCGTCATGGGGCATGGCAGTGGTTGCATCTCCAGGTGTAGCAGCGCAGGATTACATGGCGTACTTGGCCGTCCACTCCCGTGCCGTGCCGTCATGGCGGGCGCGGTCGGTTCTATAAATCTGCGCAATTTCGGGCACGAGCGGGTCGTCGGGGTTGGCGTCCGTGAGCAGCGAGCAAATCGAGAGGAGGACCTTCGAGATCGTGAGCGCGGGGCTCCACTGGTCCTTGAGGATGTCTAAGCAGATGCCACCGTTGGCGTTGATGTTGCAGTGGTAGATGCGCGTCGTGAAGTTGACTTTCGGCGGCTTGAACGGGTAATCTGCCGGGAAGTGGATGTTGAGAAAGTAGACGCCGCCCGCATACGGCGAGTCTTCCGGGCCCATGATGGTCGCCTGCCAATGGAAGAGGTCGTCGCCGACGGGGCCGGCCGAGCAGTTGGCCGGCGGGTCCTTCCCGAGGTCCTGCAGTTCCTTGTTGATACGCTTCAGAGCCATCTCTCGCCCAGTGACTAAAACGGAAAATAACCAACGGGGGGCACCACGCCACCGGCTAAGTGCGCCGGAACACGCACTTAACACGCCATCCGGATAACCCAGCAACGCGTTTGTATGTCGAAAGGCTATCCGGTTACGATTCTAGAACCATCGAAGGCGACCAACGGCCCGACGCGAGGTTAATTTTACCCAATCGCGATCGCGCCAAGATGGGACTAGCCCCGCCGGGATGGACGACGCCGACGGCCAAGCGTTGGATATGCAGTGGCCTCGACGAGGGCTCTGGCCGTGGACCTTGCGTGCGGACGAGGTGGGCGCCCGTGTAATAGTGTAGCGTTCCGCGCGGCCACTTGGCGTTGCCTGTGAGCAATCGCGCGTGCTTGTGAAAGTGGCGTGTGAGTGCAACCAGCGGCCGGGTGGCGGGTTCCACAGCGCGGGAGGAGTGGTAGAGGCGACCGAGGCTTTTTCTAACCTCAAGGACATGCGGAGCGTGTCACACCGTGGATAGCCAGACAGGAGGCATGTAACGTGGGCGGGATCGTCGCGCGCAGCCCATTTCTCCAATTCGACTGCTCGTGCCTCATGCGCGCAGTACCTCACGTCCTCGCCATCCTGGCGCTTCTCGCCGCGTCCTCGTCCGGCCAGCTCGTGACGTGCACGGCCAAGGTGTGTGTCGCCAACAGCGACGCCCGCACGAACGACTTTTGCCTCAAAGCGTGCAACACGGAAGACGCCGCGAACGACTGCAGCATGTTCTGCACTTGCGGCAGCACGTCGCCGGGCTACATGTGCGCCAACGTCTGCCGCAAGGCCAAGACCTCGGACGAATGCGGCACGCCCGTGTTCCAAAAGTGCCAGGCCGATGCGTTGGTGTGCGACCGGTCGCCAGCAACAACGCCGGCGCCAACGACTGCTGCCGCCTCGACGCCGGCTCCTACGTCGGCCCCCACGACCGCGCCGACGACCGCGCCTACGACTGCGCCGACGACCGCGCCTACGACCGCGCCGGCGACTCCGAGCCCTTCGACTGCAGGGCCCTCTCCGTCCCCATCGCCGAGCACAGCGGCTCCGACGACGGCGCCCACGAATGCTCCGACGACGAACGCCCCTACATCGACGCAAAGTAGCACCACGGCACCGGCGCCCACCACAGGTAGCTCGTCGACCCCGACGCCGACCGCCTCGACGCCGGCGCCGACGACGAAGGATTCGGCGTCGCCGACCCCGGCCCCGTCTTCGAACGGAACGGCTGTTCCCGTCCGAACCTCTACACCCACCACACCGTCCGTGACGCCGACGAACGCTTCGACGCCGGCGACGACGGCACCGGTCCACAACAATGGCACCGTGCTGCCTTCGACGACGGCAGCCGCCAAGACGTCGACCCCGAGTGCGCCGTCGAGCAAGTGCTCCATGATCAGTATTGTTGCCGATGCCACATATTGCATCGAGGGCCCAGTGTGCGGTGGCGAGCATGGTGGGTGCCCGAAGAAGGGCGATGTGGCCACTGCCCACTGCCTCAAGGGCCTCGACAGCTACGTTAGCGCCGACAAGTGCGTCGCGCCAATGGATGCGACCTGCGAGACGATCGCGCCCCATGTCCGCGGCTGCGTCTTTGACAAGAAGAAGGCGGCGGCTGAAGCGAACGCGAATGCGGCGTGCATTCCGGTGAGCGTCGCAGGTGACGCCACGTACTGCGTGCCGGGGCCCATCTGCGGCGGCAATGGTAGCAATTGCCCCAAGAAGGGTGACAAGGCGGCGAGCGACTGCGTCTCGGGGATCCCGAGCTTCCACAGCGCGGGCTCGTGCGTCGCGCCGGCGGACGCGGTCTGCCAAATGGTTGCGCGTGGCGTCAACGGCTGCGTCTTCCCGTAAGCCCTCGGCGTAAGGCTAAGCGACGTGTATAAAGCTCGCGTGTAAAGTGTGTGTTTGGTGTGGATCGACCGAGTTGCTATGAATAGCGTTGGAGGAATATGTTTCTAGAGAAGCTGCCGCTCGTGCACGTCGAGACCGAGATGGACGCCAAGGCTGTTGTCCGCCGCATGCGCCTGCACCAGAAGGCGCCGGCCGCCCCCGAAAAGTACGTACAACGACCGCCCAAGGCGCAGGCGCATGCGCCGATGCAAATCTAGAACCGAAATGGACGTTGCCGGCTTCAACGAGCTCGTCCAGGCGGCGAAGAGCGACCTCGTGCAGCAAGAAGCCGCAGCCAAGAACGAGCTCGAGTTCACCGCGGCCTCCTCGACATCAAGGTAAACCGAACACCAAGTGCTTATCTGAGAGTGCGCAGAAGCCGCGGCCCCCGATGGACCTCTCGGGAGGAGGAGCATCGAGTTTCAAACTGCCCAGTCTCAAACCGCCACCCAAGCAACCACCAACCAACCAAGAGCGCCCAACGTCGTCGTCGTCGACGACGTCCAGCAACGGGCGAGGTCCAGCTGCGAAAAAGCCTGTCACCGAGAGCCCCAAGGCGACGCTGGCAGCCATCAAGCCCAAACCATCGACGCTGAGAGGACCTCTCGCGACAAAACCCACGCAAGCGAGTCATCCTCGACCCAGCGACGAGCCAAAGGCGTCGGGCAAGGTATCGTCGCTCAAGCCTACACCTGTCCCTGCGCCCGGACCTGCCAAGCGCCCGTCGACCAAGACCTCTGCGCCTCCGCCCAAGCCCAACAATATTCCCGTTGCAGTCGTAAGCCTTCTCCACCGACCACCGACGTAGTTGACTGGCAATAGACCACCAAGCCCAAGAAAGCGGTACTAGGACGGAGCAAGAAGGAGGTATCGACGATGGACTGCCTTGCAAACTTTGACGACGCCGAGCCCGAGGTCGACAGCGCCCCCGTGTACAACGACTTGGACAACAACAACGGGTACGGCTCGGACGATGACATTATGATGCGGTAGAGACGATGTAATTTCCTCAATGCGAGAGATGCTTACGTTCGTACGCGTCGACAACGTGGTCGACGATCTCCTGGACGGCCACGCGCCCGGTCACCTGCGCAAAGACCGTGGGGCCCGCGCCGCGCATGAGCTTGGCGTCGCGCGCCATCACGTCGAGGCTCGCGCCCACATGCGGCGCGAGGTCAATCTTGTTGATGACCTAATTCATGGAGCACACATGAGGGGATGGCTCCAGGCGGCGGTCCGTTACGAGGAGGTCGGCCTGCGTGATGCCAGGGCCGCCCTTACGGGGCACCTTGTCGCCACCGGCCACGTCGATCACGTAGATGATGTAGTCGGCGAGCTCGCGGCTAAAGTTAGCGGCGAGGTTGTCGCCACCCGACTCGACGAGCACGAGCTGGAGCTGGAAGAGGTCCGTGAGCTCTTCGCAGGCTTGGAGGTTGGCCGAAATGTCTTCGCGGATCGCAGCATGGGGGCAGCCACCCGTCTCGACGGCCCGAATGCGCTCTTCCGGCAGCGCCTTGTGCTTGACGAGGAACTCGCCATCTTCTTTGGTAAAGATATCGTTCGTCACCTACGCCGACGCAGCCATGACGCGCCAGGAGAGAATGAGCCAAGCCCACCGCTGCAATCTGGAGCCGATCGCGAAGGGCTTCGCAGAGCGCAAGCATAAGCGCTGTCTTTCTACGTGGCGAGGATGAAGGAGGCGCGGGATTGAGAGGAACCATACCCGCTGCCCACGGGCCCGCCAATGCCAACGGTGAACGCGCGTTCGAGGTAGTCGCGCTCGATGAGCGGTTCGCGGTGCTCAAAGACACCCGCATGCTCGAGGTGCTCGTGCGTGTGGCCATGGTCCATGAGCTGCTGGTACTCGCTCGGCGTCGGGTCGCGGCCATACCGCTTCTTGAAGCGTTCGACCGTCTCCGACGCCCCTAGATCGTCATGCCCATGGTCATGATCGTGGTGGTGGTGGTCATGGTGGTGGTCGTGGTTATGGTGGTGGTGGTCATGGTCATGGTGGTGGCCGTGGTCGTGGTGGTGGTCAGCGGGGGCGTGGCTGGACATCGCTCTGTACTTGGGACGAAGATCGGCTTTGACGAAGATCGGCCTTGACGAAGATCGGACAGTTGGCGAAGCAGCCAGCAGCTGGCAAGTCGCGCAATCTGGTTCGATCGACTGAGCGACTTGATGACTAAACGACTTGATGACTAAACCACTAAGAACTAGTCGACTAATCGACTAAGATTGCCGACCCGACGAAACTGATTCTGCCTAGTTCAACGCGAGTCCAGTTCGGGCTCATCCACATCGGCTGCTTGGGACGCACCGGTATGTCTCTCCACCTGGTCTGCCCGCTCTTCTCTGCCTCGGTACACGCACACGGCCTCGTTACGCCTGTTCATCACGCCCATCCATGCGGGCAAGACGCAGCTTCGACAGCAGAAGGCAGAGATCGCACGGTCGAATTGAATATATAATCTTAATTTGTAAATTCGTTCCTGGTAATCTACGGGGTGGTCCTAACTCTATATGGTACGGGTCGTCTAGTTGATGCGTGCAACCTTCATGGGCACGACGAGCGGGTTCTCTTCCTCCAGCTTGCGCTTGGCCTGGCGCCGAAAGTCGAATGTGCAGTTGTGCTCCTCGGCGTACCGGTGGCGCGTGCAAAACGTGTAGCCGCAGCGGCACGTGATCGCAGAGAGACCAATCTTGGCTTTGCACGACCAGCACTTGCGCTTGTTCGACTGCTCAACCTTGGACGGCTTCTCGGGCTCCTGCGGCGTCTCGGTCGCGAGCGCGGTTGCCGCTTCGAGCGGGGTCACCTCGACGGCCTTGGCCAGTGGCTTGGGCGCTTCCGGCGTCAGGGCGTGGCATCGCTCCAGGGCAGGGCCGACCGGCGCGGGCTCGGCGGCCGGCGTCGAGGACGAGCTCGTCGGGAGGATGCCAGAGGAGTTCTGCATGAGCGACGGATCAAAAGCGGAAATGAAAATGGGCGGAGCTGGCCGTAAAACTCCCAGCTGGTGTTTGTATGGGCGGCTGTATACGGAGTGCGCTAAATTTAATTGCGTTTTATTTGAAGTCGGGCCGGTGTGAGCAACAAAGAAAACCCCGGAGCGGCGCCAGTATAATAATACGATGGTCCCATACAAAGATTAGGTGCATTAAAAACAGAGACGCGCGACGAGGATCGGCGGATTCCGAACCGATGTGCGTGCGCTGAAATTAAAAAAAGTTGAACGTCCGAATTGTAATAAAATACGCGACGCGTTCGAAGGCGCCGGGAGTTTTCTGCGCAGAAGCCGATGGAACCTTTTATTATTAATACCCATTTTATTATACGAGTCGGCACGGTTTTTTATAAATTGGATACGTGGTCAACGTGTATTTTAATAAAAAGCCAGTGAACACGTAGGTAGTATTGTCGCACACCACAAGAACATCACCGTAATATTAATATTGGTAAAATGATACTTCTCAATTGTATTCTTATTGTACTGTCGTGCATAAGAAACGTGCACCCAATCGACGGCCCTGCTATTCTGCCCTTAAATCAGGCTTCCTTTAGGCTCCATTTCGGACTTTCGAGTCGAAAAAGAAGCGGCGGCTCGCTGCGACTTCGAATTCGAAGTGCGTGGACAGGCTACCGGAACATTCCCGGACCTATCTTCGATTGCTTCGGATCGAAGTTCGAAGCCAATAAGCCATCAGCGATGTCTTTGCGCCGATGGGCACGGCCGATGGTCCGCCTCGGACGGACCCGCGCCGTCGCGCCGCGACGCTTGCGGCAGTTCTCGTCCTTCCAGAGAGATATAGATGGCCAACGAAGAGGCCCGACGCGATACTGGCTCCGCGTGGCGCTGCTAGGGCTCGTCGTGGGCTCGTCCGGCGCGCTGCTGGGCTCGGAGGACCGCCAACGTGCGGCCCGCGCAGTGGTTTCGCTCGGACGCATCTTGGCAGAGATCGCGTACGACCAGAGGGACCACAGTAGCGAAGACGCAAGAGAGGCGGCGTCGGCGGAGGACCGCATCGCGTCGATCTTGGCGACGATGGCCCAAGAACAGACGTTCCGGCAGGCACTCGTGGCCCACGGTGGCGTCCAAGTGCTGCTAAAGGCACTGCCGCATGCAAACGACGTAATCCTTCGGAATCGTACGCCATCCGCGCTCTACTCGTCGCCTCATGCGTTGTGCAGGCATCCTTACTGCCATTGCCTCCGTCGCCACGACGCCAGGCACTGACGCCGCACTGGCGGACCTCGAGACCACGTCGCACCTCTTATTACACCTCCCTGCCGCTGACCTGCCTCTGCTCGACCGGCTCAAGATCGACATGGCGCTCAAGCATGTCCATGACGTGCCCCGCCGTCCCGCCATCTCGCTGCCCATCGTGCGGTGCTCTCATCTCCTTTTACGGAATCTCATGAATCGTAGGACGTGGCGCCGACCGTACATCGCCTCGCGTCGGCCACGGTGCTGTCCAGAGCCACGAGCGACGAGCGCAAGGTGCGACGTTTCTCTCGAATCGCTGATCATAGCGACCGCGTCGAGTAGTTTGCGCTGCAGTCGCTCACGTCGCTCTTGCTGACCGCCGAGAGCCAGAGTGCGTCGGCCGCGCTGGACACGGCGCTGCGCACGCTGCTCAGCAACACGCCACTGGTCGCGAATCTGCGCGAGCTCGCAGTGACGCCGGCGTCGCCGTTGCAAGAGCCCGCCGCGACCCTTCTCGTGGCGCTCTTCCGCCTCAGTGGCCTCTGCGGGATCTCGTTGCAAGAGCCAGCGTCGTGGCACGCGCAGGTGCAGAGAACTCGCCACTGCGCCAGACGACACCACCGCCTACGTTGTAGTTTGTGTCGTGGGCGTACGTGGACGCGCCGGCCGTGCACGTCGCCGCCGCCGAAGCGTGGCACCTCATCGCCAAGCAATCGCCCGACGTCCTTCTCTCGTCCAAGGCCGGCCAAGACGCGCTGTTGCAGCTCGCGCGCGCCACGTTTCCGCCGACGAGCCGCACGCCGAGCGTCCAGATGCACATTTGCGCCATCGTGTCGGCGCTGGGCGACCGCTTCACGGACGGCGGCTTGGGCACGACGATGGCGACACCCATGTCGCGCGTGTTTCGTGATGCTGACGTCCTCGACGCTGCCGTAGGTCTTCTTGAACGTGGCACGGCGACTCACGCGTCGTAGGAGCTGGACGCGACGCCGGTCCTTGGCTGGGTCGACGTGCTCACGCAGTGGTCTTTCCACGGCACGTCTGCAGTCCGCCACCACGCGATCCAGAGTCTCTCGCACCTCGCGCTGCGTCAAGACGCGTCGCGCCGCGTGCTGCAAGCGTGGATGCTCGGTCTTCTCCGGGAGCTCTTCGCGGCGCCCGTATGACGCGCGTCCGTGTCCCGACTGACCTCGTGATGACGTCTTAGGACATGGTGGCCGAAGAGCGCCGCGCTGTCCACGAAGTCGAAGTGCTTGCCAACATGACGTCCGAGACGACGCCGGGCCACGTCAACGTGTCGTTCAGCGACGATGTGCTGGAGGCGGGCATGGCGGCGATGGCGATTCTCGCAGTGCGTTTTCGCCGTCATCAAACTGACTCGTGACGGACGAATAGGAGAAGCACGCACCCGACTTTATCTGGAAGGGCGGCGTGCACCTGCTCTCGCTCGTGGCCGTGACGTCGCCGCCCGCGATCAAGGCCCAGTGCGCGCGCATCTTGGCCAACCTCGCCACGTACCCTTGGCAACCGCACGACTTGGTAATACGTCGGTTGCCTCGCAGTGCACGCAAATTGCAGCTGCTCTAGGAGCGCGACGTCCAGCGCATCCTCGTCCAAGAAGCCACGGGCGGGTCCCTCTTCTTTGACGAGATCTGCCACTGGCGCGACGAGCCGAACGTCAACATTCGTTCGAGCTACTACCGAGCCGCGACCAACCTCGCGGCGCTCCAAGCCTCGTCCGCCTCGGTAACATCCAAGTCGGAGCATCCGAGAACGAGATGGGCATGTGTCTCCACGTACTAGGAGGAGAATTCGCCGCCGCCCGTGTACCGCGAAGGCATCCACCCGATCGTCGCGCAGTCGTCGGCGTCGTCGACGACGATGCCGCCCGTCGACGTTGTCTTTGTTCACGGCCTGCGCGGCCACCCGTTTGGTGCGAACGATTCCAGATCTGAAGAATGTGGGTTCAAGAGGTCTTAGGTACGTGGCGCTCGGACATGGCGTCCACCGACATGGTCAACAGCCCGATCTGGCCCGAAGCGCTGCTAGCGCCGGACCTCTCGCCCGACTCGCGCCTTGTGACCTTGGGCTACGAGGCTGGCATGGTCACGTGGAGCTCTCCGTGGCCGTCGCTGACGCTGCCGCAGCGTGCACAGGTACGCCTCTTTGGCGATAGCAAGAGCGTAGTCGTTCATGTTTGTCATGGTGTAGATCATGCTCGAGGCGCTCGAGGCGGCGCGCATCGGTCGCGCCAACGGGCCGCCCGTGATTTTTGTGACGCATTCGATGGGCGGGCTACTCGTCAAGGAGATGCTCGTGCTGGCCAAGGCGCAGGAGCGGTCGCTTGCGTCGCGCACCGCAGGCGTTGTCTTCATGGCGGTGCCCCACTTTGGCGCCAACGTGAGCTCCAATGTCAACGCGCGGGCGATCCGCGCGCTCATTCAAGCCCACCCGGCGACGAAGGATCTCTCGGCGAACGCGCCCCACTTGCTCGCGCTGCACAAGGCGTACCAAGCGCTCCAGATCCCGTCACTGAGCTTGGGCGAGGGCCAGCCCGCGCCGCTAGCGCTAGGCGTCCGGTCGATGGTCGTCTTGCCAGACTCGGCCAACCCGGGCGGACCGCTGGATGCGTTTCACCTCTTGTCAAACACGGATCACATGGACATTTGCAAGCCGCAGACCGTCGACGACCCGCGCTATACGCTTGTGATCGACTTCCTGCGCGCGTGCGTGGCATAAGCCGGCGAACGAGAGACATGGTCTTGGCACTGGTGTATGTATAGTAGTTACGCAGACATACCGCTTAGTTCTTCTGGAAGCCCTGGAGGCGCTGCGACGAGTTCTGGAAAGCGTACAGGAAGCCGGCGATCGTGCCGAGGACGCCCGTGACGACCATGGACGGGCCGCGCACGGGCTTGCCGAGCGCGTAGCCGGCGCCGCACGAGATGGCCGACGCAGCCGAGATCGTGACGTAGTCCGAGAAGTTGAAGTTGTCGGTCGTATCGCCAAAGTTCGGGTACTTCATCGTGACGGGGAAGCGCGGAGCGCGGGGGTCGATGGGCGCCGAGGACATGGTCGTCGTGGGGTAGAAGCTCTGGACTGCGCCAAAAGAGTGGCTGGAATAAAACTCCTCATAATACATACCCTGTCACAATACATACTTCGAACCACCTTGCGTGGCATGCCATATTTACTGGCCTAATTTCGGCATCCCTATGCCATTGCCTCTGAGCTTTGCCTCGGTCGTCCATCGACACGAGTCGCTCGTATGTCTACAATAGATGTAGTACTACGTAGTAGTATTTAAGCTTCGCGGTGTACCCGCAAGGTGAGGACTGCCGAGCCATAGTCCAGTGCCGTGCCTGGGCCGCGGATAGGAAGCGTGCAGACTTCGTTTCGGCATTCTCATCGAGGTTGCCGATTTTAACTTATAGAGGCGGCAGACGCCGAATAATCTGACGACCACAATGCTGAGCGACCTCTTCAGCGGCGAGCGCAAGACGCCCAAGCCGTTTGTGGACCCGCGCCTCCCGCAGTTCCCAGTCATTGACGCTAACCCGCCACTTCAGAAGATCCTCCAGGCCACGCGGCCCGACGATGGACTCAGCTTTGCCTTTATCGTCGCCAGCATGTACATTGCGGGCCTCAAGGTGCCCGACAAGAGCGTCTCGGCGCTCTTCCGTAAGCGCACAGCCTTCGGCGCTGCATTCGCCGGTGCGCTAGGTGGCTTTGCTGTCGTGTGCCAGATGGGCCAGGCGCGGCTGCAAGGGTTCGCGCGCAACGAGGTCGAGATTGCCAAGTTTGGCCTCGCCACGCCGAGCCCTGCGGCGCCCGAGGAGTCCGTCGTTCGTGCATAGACATCGAATACGCAACGTGAATAGACTATAGGGCACCAAAGAAGACACCATGCGAACCATTTCTGTGTGTTATCGTGGTAGGAGCCGAGGTTCTAGAACGGCCACTCGCCGGCGGTCGGCGGGCCGCGGTTGGCACGGGGCGCACTCGGGCCCGACGACGCAGGCATCGCGCCACCTTCGTACTCGATCGTCCTAGCACGCGACGCGTCAACTTCTCTACCGCAAGAGGAACGACGTACGGCTCCGCCGCCAGCACCGAGTGGAAGCCGTAGAGGTACGGGAGCGAATACTGGAGCAGCTCCTGTGTTGTCCCAGCATGAGCAACCTTTAGTCAGTGGTCAGTGGTATACCTTGAGCACGCGCGTCTCGCCGGCATCAAGGGCTACAGCCGTGCGCGCTTGGTCGCTCGTGAAGGCGAAGACCGTCTTGTGCTGCTCGGGCTGGTACTCGATCGAGAAGGACTTGCGCAAGCCCTCGTTCGCCTGCGCCACGTCAATGGCGATAAGGTGTCTAGCTCGTCGTACCTGCGGGTCATTCATGTTGGGCGAGTGCACGAGCGTGATCTATTATACAGTCCATTGGCCGATACTCGAGCCGTCCGATCGACCTTTTGCTTCGAGTCAAGCGTGTTGAGAATAGCACCAATCTCGCGGGGCGAGACCGAGAACAGCTACAAGAGGCAGATGAGCCTTCGTGTGCTTAGGGCGTAAGGGTGAACGAGCTTGTCCTGGTAGTTGTAGCCTTGCTGCGTCGCCTTGCACCAGCTCAGCATGAGCGAGCCCTACGCGCGCATGAGCCGATGCTGCATGGACCGCAGAGCATACCCCACGCTTGAGCTTGAGGTACTTGCCCGTGTGCGTGTACACGGGGGCGAGCGGCGCCACCTACGCATCCAGCATGACGACCAAGATCGGCACGCGAAATCAAGTGTCATACTTGGAAGAGGGCGTCGCTGCCGTAGCTGGAAAACTGCGGAAACACGCGGGGCGCGGCGCCACGAGCGGCTAGCATACGCATGAGTCCACTGCACGCAGCGCTTATGGAGCCTACTGGAGAAGGCGCGGACGGCCTGGCGGTGCATCATCATCATCTTGGCTTCTTGGACAAGACCTCGACCAGCAATAGCAATAACACCAACGGTATCCGGAGAGTCGTACGGATAATCAGAGGCCACGGTCTACTCCGGATACACATTATTATCCGGACAGACGCAGAACATAGCACGCGCGCACTTCAAAAAAGTGTACGTCGCACAAGCCGGCCAGATGACGTGACTCGGCTGTTTCGACGACGGTCAGGCAACGTGATCGAGTTCATACGCCTGAGCTTCGCCACGCAATAAACTCTGGACCGCCCTCGGAGGTTATCACTGGAGGCTATGATTTACGCAGCACCTACCTGCCGTGCTTGATGCACCAGGTCCAGGACGCTGGAAGCCCACGTACATGTATATCCACATCACGTCGCCGCATCTGCGATCGTTTTCATCATGCAGTTTTTTTCCCCGCAGGATAGCGTGACGATCTCTAGGAAGTGGCACTGTCGTCGTGACAGGCTGCTGCGTAGAAGCGAAGCGCCGATGATGCACGCCACTCGTCCATCGATGGTCGTCCGTAGGTCCTCTGTCTGCTCTTGGCGCACGTTTGCTCATTCGATTTCTGGAGCCAGCGACGACACTAGCGCTACTTGTGAACTGATTGATGTTGTGGCAGCGCCTCCAAGCCTTCTTCCATGCCAAGTTCGGCAACGCGCTGCGAACCACGAGCGCCAGCGTCCCGTCGAGCGGCGTCCGCCACCTCGACGTCTTTTCGCCGCAAGCGCTTTCGCGGAGCTGGTCCTGCGGCATGTACACCGACATGCACACGCCCGCCAACAAGGCCGCCCGCTACGCGGAGCTCACAGTCGGCGTTGAGCACACTGTACAAGCTAAGACGACTAAGAACAACAGCAATGTATAATACGCTATCGACTTGGCCACGGCGCGTTCTCTCGTGGGCAAGACGAGAAATCAAGAAAAGACAGAGACTTGAAGTGCCACCACGGAGGCTCTTGAAGCGCCGGCGATGATACGCTGAACGCTCTTCAATGCTCCGAGGTTGAAGAAGCCACGGACAGGATGCCTGGCGAAGACGGGGTTACGTCAGCGGCCCCGTCCGCGCAGCTCAAGGAATCCGCGCGCAACCCACGCAGCTACATGTCCCGCGCGTGTAAAACGCGCGAGTAACTCTACGTCTAAGCGCGTGGGAAATGCAATACAAACATAAAGTGGATCGCTCCTACGACCGCGTGGTTTTTGGAGTTTTACACACCTGGTCGCTGGTCGCGCCAAACCTGAGGTTCGCGCACCCACAATCGTGTGCGACGATGGGCAGTGTTTGCGGTGGGCGTGGTCGAGGTGGCTGCAAGCGTCCAGAACGCACACGCTCGTCGTTGCCAAACGGCCTTGGTAGCTCTGCCTCGCCGACCACGGTCTGTCGACGGCGCTGATCGTTTGGCTTCCGCAGCTGCGGCGCTTCAACGAAAGCAAAGATCCAGACGCGCCAATCATGGCTGCGCATCAAAAACGTGCCGCTCGGTCCAAGCTACCCAGCTGGTTTCAATGGCCGCGACTGCACATCCCATTTTGACCCGTCGCAGCCATGCGCGAGCCGCTCGCACGAACCGTCCACGTCGTCATCGTCGTCTTTAGCTGCTCGATCCACGTCTCCGTGCCCATCGCGGTCCTCGTCACCGCCGTCGCCGCTGCGCTGCGCATCCTTTGGCTGCATCGGCAGCACGCGCTCCGCGTCGACGACGTCGGCGATGACGACGATGCGACGGCGACCGCGCCGCTCGTTCTCAAGACTGACGCATCGACGGAAGCCAAGCCGCCGCGCGCACTGCACGGCGCCCGCGTCGCGTTCACGGGCATTGCGCTTGGTGCGGACGCCAAGGCCCAGGACAAGAAGCGCATGTACTACACGCTCGAGGTTGCGCCCTTCGACGGCGGCGCGCCGTGGACGCTGCACCGAAGCTACCGCGACTTCCGGGCGCTTCGATCGACGCTTCTGTCGACGTCGCTGTACTTCCAGCACCTTAGCTTCCCGCCGCGGTCGCCACTCGGCCACGCGTTCGTGAACCACGTCAAGCGCAGCCAGGGCCTCTTGGCCTTTGTCACGTACATTGTTCAGCACGAAGTGCTCTCCCAACTGCCGTCGGTCGTCGCCTTCTTCGCCGTGCCCGAGGCCACACCGCTCTCGCTCTACGTGCCGCACCCGCACGAGCGCGACGGCGGCGACCAAGACCGCCTTCCGAGCGAGCAGCGGGCGATGGTAGCCCAACTGCAGCAGCAGCTTGACCACGATGAGCTCTTTAGCTGCCCCATCATGCTCGCGCGACACCTCCAGGTCGCGTCGTGGAGCCTCTCAGAAGCGCTAGCCCGCGTCCAGTCGATCGTCGCGTACGCCTTGCGACGTACTACACTCGTTGTGGCTCATCGTACGCTTTAGATGGCGTGCGGCCAACGTGCCCAGGAGCTTCAACATGGAGGTGCTTGCAGCGGAGCTTGCGACCGGGAAGCTGTACGTCGCCGACTTTCTCGCCGCCGACGCCAGCGCGCTCGCGATCGTCAAGCTCTACAAGGAGAACACGTGGTCTGCGGAGCACTATGTCTCCAACATCCAGTACACGATCGGTAGTAGATACGAACCTACTGACTTTCGTATCGACTATGTATGGCGTAGAGCACGGCCTGCGGCGCGTCTCGCCCGTGCACAAGATGCTGGTCGTCATCGACTTTACCAACTACTCACTGACGTACTGCCCGGACATGACGGCGTTCCAGGACTTCGTGCACATGGTTGAGAAATACTACATCGAGCACCTCGGCGCCATCTACCTCGTGGACCTCCCGTGGATCTACGCCAAAATGCTGCACATGATCAAACCGCTCCTCAACGCCACGACCCGTACGACGACATGTTTGTATCAAGTTGATACCGACGCAATATGGTAGGAAGCAAGCTCACGATGGTCAAGTCGAGCAACCTCAAGAGCCTCGCAGCGGTGCTCTCGACGGCCGACCTGTTGCGCCACGTCGGGCCGGCACCGACATTCGAGTTGGACGTCGCCACGTACCTCAAACCCTTTTGCTAACTATTTAAGAGTGCTCGACGTTTCTACTCGCACGAATCTGCTTCTGCACAGGCGCCAGCGAAAGGCGCGGAATCAGGACGACGCGTGCCACGGTGCAACCGATCCCGCAATCCGAGCACGGGACTCGCCCTTGGTGGCGCTTCAAGTCTCTATTTTTTCTCTTCTTGCCCACGAGAGAACCACAAGGCGCTTCTTCGCGGCTCCCGACGGCGTCGGACTCGAGGACTCGCATGGACGCTTCACTTGTTTTTGACTTCTGCTCGAGCTCGAGCGCGTCAGCTCGAAGGTTGGCGACTTGAGCTTGGAGATCGCGACCCTGGCTCTCGCGCGCCAGCAACAGCTCGTCCTTGCCCATCAAGTCGCTTCGAGACGACCAAGCTCCTCGTCTTGCTGCGCGTGGTCGTCGAGATCGCCTTGGAGCTGGCAAGTCAGATCTTGGAGCTCGATCCCGTCGGATTGGAGCTCTGCCACATTGCATTGGAGCTGATCGCGCGTGCGAACGAGTGCTGCGACTTGGTACCTCGAGATCTTCTTGGGGCATGTGCATCTGCTCGTCCTCGGATTCGATGGACGTTGCATGAGCGCGGGCTGCACCGACTCTAAGCTTGGCTTGGACGACTTGAAGTTGACCTTGGAGATCGCGGATTTGACCTTCGTGTGCGGCCAAAACCTCGTCTTTGGTGGCCACAGCACGCTGAAGCTGGTGTGACAACACCATCGTGCTTCTGAGCGAGCTCGACGCGTATGTCGAGTTCGACTTGAAGCTGGCGGAGGGCCGCTTCCTTGGTCTCGCTTTGTGAAGACGCTGGGCGCTGCCGGTAACCATCTTGGCCACGGTAAGCTGACCCCGTAGCCATCTTGGCCACGGTGGGCTGACCCAGTAGTTTATTGATGCGATCTTGCTGACGGTCGACGCCGGCCTTCAGCATCTGGAGACGCTCGTCCATGGCCGCGACGGTGGCGTCGTGGTCCATCGTCGCATTGCATCGATCCGTCAAGCTGTCCGTGAGCTGGTAGACGCAGGCGGGCTAGGCAAGAGTCTGAGCACCGGTCAAATGGCAATAAGGATAAGTGTACATAGTGTCTTAGTTGTTTTAATAGCGGTAATTGGGTGCCATCTTGTTCTTAAATACGAGGAATGGAAATCTAGTTGAAAAAGTACGGGCTCTCCAGCACTTCCTTGAGGTCGAGCTCGCCGACTTCGGGCACGGGCGGGAATTGCTGGCGCGGGAAGCGCATGACGAGCTGGTCGCGGAGCTCTTGCAGCAGCGGCTGCGAGTAGAGCGTCACAAACTCCTGGCGCAATCGCTCGTTCATGCGGTCGACCGAGCACGCGTGCGTCCAGTACGAGTCGTGCACGGCCGCGAAGTCGAGCTTGTCCTCGCCAATGACCTTAAGCGACGTCATCATCATGTGCGTCGAGTCGAGCGAGTGCACATAGTTGGGCGGGAACGCCGACTTCTGGCGGCCGACGCTGACGCGCTTCGAGTCATTGTCCGTGATGATCACGTGCTGCATCGAAGTGCGGACCTGCTTGGAGCTCTGAACGCGGTAAGGCTGCGTGACGGGGAGACCAAGCGGCGTGATCCAGCTCATCATCTGGCCCTCGTTCGCGACGAGCTCCGTGCACTTGGAGAGCCACTCCATGATAAGACGCGCGGACGTGAAGAGATCGCCCATCGACTGCATCGTGAGCTCGGCGGCATAGTTGGCGGCGTGGTAGATCTGTTCTTCAAGCTCTTCGTTCATGCCGCGGCCTTCCATGAGGAAGACCTCTTCGAGCCGCGCTTGGATCTGGCGACGCGCGCCAATGTACGTGACGCCGTACACCGACGTCATGACGGTTTGCTTGACGACCTTGCGCGTGATCGACTTGAGGAGGAGGTTGGCGTACTCGTGGCGGCGCTTGAGCTCGAACTCCTTGGCCTTGGCAAGACGAAGAAGAGTCTCCTCCTTCGTGAGCGCCTTCTTCGGCACGTACGACGACCGGCGCGTCTTGGCCGGCGCGCCGAGCTTCTCGTCCTCGTACCACGTCTTCTCAAAGGACGGCGGAGGTCGTCGATGATTTCGTCAAGCGACGGCACGGCCTGCACCGAGTCGTGCTCCATGCGCTGGATGACACGGGCCGCGACGCCCGAGTAGACATCCTGCGGCTTGTTCGAGGGCACGAGGTTGACCTGCTCGCCACCGCCCTGGTCGCGACCGAGGGCAGCGTAGTGCTGAAGTCCGTTGCACGACCCGTCTTGATGCACGGGCACGTTGCAGAGGTACTCCTCCGGGTTCGGGTGCTGGACGGCCTTGGCCAGCTCAAAGACGACGCCGAGGGCCAAGAACGGCGCCTCGGCGTCCTGCCACCACTTGGAGTCCGGGTCGTCGCCGAGCGGGTTGGCAGCCGACGCGAGGATCTGCTGCATGTGGTCGGTCGCAAACTGTTCGCGATCGTCGAACGAGCACTTGTCAATGCCGTAGAGGTTCGCGAGGTGGATCTTCAGCCAGCGGAGGCCGCCGGGGCCGAGCGGCTTCTTGTCCTTGAAGACGAGGAGCGACCGCGACATGTCCGACCCGAGGTGGTTTAAGTTGGGCGGGATCGGGTACACGCGGCCGCGGAAGTCCATGTTGTACGGGAAGTAGATGGCCTCTTCGTGCTGAAACTCTTCGGCGACCTGGAGCTTGTAGATCGTGTCGCAGCGCAGCGAGTGGAACTCGCGGTTCTTCTTCACAATCTACATTGCATTTCTGGTGAGCGAGTTGCCACAATAAGAAATCAGAAAAGAAATGTGGGTCGACGTCCGCGTGTCGCAATCCAACGGAGAGTAGAAGTGACGAGCACGGACGTCCAGCGCTTGCTGTCGCATGCAGTTTGAACCCTCGTGCCAGTGGGAGAATCCGGCAGAGGGCTTGATTCTGATGCCATCCATATACAAATACAAAGAGAAAAATGTACGCACCTTGGCCAGCGTCTTCTTGTACGTGTCCATATCGGCGTTGTACCGGGCGAGGCGGTCCGCGTCGTCGGCGATCATTTGGTAGTCTTCGACACGCGGCTCTTCCGGCAGCGCGAGGTCGTCGCGCGGCGGCAAGTCGCCAAAGCCGCCGCCGGCGTTCCAGAGCGCCATGACCACGTTGAGCACGTCCCGGTTGATGACCCACGGGATGTCGGCCAGCATGTTAAGGGACTGGACGACCGGGTCCATCTCGCCGCGCTTGGCGCACTGCAGCTGCCAGCGCGAGTCGCGGTGCCGCATGATGGTCGTCGGGAGCGTGAGGTAGCCACCGTTAGCGACGCCGTTCCAGGGGCGCGGCGGCACGACCATCGGGAGGTAGCGAGCGCACCACGGGAGGAAGACGTCGCCGCTCATGACCTTCTGGTGCACTTCCGGCGAGCAGCGGATGATGCCGTACCGGCGGTTCTTCTCAAAGCGGACCGTGTGCAGAAATGCCTTGACGCGCGTGGGCTGCTCCGGGCCGTCTTCGCGCAGGTGCGAGAGGCCCGACTCGGTCGGGGCCGGAACGTCTTCGTAGCAGTTCTTCTCGAGGAGGTCGAGGAGCGCGGAGCCGAGCTTGAGCTGGAGCTCTTTGGGCCAGTCGCCGACGGTCTCAAAGTACTCGAGCGCGCGGGCGCGGATGTTGGCGCGCTTGTTGTCCTGGAAGATGCGCGTGTAGTTGCGCTCGAACGCCGGGACCGACGACCGCGACTTCTGCTTCTCCTTGCTGATCTCCTCCTGGATGTCGCGGCCGAGGGCGAGCGTGATCTTGACGAACTTGACGCCGTCGGCCTCCATGAGCACGTGGTTGAGCACGGTCGTGACGACGATGCGCGCGAGCTTCTCGGGCGAAATCAGGTACAGCACCGGGCCGTAAATCGCGCGGTCGATCGCGGTCGCGTCGCGGTTGTTGTCCGAGACCTCGGCGATCTCGTCGAGGATCGCTTCTGTCAACGCGCTGCCCCACTTGTTGATGTACGACTTGGCCGCGCTGATCTCGCTACCCTTCTGGAGAGAGACGACACTGGCCGTGGTGCTGTTGTTCGTCTCCACCGACATTTCGTAGATGGCCTGCTCGAGGCGAAGCTGCTTGGCGTAAAGCTCGCGAACTTCTTGCGCAGACTTGCCCTGGAGCTTCATGGCTTCGGCCGGAATCTCGTAACCATCGAGCCAGCGGTCAATCTCTTCGGGCGTCATTGCGCCGAGTCGGTGGCTGTCGTCCTTGATTGGTGGTGTGTACAACGGAATGGTCGGCTCATCCGGAAGGAGCGTAGGGTCCCAGACCGCCGTGTTCTGACGAGGCCGCTTGTAGCGCTGCGGCATGGGCGCGACCGAGAGCGAGCGTTCAAACCAGTCGGCCTTCTCGAGAGGCATGTGCTTGGAGAGGTGGTCGTCGAGGCTCTCATCGTCGCTTTCGTCGTCGTCCTCTAGCCGTTGCATGGCCGGGATCGACGACTTCATGCGGTGCTGCGGAAGGCTGTGACGAAGGAGCTGGTGCTGCTGCTGCCAGCGCGGAAGCAGCGCGGGTGAGCGCGATGCCAGGCCCGTCGGCTTGGCAAGGCTCAGCCATCGGCGGACGTGGAGTCGCGCGGCCTGCATCTTAGCTTGCAGTCGATCCAAAGCAAAATGGGATTGCAATTGGCCTCGGTTAATTTTGGCCAATCAACGCGCACGGCGTCTCCCGAGCTCTGAGTGGAGGGGAACCTATCTCTTCTAAATCCTGGATCATACCGCGTACTTAATCGGATCTTTATACTTTAGCTTTGTTTCCGGGTCGTACTTGAGCGGACAGACCGCACATAAACATGCTTGCGAAAAAGAAGGCAAACGACTAACAAATCCTTTGCATTCGACTAAACCGAGAGGACTCTCGTCGCGCGCCATGGTGTCGGCGACCTGCCACCCACTCAATGCAGCAGCTCATCAAAATAGTTCTTGCCGGTACTAAGTTCTTGCCGTCTCGCCGTAGCAAACAGGCTGTGCTAGGGCACGACTCAAAGCGTCGCCTTCGGTGGAGTTCGTACGGCTTGAGCAAGCAAGCGAGTTCGTTGCGAAGAAGCTTCTGCAACGGCCGCGGCCTGGAAGAACCGCCAGGTCGTCCCTGCGTGCGTGGCGCAACTGTGTGCCATCTTGCAACCGCCACGGGGCGCGGCTCATTTCTTAGTCGAAATTTCAAGTTTGTGCCATCGACTAAACATCCGCACCGAACGCCAGTGAAGCGGTCGAGGCAGCTGGTGGCCGCGACGAGCCAAGTGCCTGGGACATGCCCGCCCTGTCGACGAAAGCGTCAAGGACGATCGTCTCCAGATGCTACAGACAGCCTGTGCATTTCACGTGGAGCGCAGCAAATTGTATCGGTTCGTGATGAAACCGTCCGGTTAGCCGAACGCTGCAGTTACACGCTTGGGACAGGCCGCGGTGCATGAGCGACCGATCGCTGGACGACCTCGTCCACGCTGTTCAGCGCGTACGACGCAGCGGAGCGCCTCGATCTACTAACTACTAGTACGACTAGATTGCGCTTCTGGCGCCGTGGACACACATCGATGTCGCAAACACGATGCTCTGCCGCGAGGCCGACGGGTACAAGCCCAGAACCTCCATCGCAAAGCTCAGCGCTTCGCGTAGACTCTGGAACGAGCCGCTGCGCGCTCAGCTCTCGCGGGAAATTGCTGGGCTCTACGCCGGCCTACTCGAGAAGCACCGGTCCATGAACGTCCACAGCATGATCTCGAACGCCGCCAACGAGACGCGTCTCCACGGACGGCTGCTCGTCGAAGTCAAACGCCGCATCTGCGTGCCCGAGACGCTCGAGCGCGTACAAAGATCTATCGAATGCGCTTCGGCTAGCAGTCGATCCTAGGTCAAAGCCCAGGCCGCCAAGCCCCCGGAGCACACGACACCAAACGAATTGGATTCGGGGCTGCACTTTCGCCGCCGCCGGCCGACACCAAAAACATCCGAGGCCAACGACGCAACCAAAGCGCACCGACAGAGCGCCGTGAGCCCGAAGAAGATGTCGCTGCTGTCGATCCGGTCGGCCAAGACGCTGTCGACGGCGCCAGAGTTGTCCAACCAAGCGATGTCACCGGCCAAAGCCAAAGACGGTGCGTGTACCGGCGTTTCTGTTGATGCGACTTCGCGACGGCAATAGATGGCGTCAACGACAAGCTCGCGTCGTCCGTCCGCTTTGTGCATTTCCCCAAGACACGCGTGGACCTGCGCGACTTGCTGCAGACGACGGCGACGACGGAGCTCCCTGTGACGCACTTTCATGATCGACCGGTCTTCGCCTCGGCCATACTCGACGCAGGCGTGCCTCTCCCCAAACGCACCCCTTCCACGATGCCCCGTACGACGATGAACCTCGCGTCGGCTTTGTTATATTGCTGCATGCATTAGCGCCTCGTCCGCGGTACCTCTACGCCGAGAACAGTGCTGCGCTGCCCCACACCAAGCCCATCTTTGACGACTACGTCGTGCCCAAGGAAGTCTGGGACGCCGTCGAGGCCGAGCGATCGCTCCAGAGCATGAAGGTCGACGCGTGTAGCAACTTTGAGCCGCTGCCGCAAGACGATTTGCCCATGGTCTAACCTCTCCGATGTACAAACAACGAGATGGGTGGTAGGACGTGTACTTTGCGCGCGAGTGCCCGCAGGAGCGCGACATGATCTCCAAGGCGCTCGCGACGCTGAGCATTCGCCCCGAGAAGCGCGTCGAGCGGTCGGTCACAGCGGTTTACATGGACGAGAGCCTTGCGAGTACGAGCAACGACGTGCTTTTGCCCGAGGTGCGCCGGCTCTTTGACGCCGCGAGCGGCCAGTACCACGAGCTGCGCGCACACATGCTTCGCAGCGTCAAAATGTCGGCGCTGGTCGATCTCGCGCTCAAGTGCAATCTCTGCGACCTCGCGATGGAGGCGCCGGCGCGCGCCACGTCGGCCGACCCGCGCGTTGAGATCCCCAAACACCTCCAGCCGCCGCCCAAAGCCGCGCGTGGTCGCAGCCGCGAAGCAAACTCTCCTCGGCGCCGCGTCATTGCAGGTAGCCAGGTCCCTACTACGTCGAACTACTGTATATGCACTGCTGTGCCGTAGAGAAGCGGTTGTCGAAGCGGGACGCACTGGACCAGCTCGTGCACTTGAGTGACGTCGACCAACGACTGCTCACGCAGCTCGAGTTTTACGACCTTAGCGCTGACAACAACACTGTCTTCGACCCGATCGCGCTCGAGCCGCTCCTGAGGTACTACCATGGAATGCACTTGGTCTGAGCCGCATCGGGAGCTCGCAGCGTGCGGTTCGAGACGGTGTGGCGCGGCTTGCTCATGCACACGACACGCCGCTTCGACCTTGCGCTCAAGTACAGCCAGCCCGAGTTCTCGGCCCGGCTTCCGGACGCCGTCGTGCTCTGGGAGGTGTGTGCGTACTGGGTCGCAGAGCGCGAGACGACGGTGGATTACATTCGCAAGCTGCTCAAAGGGGCCGACACGAGCGCCTCGGTTTGCTCGACTGGCTCGTGCACGCGCTTGATGCGAGTGTGGAGTAGCAAGCGCACCAGCTCTACGAGCTCGTCCTGACGCTCGTGAGCTGCACGACGAAGCTCAAGCAAGCCATGGCTCTGACGCACGCGCAAGTCAACGACTTTGTACAACGCGCTGCTGACGCAATGGGCTCATGGACGCGATTAGATCGCGTACGAGGACGAGTTTTACCTCCACCGCCTCGTCAACCAGCACCAGCAACTCGAGTACATAGGCTCCGTGTACTCGATGATCCCTCTCGTGTCTCAGCACCCATGTAGGCGCGACCTACGCACGCATCCGCTGTGGCACGACCCCATCCACCTGTCGACACCGAGTGTTCAATAGGCGTTCTAGTATATATTAGTGTATATTCATAGTAGTTTGGACATGATTACTCCGAGTCGGAGGAGCTCGAGCTCGTCTTGGCCTCCTTCTTGGCCTTCTTGGCCTCCTTCTTGGCTTTCTTGGCGGCCTTCTTGGCTTTCTTGGCAGCCTTCTCTTCGTTGTCATCAACAACACCCTTGGTCTGGAGCGCGTCGCGCATGAGCTTGCCCTTGCACGAGCCATACGCGCGACGGCCAAAGAGCTTGCCGCCCGTCGCCGCGAAGAGCTGCTCGTCCGTGGGCACGTCCATCTCAGCCCGCGACCGCTTCTTGGCCTTCTTGGCCTTCTTGGACTTCTTCTTGCCATCGTCGTCGTCGTCGTCGCTGGCGTCCACGACGATCTTGCTCGCCATCTTGTTGTAGACGTTGTACCACCATTGGTTCGATTGCTCCTCGGTCTTGGCGGCCTCGGTACCGACGCCCGTGTTCTCTTCGCGCCGCTTGACCTTGATGTGCGTCGCGATACCTTGCTCTTCCTTCCCGAGCCCCTTGCCTTGGGACCAGCCCATCTTGGCCATCTGCTTCTTGGCGAACGACGAGACCTCCGAGGCCGCCGACTCGTTGGCCATGCCGCCGAGCTGCGCGAGGAACTTCTTCCCGACGATCGGAACCGTGACGACCGACATGCTCCACGACTCGAAAATGACCACTCTGCCACTGGCCCGGAATTGCCGTACTCTACCCTTTATAGCCGACACAGCTGCTCATGCTCTCCCCTCTCGTCCGAGCCAGCATCCCTGCATCATGCATGCCACTAGGACATGCCGCCTGCATCGTCGTCGCTAGTGGCTTCCAGTGGCGACCGAGAGGCGCTTCATGGTCCTCGCCTGTTGTGTACATTGCTTTCAGCGGTACTCTCCTGTGCTAGCTTCTAGTTGCCGGCAAGGACAAAGGGCCGGCCGTTGTTGGAGATACTTGATTGCAGAGAAGACGGCAGGCATACCTCCATTCTAGCAAGGGTAAAGGCTTGGATCCACTACACTTAGTGTGTTTGGGGGCGACGCGAGGCAGCGTGTCGGTTAGGAATGAACAAAGACGGTATATCCGTATAATCTTGATGTATCCGGCAGCGGCGAACGATTGGTGGATGCTGTGGGCGGCGTGATTGGTCGGTGGCATTGACTGGTGTCTATGGCCAAGGGCAATCTCGGAGGCCGATATTCCCAAATTCCACAGCTTTGACGAACATGGAACACATTGAGCAAGTACGTTCTTATTGGGCTACGGGGCAGCTGGATCGAGAGATCCCATCTAGTGGAGATAGCTAGTTGGGGTGCGGTGATGGCCACCCCAAGGCGATAACCTCCCTCACTCTCACCCGCTCACCACGATGCTTTCTAGAACGAAAAGGCTTTCCAGAAGCAGGACGGTGTCTTCCTTGCCTCGAAGAAGTTCGCCGGCAAGAAGTCGGGCCCGCGCTTCTACAAGTCGATCGGCCTTGGCTTCAAGACGCCCAAGACCGCCATCGAGGGTGCCTACGTCGACAAGAAGTGCCCCTTCACGGGCAACGTCTCGATCCGTGGCCGTATCCTCAAGGGCGTTGTCCTCTCGACCAAGATGAAGCGCACGATCATCGTCCGCCGTGACTACTTGCACTTCATCAAGAAGTACAAGCGTTTCGAGAAGCGCCACAAGAACGTGGCCGCCCACGTCTCGCCCGCGTTCCGCGTCAAGGAAGGCGATGTCGTGACCATCGGTCAGTGCCGCCCGCTCTCCAAGACGGTCCGCTTCAACGTCGTTGAGGTCGAAGCCGCCTCGGAGACCAAGCCCATCAACGTCCGCAAGCAGTTCCGCCAGTTCTAAGCGCCCGGCGAATGCACCTTGTCGAGAGCGATAACGAGACAACGATGAATTTGGGTTGATCTTTACTCATATCTTTCAGTAATGGACACGAGTGCCACTCCGTGGCAATTGAAAAATCTGCGTCCTTGGTACAAGTCTACCGGAGCAGTTTTCTATCACAACACGGGCTTGATATTTGGTGTCGACAGGTCTCCCTACCGGTGTTGCCAGAAATGCTGACGAACTGTGTTGGGATTGTGGTTGATACCTTACAAAGTATCAACCAGTACAGCCCGCCCAAGTGCTAATCCTCTCATTAATTTGGCCAACACGTGCGCGTTGGAGCTAGAAGCGTACATACGAGGTGATACATTAGGAATCTTAAATACAAGGGCGAGATATGCTTAGTAGGTCCAGCCGTTCTCGCGGCAGACGCCAAAGAGCGTTGCGATCTCGTGCGGCACGTGGCGCGGCTCGCGGTCGTTGCGGTCCGTGTACTTGCCGACGTCGGTTGTCGGCTGGCCATGCACGCAGAGGCGGCGCTGGACGTGGCGCAGCTTGATCTGCACGTGGTGGCACTCGTGGCTGCTCGTGCCCTTGACGCGGATGTGGCTCGGCGACGTCGTGCCAACGACCTCGAGCAGCGACGCGTACGCTGCGAGGAAGCGCGCAATGTCAATCGACATCGAGACGCGGCGGTCGGGCGTCGTGAGCGTCACGTCGCCGGCGCTGGAGACAGAAAACTTGGTGGTCGACCCGTCCTTGGTCGCCGTCGTGATGCACAGAAGGAGGCTGCTGCTCGTCATCTTGCTTGTCGTGCTTGATGGAATCTCAACTTGTGACCGGGTTGAAGTCCTGGCTCGATTTCTTCGGATCATCCGGATACGTTCGGATCCAAGTCAAACACCAAACAAGGCTCCGAACGAGCCAATCAAACGCAGGAGCGCGCGCGCGCAAGTTCCGCAGAACTCGCGAGTTCAAGCGCGTTCATAGTCGACGACGCTTCGACTAACTACGTACAATCACGCACATATATCTATATTATCACTCTTTATGGCCTGGTTCTTATCAATGCATCGCATCTTCTACTATTCAATCGATGGCGACTCTTTTGCAAGCAGAGCGCCGAGGTACTGCGCAACGTCGTCGTGGTGGTTCCCCCGCGCGTTGGCGAGCGCCGTCCGCAAGTTGCCATCGCGTCGTCGGTGGACGCAGAGGAATTGCACGACAGGCAAATGGCCGTGCTGCGCGGCCATGTTGAGCGCGTCCTCGGTGCAGCCTTCGCGCCGCGCGTGATGGAGAAAGGCGACGACCGCCACGTGGCCGTGCTTGGCCGCAAAGTCCATCGCCCACGTGCTGCAGCCCTCGCTCCGGTTGGCATGCAGATACTCAACAATGTCCAAATGGCCGTTCGTAGCTGCCATGTCCATGGCCTCAGTCGTGCACCCTTCGGTGCGGTGGGTGTGGAGGTACTTGACAACGTCGAGAAAGCCGCCGGTCGCCGCTTGGTCGAGCGCCAAGTGACTGCAGCCTTCGTTGCGGTGCGTATCGAGAAAGGCGACGACGCCCAAGTGCCCGTTGGCGGCAGCCGTGTCCATGGCGCGCGCCGAGACCGACGTCTCCCGCGGCGAAACGTGCCAGTGCAAGTACGTGACGACGTCGACGTGGCCCTTCCCGCACGCGTCGTCAAAGGCATCGGTCGACACGACGAGCTGCATTTCGTGGCGGCGCGGGAACAAGTACGTGACGACGTCGATGTGGCCGCTCACGACGGCCGTGTCGAGGAGGTCGGCGTCCCACGGCGCGCCCGCTGTCTCGACGAGGTAGCGCACGACGTCGCCATGGCCATGCTTGGCCGCCGCCGCGAGGGCGAGGACGCTGCCGCGCGCGGCGCAGTGTGTGTGCAGGAAGCGCAGTACGTCGAGATGGTTGTTGGCGGCCGCGCCGTCGATCGCGTCACTCGAGCACGTGTAGTGATTCGCGTGTAGCAGCTGCAGCACCGATAGATGGCCCTGGACCGCTGCATTGTCCATCGCGTCGGGCAGCCGCGGCTGGTCCAGTGCATGGTTGAGGCAGAGGTACTCGACGAGATCAAGGTGTCCCGCGCTCGCCGCTGTCGCCAGTAGTGCCGATGGCGGCGGCGCGATCGCGCGGTGGGCGGCCAAGAGGTAGGCGACCAGTCCGACGTCGCCGTGCGTCGCAGCGCACTCGAAGGTCTTGGCGCCAAAGCCGGCGTAGCGCTGAGCCTGCAAGTAGACGAGGACTGTGGTTTGGCCGTTCGCCGCGGCGAGGCTCGGGCGCAGGACGGCGCGGAGGACCGATGGTGCGCGTGCATGTACTGCAGCAGCGGGATATGGCCAAAGTAGATGGCGTGGGCATAGCAGAGCGGCGCGAGGCTCGGGAGCGAGGCAAAGAGGCGGCGACAGCTCGACGCGCCGTGGGCCGCGAGCCATGGCGCAAAGCAGCGCGCAAAGTTCTCGATCGCCTTGACCATGTGCCGAGTGGTCCGCTGCGACGACGCGCGCCGGACCATCGGCGCAGTCGCATGCGTCGTCTTGTAGTAGCGAGAGAGCGGGCGCAGGTCCCACGAGACGCCGGCTTGGAAGCTGACGATGATCGCCAGAAGCTCGGGCGACCGCAACACAGCGGCAAACATTTCGCTCTGGACGAGCGTCCGGATACGCATGCACTGTATCGCGGGCTGGCCAAGGAAAGCAGCAGTTTGGCCACCGATGGAGAGAGGCGTCGACAGAGGGCCCACGGACGCGACCATGAATGCTCGCCGCGCAGTGTAAAGTGATCCAATGTAAGCTTCGAGCAGCCCAAGACTGGCAAGCTGGACCAAGCAATTTACCGATCCCGCCCCGTTCCACCCTCTGGGGGCGGAATGTGAGTGACCCTCCGGCTCCAAGTGTCCATACCAAGACCCTTGCCGCTAGATCTGCTTGCGGGCGCTGATCGCTCAGGGTCCGTGTTGATTTGATTAGTATAAGCCACGCAAGAGGAGGAGGAAGGGTCATGTAGTAGCACGGGCTCCGTCGCGCGCCTACCCAACAACCTTCTTTCGCTTGTTCGGGTCGTCCTGGCCGCGCTGGACGGCCGTGATGCGGTCGCCGAGGCTCAGCGCGATGCCCTGCGTCTTGCTTCGGATGCGAATGTGACCCGTGATCTTGCCCTTCTCGAGCTTCTCGACGCTGAGGTTGGCGAGCGCGTCTTCGCCTACTCAACCGTTCGCACATGCCTCCAAGTGTAGTCGCGGCGACGTACCAAAGATGCTCTTGGCGTACAGATTGGCCGCGAGAAAGTTCGTGTCGCCGCCGAGCGACGCCGTCGGCGTCATGCAGCGCATGTTGGTCTTGTCCGTAATGTGCTGGAGGAACGCAAAGACGTTGGTGATGTCCGTGTTGACAGCCACCTTGTTCTCCCACTCAAACTCGGCCCACATCGACCGGAACGCCGTGTCGGCGCACGAGGCCGGCACGATGTAATCCATGATGTCGAGGTGGATGTCGTTGAGGTTCACGTACGTCTTGTCGGCGCCCGACGCGCTCTCGTACACGATCGTGCCAAAGATATGGCCCGTCTCGGTCGACGACACCTTGATGTTGGCGCGGATCGTGCGCGTGTCCAGCGGCCCGATCGTCACGGACGCCGGGCGCTCGATGAGCTTGAGGTCGCCCATCGGCGTCAAGTCGACGCTCAGGTTGTTGAGCGTTGTCGGCGTCCGGTTGATGACGAGGATCTCGAGCACGATATCATAGTCGTGCACCGTCACGTACGCCTCGGCGTACACCGAGTCGGCAAAGCCCGTGAGCTGGTGCACGGCGCGGAGCTTCCCGCTGTACTCGTTCGTCGCCACCGCGCGCCCAATGTCGGCGCCGTCGTCAATATCAATGTCCGTCGATCCGAGCGCCTTCTTGCCGCGCAGCTGGCGAAAGCTAATGAGGTCGTCGGCCTGCAGCGTCGCCGGCTCGTCCGACGCGACCTTGGCGAGGTCCGCCGCCGTCTGCGCCTTGAGCGCTTCCAACACGGCTTGGTACGACGCGCGGCAGTCGCGGATGAGCACGCCATGCAGCGCTTCAAACGCCGCAGGGTCCGAGAGGATGCGCACGCACAGCAGCATGCGCCGGCGCGAGTCTTCGTCGAGCTCGATTTTGCCGTTCTTGGCCGACCGGCAGTGGTCGAGGCCGTAGACGACGACGGCGACGATGTACCGGAGCGCGTCGACCGTCATGGCCTTCACAATGCCGTCCTCGGCGGCCGACGCGTCCTTGGCGATCGCGCGCGCGACGAGCTTGGTCAGCGTGGACGCCAGCGTCGAGGCCAGGAAAAAGTCGCCGTTGAGCACGAGCTTGCGGAGCATGAGCACGGGCCCGGCCGCGTCGACGGCCGCCGGCGCCGCGTACGACGTCTCGGTCGCATACGTGCCGTCGGCCAAGACGATGCTCTTGGTCGTGGGCTTGACCGTGGCTGCGACGGGGTCGACCTTGGCCGCGTCTTGCACGGGCGTTGCCGCGTTGAGCGGGAGGGATCCAAGGGCCGCGAGGATCGCTTGGAAGACGCCGTCGATCGAGGTCTCCGACGCCCCGAGGTCGTCGCTCGCGTACTCGCCGAGTACCCAGAGCGCAACGCGGTAGACCTTGGCCGACTGGATGTCCGGGAACGAGATGAGGAGCTTCTGGAGGATGCTCGCGCGCAAATCCGGGTACGACTCGCACATGGTGCGGACAAAGAGGAGGACGTCCATGGCGCCGTCCGTGCCGACAAACTCGAGCAAGAGGTGGACGACCTGGTGCGCAATGTCGGGGAACTTGACCGCGCAGTTGTTGATCGACTTGATGAGGAGCGCGCGGTACTCGTCGCACTGCGCCTTCTCCATGCGGCCCTTCTCCTGCGTCTTGAGGATCTCGCGCTTGAGGTGCCCAATGACCTCTTCAATGTTGCGCGGGCTCACGAGGCTCATGGCGATCTCAAGCACTTTTTTGCAAATGTCGAGGTTGGGCGAGCTCAGCGCGCGCATGACGTCCATGAGCACTTCCTGGAGGATCTTTGTGTGGTGCTTCTTCAGATCCGCGAGCCGGTCGAGCACGATCAGCTTGACGTTGTTGTCGCTCTGGCTGTTGAGGAGGCCCGCGTACGTCTTGGCCGCGGCGCGCACGGCCGTCGGCGCCGAACTCAGCGTCACGAGCGTCCACGCGGCTTCGTAGCTGACGGCCGCCGACGACGACTGGAGGAGCTGGAAGATGCAGCGCACGAAGCGCGCCTTCTGGGCAGGGTCGGCCCGGCAGACCTTGCGCGTGAGCTCGAGGATCACGAGCGAGAAGCCGTCGCCAAACTTTTGGATCTGGTCCATCGAGGTCATGAGAAAGTTGACAGCCACGTTCTCGGCGCAGTCAAAGAGCATGAGGAAGGCGTTGCGGCGCGCGCTCGCGTCCGACTCGTTGACGATAAAGCGCTCGATGAGCTCGGGCGCGTCGGGGATGAGGAGCTCGCCAAAGTTCTTGTACATCGAGTAGACCGTCATGACAGCGTTCTTGCGCACGTACGCGTGGCGGTGGTCGAGGTTGGCCTTGACGGCGTCTTTGAGCGGCTCGAGGAGCTCGCGCTCCTTGATCTTGCAGAGGAAGCGCAGCATTGAGCCGCGGATGTACTCGTTGGCGTGGTTGAGGTCGTTGAGGAGCGCGTTGCAGACAAGGATCATCTCGGGCAGGAGCTTCCCGGCCTCGTCGTACTTGGACGCGATCTCCCAGTAGACCATGAGGAGCTTCTTGAGCTGGTGGTCCTCCTTCGTGGAGCAGAAGCGGATGATCTGCATGAGGACGCGCGGCAGCTTCTCGCCGTTGAGGAGCGCGAGGATCGCCGCCTTGAGCGCGCGGACCTTCTCCTCCATCTTGGGGCTCTCGAGGCCCTTGAGGATCTCGTCCTGGCTCGGCGGCTGGAGCCCGCCCTTCTCCACGCCCGAGAAGAGCAGGATCGTGCAGTTCTTCTCCGTCGTACTCATTACGTCAGGGGTGACGAAGACTTGTTCGAATCCGCAGCCCCAAGGTGATTTGTTTACCGCCCATTGGCCGAAATCCCCCTGACTTGGAGCGATGCCATTGGACAAAAAGAGGTCGAAAAGTGAACCATCCGCCAATGAGACGCGCCTCCGGATACGCAACCGAAGCACTGCCACGTCATTATTGTGACACGATATCCTCCACCACAAGGAAAGACCACGAATGGAATATCGACTAGACGTTTTGGGGTGTCGACTAAATCTGTTGGTTATGACGACAAGGCGACGCCGACCGGTGGTGGCTCTGCGCGAGCACTTGCGCGAACGAGTCGCGATCGAGCGCCGACGCCACGACGACGTCTTCTTGTGCTTGGCGCTTGGCGCGGCGCGCCTTCTTGAGCCGGTGCCAGATGCACACGGTCTGCTTGGACAAGATGTAGAGCTGGCGCGAGTTGAAGAGGAGGAGGAGCGCGATCTGCAGCACGAGCGCACACGTGCCGACGACGGTTTGCACGCTGTGGTCGACGTCGGCAATCACAAACGAGCTCAGCAGCGCGTACGTGGCCATCTTCATGACGAATGCGATCGACGCGCAGACGTTTTGAAAGTCGAGGAGGTACGGACTGCAGTGCGTCAGGTAGAGGAACATGCCAAACTGCAGCGAGAGCAAGAGCGTGAGCTGCGTCGGAACGTTGCTCACGGCGCCAATCACGATGCCGCTCAGCACCTCGGCGCCCATTTTGGCAACGAAGAAGTACCGCTGCTCGAACGTGTACGTCTTGTAGTACCCGCCCCACGTAAACTTGAAGCCGGGCTCGGCGAGGTCGGTCGCGGATTTGCCGTGCAGCATGCACACGCCGAGGACGAGGAGGCCGCAGCAGATGAGCGAGAGTGACAGTGTCGCAAAGCAGAGACCGCTGCTGTCGGTGAAGCGCAGCTGGAACGACGACGTCATGGAAAGGGCGTACTCGCTCATGAGCGCGATACCAAGTGCAGCCTGGAGCAGCAACCGCAAGAAGAGCCGGTCCTGCGGCAATTCGGACGCGAGCTTCTTCTTGACGTTGCGTAGACTATCCATGCGTAGGATAGATTATTGGATAGAATGATTGATAGGTGCGTACCGCTGGCCAAAGAGGAGGCGCACGACGCCGTAAAGACCGCTGACGACGACGACGACGATGCCAACGACGCTTGCGAACCCGACGACCGTCGCTTGGAAGAGCGCTTCCGGGTGGATGTGCAGGCGCTGCGCATACGAGAGCACGCCGGCAATGATGTCACCTTGCGCGATCGAGAGCGCGTCGGCCGAGAGCGGCGTCGGACCTGACGCATTCCCCGACCACGACGGCGGGACGTTCAAGACTGTCCACGCGAGCGAGTCGGTAAAGTCGAGGTAGAACGGCGGCGCCGACGGCATTTCCATGTGCCCCGACGACGCCAAGAACTGGAGGTAGTCGATGAGAACCCAGAAGGACACAAAGTCGCCGGGTGGTCCCGCTGCCCTACATGCCGCAGTCCTCTTAGCGTTGAATATGGTATCCGTAGACTAACGTGGCGGTCGACGAGGCGACGGAGAGCGAGTTGGTGACGCTCGGCAGCGTCGAGCTGAGCACCATCGAGATGACGCTCGTCAGCAGCGACGACGAGACGGCGGCACCCACAATCAGCTGCGCCTTCTCGGACGCAAGGAACTGCAGCGTGTCCACGAGTCCTGGCGCCGTTTCAATCAGCGCGTAGCTGAACGACTCGTTGCCGCCTGTCACAAGTCGCAAGATGTGAGATCATAGACGGTGGTGATGGGGTGTGCGCACCTTCCGAGCCGGCGACTTGGTCGTGGATTGACGGCCCGACGGCAGATGGCAATGGTGACGCCGCCGTCTCGTTGAAGCGTTTGATCTCTGGCGCGGGACTAAGGCCTTTCTGCAACGGCTGTTGCGACGGCGCCGGCGCGCTGGTTTGCTTGAAGTTGAACGCAGGCATTGGAGTTGGTCCAGCGGCAATGGTCGGAGCTGGAAGCACCACACTTGGGCGGGTCGTCAACTCAAGAGACGTCGAGGGTGCTGGTGATGTACCGAGCGTCGTAGGCGCCGATGGTGAGCTAATGGGCTGCAATGTCACCAAATTTGCACTGGTCGTTGGCAGTGGCTCGATCGTGGTACTAGGAGGCTCGGTTGTCGTTGCCAACGGTGTCCCTGCGACACTGGTCGTCGCTGGTACGGCCGATTCTGTCGTCGTCGGGGAGCTTGTGCTGGGAGCCGTCGTCAACGGAGTGGGTGTCGCATCGGGCGTGAACACTGTCGTTGGAACTGGCAATGTGAACGGACCCACCGTATCTGGGGAAGTCGTGGTTGTTAAAGGCTCTGTGGTCGGCGCGGGTATCGTTGCAGCTGGTACCGTTGTAGCCACCATAGTCACCGCTGCGGTCTTCGTCGTTAGCACCGGTGAAGTCGACGTCGTGTTGCTTGGCGTGGGCGCTACTGTTGGCGTAACAGGTCCGCTTGTGGGGGCTTCGGTTGTCGACGTCGGCTCTGTTGTAGAACCAACCGGCACCGTTGACGTCGAGGGCATTGTCGTAGTCGCTCCTGGTCGGTTTGTGGCTGGTGCCGAGGTTGAGATCACTGGAGTTGCGACAGGTACTGTCACTGGACTTTGCGTCGTTGGTGGGACCGCTGTGTCAACGGGCACCGGCGTTGGGACACTTGATGTCCAAGTAGGTGTCGTTGTCGGGCTTGGCACCGTTGAGACTGATGACGCTACTGGCGTTGATGTTGGTACCGCCACTGTCGTCGAGGCTGGCCCAGTTGGCTGACTTGTTGTCGTGGGGCTTACTGTTACCACTACCGGTGCAGGTGTTGGCAATAATGAAGTTGGTCCCGTTGTCGTTGGACTTCTTGTTGATGGTGTCAACGTTGTCGGCGCTGGTACCAGTGTTGGGTCGGCCGTAACAGAGGCCTGTGTTGTCGAAGCCGGTGCCGTTGTTGGACTATATGTCGCAGGTGCGCTTGTTGTCTCTACTGGCGCTGGCGTCGGGGCCACAGTCGGCGGGCTCGCCGTGACTGGAGCCAGCGTCGTGATTACTGGCGCTGGTGACTGAGTCGTGTCTACAGGCACCGGCGTCGGAGCGATTGTCGTTGGGCTTGCCGTGACTGGAGCCTGTGTCGTGTCTACTGGCACCGGCGTCGGACTTGCCGTCGCTGGCGCTAGCGTTGTGTCTACAGGCGCCGGTGTTGCCGCATCCGTCGTCGGTGTTGCTGTTGTAGGCACTGGACTCGTCTGCACTGGTGCAGGTGTCGGGGCAACCGTTGGTGGGCTCGGCGTCAGCATTAGCGTTGTGCCTGGAACGCTCGTTGCAGGTACTTTCGTTGGTGCAATGGTTGCTGATGGCGGCTTGGGCGTGACGGAAGGCTTTGCAGTTGTCTTAAACGGTATCGGCGTCCGGGGCTTGGCCGTCGTTGTACTTGGCATAGGCGTAGAACTCGGCAGTGGTGTCGGCATGCTCGAATCCGTTGCTACTGGTGTCATTGTAGTAGGGGGTTCTGTTGTCGGTGGAAGCGTCATCAGGTTCGGGTCGCCGACTTGAGTCGTGACGCAGGCAGTTGAGTTCGGGTTGCACATTTGGATGACCGAGCCACCCGGGTAATGCGCGGTCCATCCGTCAAAGCAAGTGGGGTTGTCGATCGGCGCACCGAGCCGCATGTAGCAGCAGTACGACGTATCACCGAAATCGTTGATCAACGCGTACACGCAGTAGTTGAACTCTGTCACGGCGGCGGCGGGGCTTGTGGTAGGACTCGTGAACTGAAGCCGCCGCGCACTCGCCGCTGCGCCGAGAGCCGCAAGCAGCAGCGACCACACCATCGAAAATGCAAAGTGCCAGCGCCCGATCCGGCGCCATCTCGTCGGCGCTGGCCCGCATGAGACCTGCGCAAGGTTCCGTCACCTGATTATCGCACAGTTATTCGGATAAGGATCGCAAAATCCGGTTACCGTGGCTCGCACGGGTGTAATCTCCGCTGAGTTGCAAGGCTGGTCGCTCACAACGGTCCCGATCTACCGGGTACTTGCTGTACTGGAGATTCCTAGACGCGTGCTGTACACTGCTGCTGCTGGTACAAAGCAATCGAGGCCTCAGAGTACTTCCAGGCGGTATGGTCTCCGGAAACGAGCCACAGTATCCGTATACCGATAATAAATTTACTTGTTTTATTACGACATAATGGCGCGCAGAGAGCTGGTTTTAAAATTCAACTCCGGGAAATGGTCTCCGGAGGTCCGTCGCACCAGCCATTTGAGTTTTCGCCATGTCCTTCTTGCGGTAGGCGCGATATGGCCGCCGATGGCAGCTCGCTCATGCTTCCTGTCCTGTAGCGCTGCCACGTTGACGACGAGCCTTTGGTCGCGCAGCGCCGTGGGCTTTGCCCAGCCGCCCACGATGATGTGCATGCAGGTGCGCGAGATGGGCTACAAGCTCAAGACCAAGTCGGGCGTCAAGAAGCGCTTCTTCGTCAACAGCAACGGTCACATCAAGCGCGCCGTGGGCGGCAAGCGCCATTTGGCGACGGACAAGACGCGCCAGCGCATTCGCCGACTGGGCAAGGCCGCGACTGTCCTCGGCAAGATGAAGAAGAACATTCTGGAGATGTTGCGCGTGTAGATTGTTAGACCTAGGCACGACGGCGCAGACACTAATACAGCCTTTCGCCCACGTCCTTAGACCAAGGCGAGGACGCCAAGCACGATCACGGCTAGGTGTGGCGCACACACAACGCCTTCGTACCAGCACTTGATCGAAGCGCATTGCTTCCTGCAGACGTATTCAAGCCTAGCATCGACCTCAGATCGTTGCCGAGACTCAGCAGTGTGCTACGTACTCGTCGGTGTCGGATCTGCGACGACGACGACGGGCAAAGCGCTCGGTAATGCTGGGGTGCTGTTACACCCCAGGGACACATTGGTACTTGTCGTCGTCGCAGGCATTGTCGAGAAGAGTTGGATCGGCATCGCAAAGCCCGAGCGGGACAACATCGTCGGCGACCGAGCGTTCGACGCGGTAGAGGTCGCTGACATCACATCAAGAGCGTGTTGCTCATGGCGCTGCTCGTTAAGTAGAAAGGGGTGCACTTGTTGGGAAAGCAGTACGCCGGTTGAATTCTCTGGCCCTTGGCCGTGGAGCAGCAACAGAGAGCGTCGTCCCCGGCTTCATTGTCCATGAACGCGCACTCGGCATACGCTGGCTGGGGCTGCCAGGCTTGCACTAAAGCGGCCAAGAGGACGGCGAGAGAGCTCGGAAGGGAGCGATGCATCTCACAGCGTTGAATGAGTCGATCGTAGCTGTCGCGCCGCCGACTGAGTCGACGATCTCGGCCAGTTCCATGAGCGTTGCCGTCTCCACTGGCTTCACGAGCTGCCATGACCGAGAGAAAGTCACATGCGTTTGTTGCTCATCTCACGACACTGAAGGCCATCGCTTGCAATAAAGACCGTAACCTGTTGTCTCTGCTTGCAACGCAGATCCGATGAGACCCTCAAGACACCACCGTTGTGGTCGACATATCAAGCCTCGCTCAACATGTATGATCTGAGTCTAGGCCCTAATCGCGGCTCGTGACTGCACTCAACGTGGTGTCGAGTTCTAGATCTTAGCGGCTTCAACGTTCACGAGGCAGCCAATCGCCGCCGCCGATGCGAGAACTCGCTATCGGATTGGTCACGATCGGTACAACGCCATATGATTTGCTGGAATGCTATAAATAGCTCACATGTGTGAACGGGCCAAGTTGCAGCTTGGAACGATGGAGATCAAGCCGTCGATGCGACATGGACCGGTGACCGTGCTGAGCCCGAGCAGCCACACGGGCAGCTTCGGGAGCTCGGCGCCGGCGTCGCCCGCGGGACTGAAGAAGCCGAGCTCCATGTCCACGTCGCTCTTCTCGCTCCAGCTCAAGAAGCTCGTGTCGCGCAAGAAGCGGCGGTTCATCGAAGATGGCTTCGACCTCGACATGACGTGTAATGTAGCGTGGCCTCATAGCAGGCTACTGAGCTGGCTGTAGATGTGACGTCGCGCCTCATTGCGTTCGGGTATCCGGCGGAGAACCTCGAGGGCATGTACCGCAACCACTACAAGGTACTCGCACATCATCGAGCTGCGATCTAGTCTCACATGCTGCATTAGGACGTCTTCAACTGCTTTGAGCATCGCCACAAAGACCATTACAAAGTCTACAATCTGTACGACCATCGAAACGACGTGCAACTCGGTTCTTAGCGGGTGCTGCCGCAGGTGCTCGGAGCGCCACTACGACAAGGACAAGTTTCACAACCGAGGTAGACACATCTCACAATAATCTCACCGCGCTGATGGCAGAGTCGCTTGGGTAGTCGCCGAGTACCCGTTCGACGACCACAACCCACCGCCGCTGTCGCTCCTCATTCCTGCCTGCCAAGACATCGTGCGATGCGCACGTCTCGCGCAGACTCCTGACCACTGACATAGTTTGAGTGGCTTGCGCAGCACCCCGACAACGTTGCAGCGATCCACTGCAAAGCTGGCAAGGTCTGAGATGTACAACCTACCACAGGAGAGCGCACGCAGCGTGAGGGACGCACCGGCGTCATGATCTGCGCCTACCTCTTGTACAGCTCGACGTGGCTCACGGCATACGGCGCCATGGGCTTTTACGGCGGCGCCCGGTCGCTCAACCACCAAGTACGCGCGGTTTCAAGCCACGGAGCTAACGAAAGCGTAGGGCGTGACGATCCCGAGCCAGCGGCGCTTCATCGAGTACTTTGCCAGCATGTGCCACAAGGATCAACCCGAAGAAGCCAAACAAGCCGAGATGCATTTGACGCACGCAGACTTTGGGCAGCTCTGGGAGAAGCAGTGGCTCACCGACGACCGTGCGAGCGACAGCTCCTTCGTACGTGTCGTGCGTCGATGCATCCGTCGCCTCATACATAAGTAGATGTCGTCGGGCCGCATTTCAAACGAGCAGCTCGTCGCGCTTCCCAAAGTGTTTGAGCGCCTCGCGCTGCCCAAGCCCGTCAACTACAAGCTCGTGTCGTGCGTTATCCACGGCCTGTACCCAAAGAAGAAGCCTGGTACGTCCACAGAGGCCAAACGCCACCGACGACGTTGCGTAGACATGCACGTCTTCGTGCAAGTGGGCTTCGACAAGGCGCTGCAGTACAACCTCTCGGTCGCGGGCACGACACAAGTGTCGATGGATGACGCGTGCGAGAGCATGCAAGTGGACAAGCTCGAGGTCTCTTTGCATAAAAGCACTAGCGATTCACCACCACTTGATAGATTGTGTGCCCGATGGACCGCCAAACGCTGCTGTGCGGCGAAGTCAAGGTCGAGCTTCGCAAGCGCCAAGGCGGGAAGCCCCTCGGCCACTTTTGGTTCCACACGTCGTTCTTGGACCCGGCGCGGCCGCAGCTTACCGTACAGAAAGCCGACATGGACGTGCTGCTCAAGGACGTCAAGAAGGGCCACAAAAAGTTTGCCGAGAGCATGCATATCGTGCTCACCATGGCGCCTGCGTAATAATCCCACGGCGTACTATTCGCCTTCGTCATAACGATTCCGCCTTCGCTGGGCTTCGAGACCGATCGCGACCAGGAGCCAGCGCCGGGCAGTGTCCGCACAAGTGCAATGTGAGGATTTTGGCGCGGGCCAATGGAATTCCATCGAAGTTCCCCCCATATGGCGCCACGTGTGGTTGGCTCGCGTCCGTGAGACCACTCTTGAAGCGCGAGGGCAAGCCGCCCATCGCCGTCTGCGCCAAGCCCCATGACCAGCGACAGCCTGCATTGTCGTCCGATCGTAATCGTGCACATAGCAACTGCGTTCGTCGTCCGCAGGCGCCGAGCGCTTCATGGAGGCGGCCATGCGCCGCACGATCGCCGATCCAGCGCTTGAAGCGCCTGTCGCAGCAGATGCGTCGCCACTCATTCGGCCAGCTTGAAGTCCCGCGCGTGACCAACGCTGTTTAAAACATGGGGCGTCGCCGTCCTGTGATTGGCTCCAACTCCGGATTCAACGGCACCCGGTGGATCATCCGGATAAAGTCGGCCTTCAAGGAGGACATCAAGAAGGCGATCATCGACCGTGGCGACGATCAGTTCTGAATTTACGCCATGCTCCGCGCCTCGACCACGCTCCGCCGCGCTGCGCCGCGCCGCGCCCTCTCGACGACGACGACGGTCGCCGTGCCGTCGACGGACGAGCTCAAGGCCAAGCTCAACACCAAGCCGATGACGCTCGACTTTTCCGAGACGCAGCGCATCTTCGCCGCCAAGTCGACGCCGCTCCTCGCCCGCGCGTACCTCGTCTTCACGACGTGCCAGATCCCGTTTCTGGTCAAGAACAGCATGGGCCTCATCGACGCGTCGTACAAGGTGCTCGGCGACAAGGTGACCAACTTCGGCCTCAAGTCGACCTTCTTCGGCCATTTTTGCGCGGGCGAAGACGCGGCCACGATCCAGCCGACGCTCCAGCAGCTCGAGAGCGCCGGCATTGGCGCGATCCTCGACTACGCCGCCGAGGCCGACGTCGAGGCCGAGAAGAAGACGCCGCTGAACGGCGTCGACGCCAACGAACTCCAAGCGCGCACGTACGACTACGCGGACGAAGAGATGTGCGATGCGAACGCCAAGATCGTGTCGCAGGCGATCCGTGACGCGCCCGAGAACGGGTTCGCGGCCGTCAAGTGCACCGCGCTCGGCAAGCCGGAGCTGCTCCAGCGCATGTCGTCGATCCTCGAGGAGACGCAGCTCCTCTTCCACTCGCTCGACACGAAGAACCTCAGCGACGCCAAGGAGAGCTACTTGAAGCGCCTCGTCGACTGCCCGACGCTCAAGGAAGGCATCAAGCGCTGGGGCGGCAAGTACACGGAAGAGGAGATCGAGACGCTCTTCCGCACGCTCGACAAGGAGCAGGACGGCGTCATCGACTACATTGACTGGGTCTCGCTCCTCAACCCGATGGACCTTACGATGGGCCCGCTGACGCAGTTCCTCAAGGTGGACCCGCTCACGCCGGAGGAGGTCCAGCAGGTGAGCCAGATGATGGCGCGCCTCGAGTCGCTCGCGAACGAAGCGTCGGTCAAGAAGGTCAAGCTCATGATCGACGCCGAGCAGACGTACATGCAGCCGGCCATCGACCACATTACGCTCAACCTGCAGCGCCGCTACAACACGAACGGCCGCGACACGATCTTCAACACGTTCCAGTGCTACCTCAAGTCGGCCTCGGACCGTGTGCTCATCGACCTCGAGCGCGCCAACCGCGAGGGCTTCAAGTTTGCTTGCAAGCTCGTGCGCGGCGCGTACATGGTCCAGGAGCGCAAGCGGGCCAAGGACTTGGGCTACGAGGACCCGATCCAGCCGTCGATCGAGGCCACGCACGCCAACTACAACGCGCTGGTCGAGCTCCTCCTCGTCCACAACCACCGCACGTCCTTCATGGTCGCGAGCCACAACGAGGAGAGCGTCAAGAAGACGGTCGCCAACATGGAAGCTCTCAACATCCCGCGCGAGAACGGCGGCGTGTACTTTGGCCAGCTCCTCGGCATGTGCGACCACATCTCGTACACGCTCGGCGCCGAAAAGTACCAAGTCTTCAAGTACGTGCCGTACGGGCCCGTCAAGGAGGTGCTCCCGTACCTCATTCGCCGCGCGCAGGAGAACTCGACCATGATGAAGGGTGGGTCGGCCAAGGAGCTCGACCTCCTCACGAAGGAGCTCAAGCGCCGCGTGACGTCCTTTGCGCAGTAAGACACTTTAGAAGACCGTAGGTAGCATAGATTTAATAGGAACTCGTAATATTTGAAACTCCAGTACACCCCCACCAAGTGAGTTTTCATACCGTTCGACTTCAAGCCCGTCGTCACGCAGGTATCAGAGGGTTGGAGTCGTCGCGAGCAAGGAAATAAAGGGCGCTCCCTTGGCCGCGACGGACAGTTGCACCGCTCTACTATCCTAATGGAGCCAGCAGCAGCCTTGAGTACGGCTTCAACAGTCTCGCGAGCGCAAAAATGACGTGGCGCCACGCGGTGCATGCGGCAAATGCCACTTTTAGCTGGAAGCGGGGCCTCGTTTGGAGTGGTTGTGGCAAATAAGAGTATAGTTGATGGGTTCTATTAGAGCGAGGGCGGCGTCGACATGTCGTAGTTGTCGTCGAGGCCGTCGCCGTCGTACGTGAAGCCCTGAAACGTGTAGGACATGGTCCGGCACGAGTTGGTGCGCGCCGAGACGCTGCTTCGGGCACTGGGCGTCACGACGGCCACGCCGCTTACGTCGTCCATGGCGTCGAGCACGGGGAGGCGCGTAAAGTCGTCTTCAAAGTTGACTGCATCGAGAGGATCGGTGTATTGACACGGCCGGAACTCGGGCTCGACCTCTCGATTCAGAAGCGCTTCCCACGCCACGTCCTGGAAGAACGGGTGCACGAGCACCTCCGTGGCGCGCAACCGCTGCGACGGGTCGCGCTCGAGAAGACCCGCGATGAGGTCCATGGCCTCGACGCTGAGCCCGGCGGGAAACTCGAGCGGCGACGACCGAAGTCGCTGGTACAAGGTCTCGCGGTCGGTCGTATACCACGGCGGGCGGCCCGTGAGCAGTTCGTAGAGCACCATCCCGAGATTCCACCAGTCGACGGCCGTGCCGTGGCCCTTCTTGTTGAGGATCTCGGGCGGGAGGTACTCGGGCGTGCCGCAGAGCGTGTTGGTACCGTCGAGGCGGCCAGTGATGCCGGTCTTCGCAAGGCCAAAGTCGGCGAGCTTGACGTGGCCGTGGACGTCGAGCATGATGTTTTCGGGCTTGAGGTCGCGGTACACGATGCCTTTCTCGTGCAAGTGGATCAAGGCGAGCGTGATCTCGGCCGCGTAGAAGCGCGCAATCGACTCTGGAAAGCACTTGATGCGCGTGAGGTGGAAGAAGAGGTCGCCGCCAGGGCAGTAGTCCAAGATAAAGTAGAGCTGGTGCGTCGTCTGAAAGGCATAGTGCTATGTACCACATCAGATTCTGGTCAGGACCACACACATGGACACGTACGAGGCGAACGATGAACGGGTGGTCGATGGACCCGAGCACGCTGCGCTCTGTGCGCGTGTGTTCGACTTGAGCTTTCTTGACGACATCTTGCTTGGTGAGGATCTTCATCGCAAAGAGCTCGCCCTGCGCCTTCTTGCGCACGAGGAGGACGCGGCCAAACGACCCTTTCCCAATGAAGCGCAATGGCTCAAAGTCGTCGGTTGTCGGCTTGGCCACAAGCTGCTCCAAGCTCGGAGCGCGCTCGAGCTGCAGCCGCGGGTCCGAGTTGGTGCGCTCGAGCTTGGCCTTGGGCTTACTCGACTGCTTTCCGGGTTCCGTGCGGTTGAGGAAGAGCGCCGAAATCTTGCTGTTGTGGCTCGCGCCGCCGTCGCTCAGGCGCGAGTGCGCCATAAAGTCGGCGGCTGTCCGCCGGCTCGAGTGGCCCTGCGACGACGCTTGCAGCATCGACGCCATGGACGCCGACGGGCGCTGGTCCGGGTCCGAGTAGCTGAACGCGTGGGAGCCTGTCTCGAGCGCCGGCGGCTGGTTCGCATCTTTGGTCAAGAACGTGCGAACAAAGTGCGACATGCCGAGGCGCGGCGCGGTCGTGGGCCGCGCAGGCGGCACGAGGAGCTCCTTGAGCCACTTTTCAAGGTCCGACTGCCGTTTCCGGAGGAAGAGCGTGTCGAACGACCGCCGAATGCCAAAGCGGCGCGACGGCAGTGCGGGAATGCGAAAGCCCTGTCGATGCGTATGAGGCAACCCGTTGCAGCGCGAGCTATGTCGCACCTGGCTCTTGAGCTGGCTGCTGAGCTCACGGAAATCGTGGTATCTTCGGTACACGGTCCAGCGCTTGCCGTTGGCTTGGCACTACGCATCATCTGTGAGAGCGCGTCGTTCGCATCAAGCAGCGCACCTCGACTTCGAGGCGGAAGATGACGTAGGGTTGCTTGGTTGACGAGTTCATGTTGGTGCTCCCGGATGCGAGCGAGTGCCCCGAGATGCGCACGAGCTGGCCCTGCTCGCCCTGCGGGATGTACGCCGTGTCGGGCACGACGGGCGGCAGCGCCGTCGACTTTTGAAAGTTTGTGGACCAAATCTGCTCGTAGTACTGGCGCTCTTCCTCGGGCTGCGCCGGCCGCTCCTCCTTGGGCATCATGGGCGTGTCAAAGATGAGGTCGGGCGGCGCGAGGAGGCTGGACCGGTCGCTGTTGAAGATGCCGCTGTGCTCGCTGATGAAACCCGTCATCGAGCGCTCGCTGTCAAAGTGAGAGACCATGCTCAGCTCGCTGTGCATCGACATCTCGTTGCAGTAGTCGTCGTTCATCGAGTCCAAGCTCGCGATGCTCATGATCGACATGCTGCGCGCCAGTGGGTCCTCGCCACCGTTCAGGATCTGGTTCGGGTCGTGCAGCGGCGGCACCCGCGTCGCCGACGTCACCAAGTGGCTCCTACGCAGCAGCCGTCAGCAGCGCCTTCATCGTCGGCGACGCGTACTCGATGACGTTCGGCTGCTTCTCCGTGCGCGGCTCGCTGTGCGCCGGTATGCTCTGCGACGCCTTGCGCTTGACGCTGCTATGCTGCATGAGCCGCCGATCGCAGGCGCAGCCAGCGCATACCTTTGCTGGGCCATGCTCGCTCGCTCGCTCGCGATCACTTCGCGGCGCTGGGAATGTGTGTGTGGCAGCCTCCTGGATCTGGTTATTGGCCAGCTGGTGTTGGCAACTATTGCATCACGGCGGTCGCCAGCGGTGTTATAACGCTGTTAGACGCGTGCACGCGCATTGGACGCAGCTCGGACAGGCGGCGCGCGTGCATGTCCCGGCGCGACGCCCGTCTTGCCGCGCGGCCATCGCCGGCGCCGCCGCGCCGTAGCGTTATAACACTTTCGGTCTCGTCTTTTACCGCGGCGCGTGAGAAAAGCCGGGTCTTGTAACACCACCTGCTTTCTCCTCTCGCTGCGACACGCGGCGTTCTGGTAAACCACGTGCTGCATACAATCTTATAGTCGCGTCGAGGCCAAGCCCGCGAGGAACGAGGAAGGGCGACTGGACCCTTCAAGCGACCGACTTGCGCCGCCGCAAGGGGTAGTACATCGCTGCTTGCATAATACCACGGCAGGAGCCGTGTTGACGACCACCCTGGACGAATCCGTGCTTGCCGTTTGTTGAAGGCGACCGCCATTGACAGAGATGATTGCACACCACGCTTCAATGCTTGGCCGACGCGTTCAACAGTCGTTGGGCTCTATGTGCATGTGGGCGACGGTACTAATATCGTGGGTGCGCCACCGAGAAGTAGCACGGGCGCGAGGCTAGCGTCGGTGGCTCGGCGTCACCGACCGCATTCAAATCTCGGATTGTGCAAGGCCAATGACAGGGCTGCTATGGCAGACTCGCAGATCGGATTGGCTCACAACATTATAGAACAGCCAATCGGAGGCACGTTGTGGAAGCCCGACCACTTTTGCGGTGCATTGGCAGCTTAGACACCACCGGCGCTCTCTGCCACAAACGTACATGTAGTAAACACGCTCCGCTGCGGGAAGAAGTACACACGAGAGATAGGCGCATGGGCTTTCTTGAAGCGCCCAGAACAAGATTGGCCAGCTCCAAAGCGCGAGAGACACGGATGCTGCATTGTGGATCACAAGACTAGATCTAATCATCTGGTACGAACAAGAGCGTCCTTCGGTCGGTCGGTTGGACCGGATCTTATCTAATGCGTTACTTGACCGATTCGAATGACGGCGGTTCTATGGCGATGAATTTTAGCCAATCGGATGCGTGGGCATTCCGCCGACCGCGTGGCAGATTCGTTTTGCTTGCACGATGGTCGACCTCAAGGTGCTCTCGTTCGTGCTGCTCGTGTTCCAGAACACGCTGCTGGGCATCGTCACCAAGTACTCTCGGGCGACCAAGTACAATGCGACGTCCGCCGTCCTCCTCATCGAGCTCCTCAAGCTCGTGCTCTGCTTCATCATGGTCGTCGTGACCAAAGGCAGCATCGGCGACGCGCTGCGCAGCATCCACCTCGAGGTACTCGGCGACGTCGCGGGCTTCAAGAAGATGGTCTTCCTCGCGCTTCTGTACGCGTTCCAGAACACCGTCGCGCTTCTCTCGTACGACCACGTCGACGTCGCCACGTACAACATTGTCTACCAGCTCAAGATCGTGACGACAGCCTTCTTCATGGTGCTGCTTCTCAAGCGCAGCTTCAACACGGTGCAGTGGATCGCGATGGTGACGCTCATGGTCGGCGTCGCGATCTGCTCGGCGGCCAAAGGCGCGAGCTCGAGCAAGTCGTCGTCCATGTTTGGAGTCTGCATGGTCATCGGCCTTGCCGTCAACTCGGGCGTCGCGGCCGCTTACTTTGAGAAGGTTCTCAAGAGCCACCAGCCGCACAAGACGTTCGCGAACCCGATCGACCCGCTGTGGAAGACCAACATCCAGCTCGCCGCCGTCTCGGTCGCTGCGACATTGTGTGGCGTCGTGTACGCGGCCGCCACGGAGCCGCGCTTCGCCTTCTTCGAGGGCTACAACCCATTCACGTTCGGCGTCGTGCTGCTCCAGGCGTTCGGCGGGCTCATCATCGCCGCGGTCGTGCGCTATTCGGACAACATCGTCAAGAACTTCGGCACCGCGCTCTCTCTCGTACTGAGCTGCCTCCTCTCCAACTACCTCTTTTCTGAGACGCCGGCGCCGGTCTTTTACCTCGGCGTGCTTCTTGTCGTCGGCTCCGTCTTTGTCTATGGCGACAAGCGCTTCCATGGGACACCGACGTCGGTGGCGGGCGCCAAGCCGGCGCACAGCGTTCAGATCGATGTGCACCAGCACAAGTCGTCGATGGATGCCGGCGAAGAAGACGCGTTCTTGAACCAGCGGTCGAAATAAGTTCTTGGTGTGACTGTTGATTTTGATACAGTGCATTTTACAGTGTCTATTTTTGTGGAAAGAGCCTTGCGTCATAAAATCTATCGAAACGGCCGAGCCATGAGCGTGGCGTATGCCAAGCCGTCGCCGGCGCTGCGGCTGGTGCTCGATGCAGTTGCTACGCTACTGCACGCGGTGCACATGCTATCGACGTCGGGCGCATTCTAATGTAGCGATAGGACATGCCGGAGCTCGCGGTGACATGGCACCAAGTGCTCGATATCCTGCAACACGCATGGGACGAGACCGTCGCGACGCTGCGCAGCGTGCCTTTTGATGCAATCACGGGCGCGACGCACGACCGGCTCGTCGCGCTTCTGGAGGACGACCGGTACGACGCGAATGCGGCCATCGCCGAGGGCGGGCCTGCGTGGCGCGACGTCTGCAGCTACCTCGCCGACGTGGCCGCAGCGCTGCAGCAGGCGCACATGACGGACGACACACGGACGCTCGCAACGACAAGCTTTTGCGTCTTTGTCGATGGCAGCCGTACGACTTTGCGAGAGTGCGTGGGCTTGACAGTGCGTAGGCACGGCGCGGCTGGCGTGCGACGTGGCGCTTCAACTGCGTCGGTCGGGGCGCCTCGAGATCTGCCTCATCGACGAGTTCCCGCCCGCGCCCTCCTACAGCGCAGAGTTCGTCCTCAACGGTACGACAGCCCATCTCGCTAGGTCATTAGTGATCAAGAGGTAGATTTCACTCTGTACTGCAAGCAAAACAGTGTGCCAAAGTCGAAGTTAAGCGTGCGGTCGCAGGCCGTGCGCCTCACGCAGCCCAAAGCGCTCCAGCTCATCCAGCTCCAGGACAGCGCCGACTTTCTCGTCCTGGGTGCCATTGGCGCCAAGGGGCCGCAGCCATCCCAGGTCGGTGCCACCGCCATGAGCGTCGTGCTGCAGAGCCCGACATCCATCATCCTCGTCCCTCCGATCGCCGAGGCGGTTCGCATCCAGCAGGCACATGTGTTTGTCGTCGCTGTCGACGTGCATGCGGACGCTGCACGGCTCTGCTTCCACAGCGCGCTCAAGCTGCTCCAGCCACAGGACACGCTCCACGTCGTGCACGTCGCGCCACTTGTCGAGCCGCCCGGCACGACGACCGAGTTTCCCCTCGCGGCGCTGTACCGCGAGAAGCTGTTGGCAGCCCATCTCCAAGGAGACGTCGTCACGCTGCCCGCCGAAAGAGGCTGGACGGTCGCCGAGCACCTGCAGGCGTACGTCGCCAGCCAGCGCGCATCGTACCTTGTCTTTGGGCTGGGCGACCAGACCAAGGCGCGCACCAGCATCGACAACTCGACGGTCGGGAACGTGGCCGCGCGCCTCCTCGCGTCGCCTCGCTGCACGCTCGTCATCTGCAAGCAGTCGGCGCTCACGTAGCGTCGTAATGAAATATCTTCTTGTTCGTGTAAAAATAGCATTGCGATCGGCGAGCATACTTGTACGAGCATGGGCAGCGCGCAGGGCCGACCGACGGCCGTCCGCAGCTCGTCGCCGCGCCGTGCGAGCGTGCTGGCGCCGACGGCCTTTGACCAGCACGCGGTCGTCGACCCGTCGGACGTGCTTTCGTTCACGCTGATTCCCAACACGTCGCCGGTCGTGCTCCTCACGCTGCACAACGTCGGCGCCGAAATGCTCACGTTCGCCGTGCAGACCAAGGCAACGCACGCGCACCGGTTCTTCGCCGACCCGCCACGGGGCATTGTCGGCCCCGGCAAGTGCGCAACAATCGTCGTCGGGCTCAAGCAAGGGTAGGCGCCGCCTTGTCGCCTCGTCGCCTCGAATACAATTATATCTTCATCGATAGCTTTTGCCGCGCCTTCTTGGCGGCCGCCGCCGACGACCGGGCGCACGAGGCGTACAGCATGCTCGTCCACGTGGCCCAGTGGGTGGCGCCGTTGCTCGAGAACGACGCGATCGAGGCCGCGCTGCGCGCCTTCTGGGTCAGCGCCAAGACGTCGACGTCGCCGCCCGTGCACTCCAAGAAGCTTGGTTTGCATTTCCATGTCTTAAAGTACAATGCAATGCTCAACGTCTACGCTTTCGCGAGCTGCTGCTGCGTGTAGCCCCAGAGCAAGATCGCGCCGCTCACGTGCACGTTGAGCGACCGGATGACGCCGAGCTGCGGGATCTCGACGCAGTGGTCGACCGCGTCGAGGATCTCGACGGGAATGCCTTCCTTTTCGTTGCCGAGGACAATGACGACCTTGTCCGGAAACTGATACGTCGTGAGGCTCTCGCTGCTGCTCGTCTGCTCGAGCGCGACGATCGTGTAGCCCTCTCGCTGCATGCGGCGGCAGTACGTGCGGACCTACAGCTCCACGTGCGTCCCATGCAGATACGACGAGTACGCACCATGTCGGGCTTGACTTCTTCCATGGGCACCCACTTGTCGGCCGTGACGCTGATCTGCCGGAAGACAATGTCGTGGGTCATGGCCATGTTCGGGATGAGGAGCTTGGACGCGTTGAAGATCTCGCACGTGCGCGCGAGGCCGGCGACGTTCGGAAGCTTGTCGACAAGACTCGCACACACAATCACCTGCGCAAGAGATGGCAACTCAAGACGAGACTGCGAAGCGTACCGACTGCCGGCGGGCGCGGCGCGCGTTCACCTGCTTCTCGCGCAGGTTCTCGCTCTCGTACATGGCCAGCATGTCTTCGAGGAAGCCGGTCGCGTGCGGATCGATCTTGCGCTGCACGATGCCACTGCTGGCCGCGTCGCTGGCACTCGCTTCGGTCGTTGGCGCCATAGCGAGCCGCTTGGCCTCGGCGACGTTGGTCTGGTACTGGCCGCCATGGGCCTTGTCTTCGTGGAGGAACTGCGCGTAGGCAGCCGAGAGCGTTTCCTTGATCTGGCAGAGCACCGAGATGGGCACGATCTCGTCAAACTCATTGAGCGGGTGGTCGAGGAGCCCTTCGAGGACGCACTCTTTCTCGGGGAGGAAGCTCGCCATCTGGGCGGTTTGGCGCCGGAACATGCGCTTGCACTCCTTGTTGGTGCTGAGGAAGCGCAGCGTCGCCTCGAGGAACGACACTTGCGGCGCCAGCGTTGGGTGCGCGAGAAAGTACGGCAGCAGCGACGTCATGACAAACTGCACAATCGTGCGCGTGTGGCCGTGCGCCGAGTTGAGCCAGGGCGCCATGAGCTGCAGCGTCTTGAGGTGGAGCTCCGGGCTGGACTCGACCGGCAGCCACCGGAGCACCGAGCCCGCAATGAGGAGCGTCGACGCCGACAGCTGCGGCATGAGGTGCATGTCACTTAGGAGCGCGTGCACGTACGGGAACGACGAGGTCGGGAAGAGCACGCAGACGCGCATGCAAAAGATCTCGACGTAATAGCGGATCTGCGGCAGATTGTGGTTGAGAAACGCGCCGCGCCAGAGGTGCGTGTGCACTGCTTGAATCGTGTCGGCGCGGAGGTAGCGAGAGAGAATGCAGAGCGCCTGCCAGCTGCGCAGCTGCTTGCCAAAGCCGTCGCTGTTGATCATCTGCGGCTTGGCAAAGGCCGGCGTGAGCTGCAGGGACAGGAGCTTCTCGATGAGCGCGTCCATGATGGGCGCGCACTCGGTCGGCGCGTCCTCGACGAACGCCAGCGCTACAAACCGCACAAACTTGGTCTTGAGTGGCGCCGCGTCGTCCAGATAAATCATCCTACTTGCGTGTCAAAGCGTATCAAGAAAGTATCAAGTTACCGCTCTTTCTCGTCGACCGACGGCTCCTTGTACAAGAGCAGGCGCACGAGTTCGTCGAGGTACGAGATCGCGCTCTGCGGGTACTGTCGCCAGATGCCGCAGAGGGTCGTCGCGAGGTGGTACATGACGTTGGGGCGCTTCCCCGTCTCGGCCCACGACGCCCACTTATGGAACCACTCCTTGAGCGTCGTCGACGGCTAGATGCGGCCGCATGAGGAGCCGGACGAGATGAGCATCAAAAGGTCGACTACCTCGGCGAGCGTCACGAGGCGCGGCTGAAAAAGACACTGGACAATAACGTACGAGAGCCCGTCGGGCTTGCGGCTGTCCATGTAGGCAGCCCACACCTGGGCAAAGACGAGGTCGATCTGGAGATCTCGTTCCTACCAGACATTTGACTCGTTTTTCCTCTCCATGCAAGACGGAAACCTCGGTGTCTCCGATGGTGCAGACGGTGTAGGGCAGCACGCGGCCAAGGACGCGCGCCATGGCTTCGAGGATGCTCGGGTCGCTCCCAGCCGTCGAGAGACCGTCGAGGACGACGCGGAGCGTCTCGCGGAGCAGCGACGTCTCGAGCGCCCAGCAGGTTTCGAGCACGGACGCGAGAATGCCAAACTTGGCCTTGACGCTCACGTGCACAAGGCTGCCGCGCGCCGGCGTCAATCGCAGCAAGGTCGGCACGAGCGTCATCGGGTCGAAGACGGCCATGGAATCGAGCAGCATGCCTTCGGACGCGACGAGCTCCAGCGCCGAGAGACCCAGCGCCTGCGTTCTCGGCGACGTGCAAGTCAAACCGGCCGCGAGCACGTCGTTGAGCTGTAAAGCAAAGTCGCAGTTGCCGCTTTCCAGCATGCGGTGGAGTGCGAGGTGCGCGACCAAGTACACGACGCTCATTTGCTCGCTGAGCTCGACGTCATGCGTCTCACTCGACGCCAGCCATTCTTCCAGCTGCGCCAGCCCTGGCGGAAATGCCTCCAAGAGACTCTCCGTCACAAGTCCGTGCGGCGACACCTCGTGCAAGGCGCGGAAGAGCTCGCTCAAGTGCAAGACGTCCTTCTTCTCGGTCGCGGCCCAGTGGAGGGGAAGCGGCGTGATCAGGTACAGCCGCGCAAGGTACATGGGCGACGGCGCGGCCGTGTCGTGGGCCAAGTACGAGGCAAACGCCGCGTCAATCGATGCTGCGTACGGGCGCAGATACGCACCAAACTCGGCTTGGTGCGTCGCGAGGTGCGTCGTGGGGAAGAGCGCGAGGACGCGGAGGAGGACGTCGAGGGGCAACGACGGCGTCAGCGCCAAGAGCATGTGCTGCAGAAGGGGCACGAGCACCTTCATCGAGTGCGGGAACGACTGGAGCACGTGGGCTTGCACCATGTAGCGCAGGATCGACCACGTCGGCGCGTCCATCTGCAGCCGGCTGTCGAGGTGCTGGAACGCGCCGAGCATCGCGAGGAGCGCGTCCGGCGAGTTGCCGCGCACGTCGTCGCCAAAGATCGCGCTCTGGACGGCCGTCACGTACGCCAGCGGTGAGAGCTGCGTCGTCCTCGTCGCGTGCTACGGCACCGTATCGAAGGTTAGATTGCATCAAAATGGGGCGGCTACCGTGAGCAAGGCGGCCAGAAACGTAGTCGCGGTCGCTTTCACTTGGTACTTGTCGTGCTTGTACAGAAACGGGTCGTTGAGCGCGAGGAGGAGGTCCTTTGTGAGGAACTCGACGGCGCTGGGCGCGAGCGGTCCCTGGAACGCGTCGGCGTCGACGACCGCCTTCATGCTCTCGACCAGCGTGAGCCGGCGCACGACCGGGTTGTCGTGCTGCCAGCACCGGTTCAAGATGCTTTGGAACCACTCGAACGGCAGCGGGTGCGCAAATAAAAGATCGTCGGTCGTCGCGGCGGCCACGAGCGCCGACGCGAGGAGCGCCGTGATGCGCGGCCAGACCTGCTCGAGGAGGTGCTGCTCCTGGTGGAAGTGGACGACCTCAAAGCACTGGACAAACTCTGTCCACGACGCATGCACGCGCGGCGACTCGTTGGCGAGGCTCACGTGCAGCAAGTGCAGCGCCATCTTGCGCACCATCATGTCGTTGCGGTCCATACCGTGACGCACCTAGCATCATCCTCGTCGTCGTCACAGATCACGTATTGAGCGAACGTACAATGGTGTGGAAGGCTGGCGCGGCAGTGATGCGTGGGGTGCTTGGCGCGACTTGGCAGAGGATTAAGAGCACGTCGTGGAGCTGCATGCGGTCAAGAGCACGTCGTGGAGCTGCATGCGGTCGTGGGCGGCGAAAATGTGCTCCGTGAGCAGCGCAGCGCTGGTTCCGTCGTCGTACGACAGGATCTGCGGCACGATGCAGCCAAACACGGCTTGGCGAAAGTGCTGCGCATAGCAATTCAGTCGACAGATTGATAGATCGAGACGGCTACCGCGTAGTCGGCTTGACACAAGATCGTCTTGCAGACGTCGACGATGCTCCGGACAAAGCCACTGGACACGAGCCGGCGCTGGAAGAGGATCTCGACGACGGGACCGAGCCACGCGGCGTCGACGGTGCCCGCAAAGCTGCTGAGCAGAGTACCTTCGAGATGCCCGAGCCACGGTGCCGAGGACGACGTCGGCATTCCGAGCGCGTACAGCAAGAGACGCAGCACCGGGTCGACGACGGCAGCTGGCGTCGCGTCGCTCGTCAGCAGCGGAAGGCAGATCGTCTGCACGAGCGGTTCCAGCACGCCAAGCACTACAGCAGGCGACACTTCGTGGAGCAGCTCGAGGCTCTGCTCCATGACAGCGCATGCGAAGCGCATGTAGTTGGCGTCCTGGACACGGTCGGCGACCGGCAGCAGGATCGCGAGCAGCGACGCGTCAGCGCACTTGGCCGCGAGATGGTCTATCGAGCGCATGAGCTTCTGCATGTCGAGAGAATAGGTTACCCGAGGCCATCGACGAGACGAGGCCGAGGGCGAGCAGCGCGAGGTCATCGTCGGACGAGACCTGGCGCTTCTGGCAGAGCCCGTACGCAGCTTCGACTTGGGCGACCCACTCCATTCTCAATTGAAGCGGCGATTGGCTGGCCTGGCCAGATTATCCGGTCGAATATATTATCCGGAAGCCAACACAACCAGTTGCCAATCAAACCGCGCGCCAACATCCCCCGACGCAATTGCGATCTAGAAGTGCGAGCTCTTCACGAAAATCTAGTCGACGACGGGTACAAGCCAAGCAGTACAGCTGCGATGTCTGTGCACGAGCCCGATGAAGGCGTCAGCAGTGAAGCCCTACTCGATCAATGCAACGGCCACTCGTTTCCGACCAAGCCTTTGCTCCACACCGATACAACTTATACCAGTGAGGACATAACTCTAGGGGTTCTTCAGTCCAACTCGACCGATCTAAAGCTCGAATTGGTGCAAGGTGCTATGCACGAAGCGACGACTAGAGCGTTGGATTTTTCCCATTTGATTTGAATTTCTCGCTTGTCGGTTGGTGTAACTGGCCCGCGGTTGCGTCTCGTGGGACACGAAGCACGGCGCTGTCGACGAGGACGACGACCTTGCAGCGGAAGAAAGGTCCAACGCTGGTCCGACAGCAGAATCGTCCGGATACGTGTATCCGGTCACCGGATTCCGCGCCGCCAAAAAAGCGAGGCGTGTGACATGGCGATCTTTGGCGGCGCCATCGCAGGAAGAAGAAACATGGACGACGACAGCAGCAGTTCATTTTCAAATTGACAACAGCATGGACAGCTATGTGGTGCAGAAGCGACTCTCGATGGCAGTCTACGGCGACGTGGTGCTCGCCTGTGCGGCGGCCGACAACCCGGTCGCCATCAAGCGCCTCGACGTGGGCGCGACGCTTGGCCACGTGAGCTTCCAGCGCGCGCGGGTGCCGACGACCAAGGACTTCGAGCGCGAACTCGAGGTGTACCAGTATCTCGGCCGCGCCGGTGGCCATGGCAACATTGTGCAGTTTGTCGAAACCTTCGAGCACTTTGGCTACCACCACCTCGTGCTCGAGCACTGCGCGGACGGCAGCCTCGTGAACAAGACTCTCAGCGCCCAGCAGCTTCTTTCGCTCTTCACGCAGCTCCTCGACGCGATCTGCTTTCTGCACGCACACGGCATCGCGCACGGCGACATTGCGCCCTCCAACGTACTCCTCTGCCACGGACAAGCGACGTACAAGCTCTGCGACTTTGGCTCGGCCATCGTGCTCGCCAACTGCACCAGCGACGAGGCCGCGGCGCACCGTCTCCGCGATCTTCAAGCGCTCGGCAGCCTTGTCGCGGCGTATTTGGAGGACGCTGCGTTCACCCACGGGCTCGAGTCGCGGCGGAAGCGACGCGGCAGCGCGCCGGCCCGCGCGTTCTCTCCCAGCTCCTCGAGTTCATTCGCGTCGCGCCGCAGCTGTCGGCGGTGGAACTCCTCGTCCAGTGGCAGCGCAGCTGCAGTAGCGTGCACGAGTCGAGCGTCTGCCGACCGCTGAAAACTCGCCGGGTGTTTATCGACGCCCTCTAAGTTAACCGTTTAGTCCATTACTAGCTTTGTGTACACGTTGCCTCTTACACAGTGCTCATTGCTCTAAATGTGGTCATATGTGGCCAGATACGGCACGTGCCAACTATAGTTGTACACTCGCTTTCTCTCGCTGTACACCTCGCACGTCGACGAGAGGTAGCATTTTGTACTCTCCAAAGCGCGTTCTATCTCTGGACCCAGTCTAAGCGATTTAATTTTTCAGCGTGATTTGGGCAGCTTGGCGATGCCAGTCGGCGAAGGCGACAATACTGTGCTATAACGATTGGTCGAAAATCGATAACAAATTGACCAATAAGACGCGTTTACGCTTCGCGTGGGAATTGCAGCGGCCGCTCGCTTGGGACTCTGTCAGGAGCGCAAGTTCGCACCGATCATGAAGGCGACGCTACGTCGCTTCCCTTCACACATGCGATTGCATTGAGTTTGCCTATGAATATGCAAGTACCTCCGGCGGGCTCTGACGTCAAGCTCTACCTTGTAGCCCTAACCGCATATCCGATCCATCATTGACCCGGCGACGTGTGAAAAAGGTTGGAAGGTAACATGCCCCAACTAATAGTCAAAAGCTACCACGAGAGGGACACGCGTAGAATAGGACAGTGGTCGACTCCATATGCGCGAGGCCGGGGATGTTGGTCTTGTACACTGTTGTTGGTATTTAGGTCGACATGTCGCCGCTGATCGTGCTCACGCACTGCCACTGCTGCTGGTGGTCCTGCTGCCACATGCGCACGGTTCCATCGTCGCCCGTCGAAGCCAGCATCGTGCCCGTGACGTTCCACTGCACCCGCCACACCTCGAACGACCCTACGCGTCCAATAAGATTATCCACCCATCTCACTATACCGTGGTCTTTGATTGCGATGGGCTTGATCTCGCTAAGCTCTTGCCGGTTGCTCGTGAGCTTCATGCGCCAGATGCGGATCGTGCGGTCTTTGCTCGCCGTCGCGAGGTAGTGGCCCGACCTAGCCTCGCCGTGGGCACAGAGTACTACGCCAGATGCACGCGTACCGGCCGAGGTTGGGCGCCCAGCACACATCGTGAATGATGTCCTTGTGTCCAACGAGCTCGGCGAGCACGTGCCACTGCCGCGCCGTCGTGAAGCCCCAGACCTTGGCGACGTTCGAGTTGCCGCCGACGAGGATCATGGGCATGTCGAACCGGTTCGAGTTCCACGAGAGACACGTGGCGCCCTCGGCGTCGGCCATGAAGATTTCCTACACAGCGCCTAAGCCATTGGTATCGAAAGGCAAAGCCCACCGGAAGCGTCCACTCGGACAGGTTCATGGGGTTGGACGCCTCGTACATGCGCACGTAGCCGTCAGCCGACGCGGTTGCCTACGCACGCGTCAGATTGATAGCAGAACGCAGCGTACGAGGCGCAGGCCCAAGTGACGCGGGGCAAACTTGACGTCGTGGACCGACTCGCGCGCGTCCGTGAGCTGCGCCTGCAGCGTCCACGCCGGCGACTGTGCCGCTACTTGTCCTGCGTCCGATAGCATGGGTGTCAGTAGCAGAGATGCTGTGTACCGTCGGCAGCGATGAGGGATGCTTGGGACGGCGGCTTGGCCATGGACTCTTCCCAGACGATGACCGTGCGATCAAAGGAGCACGACGCGACGATCTGGCCGTACTCGGGGTGGGCCCACGTGACTTTCCAGACGCTAGCTTGATGGGCCGTCCACTCGTACTGCAGCTGCCATTGGGCGTCCTTCTCCCAGATCTACGAAGCGAGCGTGAGGCCATGCAGCCAGGCTGGGCGACCTTGATCTTGCGGTCGGACGAGCACGTCGCAAGGCGCTTCCCGTAAAGTCGAAGCTCATGTCGTGGATGAAGTCGCCATGCTGCGATGAGAAGCGCTGGAAGATCTTCTACGCAGCAGGAGCAGCATGAGGCGCCATGCTCATCGGAGCGCGGTCCGACCATCGCGCTGCGCAACCTTGCCAAATGGCCGCGTAATAAAATATCGTATTTTAACATAGCATACTCAAACCAAGAGACGCAGTTTGGGTCTTGTTTCAGATCCAATATCGGGAGCAAGTGACGATGGCCGCCCGACGCGTGCTGGAAGAGACCGAGGTGTACGAGACGCCGGAGGAGGAGGTCTACCCCGTGGCGCCGGTAGCCCACGCGTACGCCCACATGGACGACAGCCTCGCCTCCGAGAGCAACGAGATCGACCGCCATGGCGTGCGCCCGGCGGATGCTTTTCACGCGTTTCTCGGCCGGTCCATGTCGGTGACCAAAGAAGAAGTCAAGGTCGTGCCCCGCGGTGACCTCGAGACGCCGGCCATGCGCTACCACCGCTTGCAGATGGAGATGGGCGAGCTCGAAGGCGATCTGGCCCTCTTGCAGACCATGGCGCAGCACGACCCGGCCGCGCCGTCGTACGCGTCTATGCTGCAAGGGCTCCGAACACTGCAGCAAAACCTGAGCCAAATGGATCTTGGCGCAACGTCCGCGCTGACGCAGAACAGCCAATCCCATGTGCAGCAGCAGCTCTCGACCCAGCTCTTCAAGGACTTGCAGGCCTTCCGCGACCAAGCTGCGACCGGCGAGCCCGCCGACGGCGTCGTCGTACGTAACGTGTGGCACCTCTCTTGCCTCATCGTGCGCTGTGCCTAGTACGAGGTCTACGCTTTGCCGGAAAGCCGCGAACAGAAGCACGCGACCGTGAAGCTTGCGTCCATCGAACAGCGCTTGGTGCAGCTCGAGAAGGCTGTCGGTGGGCCAACTGCGTCGCGCTCGATCCTCCACGCCATCAACGACGTACGTTGCGTTGCATTCAATAAGGTCCGACCAGTTGTTATTATGTAGCTTGAAGGACGCATGGCTCTGCTGCAGCCGGCCGAGCTCGACGCGATCTCATCGCGCGTCTCGGCGCTCCTGCACGACCTCACGGCGGTGAGCAAGCTCCAGGACTTGCACGGCACGGTGCAGCAGTCGATCCTCACGGCCCAAGAGAGCTCTCAACTCAACGTCATGCGCGAAAAGCTTCAGGCACGTGCTTGCTCCTATATTACTCTCATTCCGGGAGAGTGTAGAGTGTGAGTGCGACGGCGGCGGCGCTGCCGGCTCTCGTCGAGAAGCTGACGTCGCTGCGAGCGCTGCACCAAGACGCCAGTACCTTTAGGTAGACGCGTTTGCTTCTCTCTTTCTCATGCGGCGTGTAGCACGCGGCTGCAGACGCTGGAGACGTCGCACGACCATCTCAAGGAGATCCTCAGTACCGACGCCGCCCTGCTTCGCAACGTATGCTCCTTCTTAGCCACAGGATACATCCATATACTTTCTGTACGGTGCTCTAGATGGAAGCCAACTTGGCGGCCAACGTCGCCGTGTTCGCCGCCAACATGGAGTCGCTCGACAAGCGCATGGACGCGCTCCTCCAGAGAAGCAGCTAATCGGTCGTTATCCACAGAGCGCTACTTTCGCGTGTTGTTCTCGTCCGTCTCGTCGAGGTAGTCGTTGAGCGCATCACGGAAGCTCTGAATGCCGACGCCGCGCGGCGACTTGAGGCTCGCAGCCGCAAAGAGGCGGTCGACGACGCCGGGCGGCAGCTTGTAGCCGATGCGGCCAAAGAGGTCGGCGAGGTACTGCTTGGTGCGCGGCTGGCTGAACTCGGTGTCCTTGACGCCAAGCGCCGCGTACGCAGGCGGGTACAAGAGCTCCTGCGCCATGACGTCGTCGCCGTAGTTCTACATCGATGGTGCTTTTCATCGGATAAAAGAAGAGCTGCGTACTTGGGCGTCGGCCAGCGACCGCTTCTGCGGCGGCGCCACGTCGGACCGAATGCTCGGGACGCCAAACGCACGGTCATCCGAGGTCGCGTTCATCCAGCCACGGTTGACGGGCCGCCCGAGGTCGGCGTCGGGCTGCTGCTCTTCGAACGAGTAGCTGCCTTGGATGCAGTCGCCAGCACTCGCAATGTCCTTGGGCAGCTTGACGCCAAAGATATGGTCGTTGTTCTCGCCCAGCGGCTTGGCAAAGCCGAGGTTGCGCGGGCGGCCGAGCTGATCGAATGTCGACTTCATGTCCTCGACGTTCTTGCTCGTGATCGTGAGCTTGGAGACCTGCTCGTCGAGCTCAGGGTTGAGCGCTGATGCGACGCCGCCGTCGTCCTTGACCTTCAACGCGCCGAAGCGCGCCTGCGAGAGCTCAAAGGGCACTTGGTACGATCGGTTCTTTTGCTCGCCGGGGTCGGACGCGCCGTGGCTGCGCTTGTAAAGCGCCTTGGCGTCCGGCGTCTCGTTGAAGGGCGCGGCGTAGATGAGCTCCTTTGTCGTGTCGATGACCTCGGGCGGCGGTGACCCAAAGATCGACTGGTTGTACACGTGGCCGCGCGTATACGACTTGCCGAGCGGCTCGCGCTTCGTGCTCTGGTACACTGCCTCCAGCTTGGCCTGCGTGATGAGTGCGTGGTCCGACGGCAGCCTCGGCGGCATGACATCCTGCATGGGATCGGAAGAAGGGAGGAGAAGAGACGATGACGATGTACCATGACGTGGTCGCTGTCTTTGGTCGTGACGCCGTACTTTTTGTTCATGTCATGGGCCTTCATGTCGTCGACGAGGCCCGAGTGCACGATGCGCGTGCCAGGCTCGGCGAAGTACGACTTGCGGTACTTGCGCATCGCCTCGGGCGTCGTGGGCCGCGCCTCAAAGCTGAGGCAGTGGGCCGTGGACTCGTTGGCATTGGGCGTCTGCTTCTTCCCAGCGTTCTAATCGCAGGTGAGAGCTGCGATCGCGAGACAGCGCTCGTACGGCCGGCAGCGGCTGGCGGCGCTGGCTCATCGCAGTCCCGAGTTGGCGTAACGTTACAGGGCGCTGCCACGACATGCGCCCAATCGAGCGCCTAACCGGATAAATGCCGAATAAAGGCGACGCGTATCCGGATGACGTGGCTAAAGATAGAGCGGTTAAAATAGGCCGCTGGGCGATCGAACGGCCACTCTGCGACATGGGCGACGAGATGAGGTCGGCCGTCGTCATGGCCGCAAGGGCGGGCGCGTCGAGCGTGACGCAGCAGGAGGCGGCCAGCGCGCTGCAGGCGCGGCAGCATCTGCGCCGCCACTTTGGCTACCTCCCGATCCCGATCGCGTTCTACCTCGTCTTTTGTGGCATGGCGCTGACGCACGTGCCGATCGACAGGATGTATCCTGCCGAGACAGGTCTCTACTCGGCCTTGGTGACCACCGGAACGGTAAAGCGACGGCTCTCCTCCACGCGCCTCATGTGTGTGCCTAGGACGCAATTACGACGGCGACGACGATGAAGTATGTCAACATTGGCAGCCAAAGCGACGTCTTTTCGTGGCTCACCGACACGTTCATCCCGACGACGTTCGTCACGACGGACTACAACGGCAAGAACCTCACCAACGCCGACTTCTTCCGGCGCATCCAGCTCTTCCACTCGATCCTTGGCGCCGTCGAGTTCCAAACCACGTCTGCGACCCTCGTCGCGTGCTCGGGCTCGGGCCCGCTCCAGACCATCTACCCGCACTGCCACGACGTGGCCGACGTCGCGACCGAGTACTTTTACCTGGACGCGGGCACGACGGCGACGGAAGCGACGGCGCTCGTCGCCGCCAAGCAAGCCAACGGCACGTGGCTCAGCCTCGCGACGACCAAGCTCGACATGACGCTGGCGACGTACGATGGCGAGCTCAAGATCATGAACATCGTGACGTACGCGCTCTCGTTTGGCCTCGGCGGCTACATCCATCTCGAGAGCGACATTGTGGCCGTGCCCACCGACCCGTACGACGGCGCCGGGCCCATCGTGCTCGACGTCGTCGTCGGCCTCTTCTTCCTCGGGACGCTCCTCGCAGAGGTCCGCCGAGGCCGCCAGCGCCGGCTGCGCGACTTGGTTGGCTTCTGGCACGTCATTGAGTGGGCGTCGCTTGTCGCGATCTGCGTCTTTTACGTGCTCTGGGCCATTCTCTGCTCGTACATCTACGACGGCAACTTTACCATCCTCCTCACGGCCGTCGGCGCCAGCAGCGCGAGCTTCAACCACGGCACGAACGCGACAAGTGCGCGCGCCAACCTCACGCAGCTCACGGGCCGCATCAAGCTCATGGGACAAATCATGACGAGCGTGCGTGTCGTTGCCATGGTCGTCATGCTGCTCCTCGTCGCGCGGTACACGATATGGATGGCGGACATCGTCTTGATACATTGATACAATTAGGATTCTGCGCGCGATGCGCTTCCACCCGAATCTGAACGTGCTCACGTCGACGCTCGCGCGGTCCCTGAGTCTTTTCGGTCCGCTCTTCTGCGTCTACGCGGTCTGCGTCGCGGGTTTCGTCTCGGCGGGACACATCCTCTTTGGCGAGCGCCTCCACGCGTTCTCGACGCTTGGGTACACGCTCGTGACCGTCATCAACCTCTCGTTCGGCCAGTTTGACTTTGCCTCGATCGCCGACATCAACTACTACGTCGCGCTCTTCTACTACTGGAGCACGCTCATCGTGCTCTTCCTCGTGCTCTTCAACCTTATGCTCGCAATCGTCCTCAAGTCGTACGACCAAGTCACCGAGACGCACGCCGCGAACCGGTCCGTCCTCGCCGAAATGAGTGTGCTCGCGCGCCATGCAGTGGGAAGAGACGTGACGGCAGCGCTGCACGGGAAGCTGCAGTCGACCAAGGCGTCCTGGAGCGCAAAAGACGTAGCGACGGACCTCGGCATCTCGGAGGCGCGCGCGCGCCGAGCGATTCGCGACGTCAAGACGCTTGCGCAGGTCGTACGCTCTGTAGTTTCAGCGACTTCAACTCCCGCTAGGTCCAACGCGCGCCAGAAACTACCGCCGTCGAGAGTGACAGTGTTGTCGCGCGCCTCGAGACCAAGATTGACCGCTTGGAAGCGACGATGGCGCAACTGCTCACCCAGCTGCAAGCCACGAGACCGAGTACGCCCGCCGACGTGGACGTGTAATCAATTGCATCGACCTCTACATGATCTTTCGTCGTAGTACAGAGACAGAAGCGCAGAGGAGGAGCAGTGTTAACCCATCACTTATGGTCTTCTGGCAGCTCAAGAGGCCACTATGCAGGCAGCTTACGAGGCAGCAGTCGGGTTGATGAGGTCCTTCATGCGTTCGCTGAGCGCCGTGTACCACTTGTGGTACTCGAAGATGTCGCCCTTGCCTCTCCGGATCTCGACGAGGTGGAGCGAGTCAGCGAGGACGTAGATCTGCACCGTGCAGCCCACCGCGCCCTTGGGCGTCGTGAGCGTCGCCTTGAGCTTAAAGTTGGACGAGTCCGCGTGCACTTCGCAGCCGGCCATGGCCGTCATGTGGTTGGTGATGCTCGTCAGAATCGTCGACGCGTCGAGCGTCGACGTGAACTGCGTGCTGCGCTTGACGCGCTTGTCGTCAAAGGACTGGAACATGCGGTTGAGCGCGATGCCGCCGCACATGTTGATGAGGTCGAACGCGTTCATCATCTTGGGCCCGGCCTCCTTCTTGCGCGTGCTCTCAATGTCGGCGTGCTCCTGGATCGCAGAGTCCAAGTCGGCCTGCGACGGCTTGAGCTTGAACTTTTCGATCGACGGCTTGGAGCGCTCGATCGGCTCGTCGCTCTCGAGGTGGTTGAGCACCGCGCCTGGTTATCCCGAATAAGAACACGTCTCTGAGGATGATGCGTGTACCGTGGGCAGGCGCGCGCTCGAGCTTGTTGGTGTCGTCGAGATACCACTCGTCCTGCTGGATGTCCTGGAGCGTCACACGCGTCTCCGGATCCGGCACGAGGATCTTGTTGAGGAGCGTCTTGACACGCGGCGAGAACCAGCTCGGGTACGAGAACTCGGCCTTTTTGGATCTTCCGGAAGAGCGCCGACATGGTCGGCTCGTCGAACGGAAGGAAGCCCGCGAGGAGCACGTACAAGATGACGCCGATGGACCAGACGTCGGCGGCGCGGCCGTCGTAGCCCTTGTCCGCGAGCACCTCGGGCGCGACGTAGTTTGGCGTGCCGCACGTCGTGTGGAGGAGCGACGCGCGCGAGCCGTCCGTGCCGTCGCCGCCGCCTTCGTACAGCGCGCTCAAGCCGAAATCCGAGATCTTGAGATCCCCATTTTCATCGAGCAAGAGGTTTTCTAGCGCACATGTGGTCAGTGGACGAGAGACACCGGATGATGATGATACCGGGCTTGAGGTCGCGATGGCACACGCCCTGCGAGTGGCAGTATTCGACGCCGTTGACGAGCTGGTGGAAGTAGAACCGGGCCGTCTCCTCGTTGAAGCGGCCTTCGCTCACAATCTTGTCAAAGAGCTCGCCGCCCGTAATGAGCTCGAGCACAATGAAGATCTACACCCACATGATGAGATACTTCACGACAAGGCAGGTCGACCTTGGTGCGACTGGCGAGGACTTCCTTGAGCACGACGACGTGGCGGTGGCGGACCATCTTCATGATCGAGATCTCCTTCTTGATCTGCGCCCCCATGTTCTGCTTTTGGATTTTGTCCTTGTCGAGCACCTTGATGGCGACGCGCTCGTCGGTCTCCGTGTTGACGGCGTACTTGACCCTGCATATCATGAGCCCTCTTCCGCGAGGCCATGGCTACGTACTTGCCGAAGGTACCCTCGCCGAGCGTCTTGCCGATCTCGTACTTGCCAACCTTCTTGACCATGGTCGTTTCGATCGCCGAATGAAGTCGTGGCGTGTGATATCCTCGGCATTAAATCGTTTTATTTTATTATATAGAAACCACCATAGACTCGACGCTTTAGAAGCATTCCTCGTCAGAAGGGGAGGCTAATCGCACGCATCTTGAGGTGCAATGCACTGTGCCAAGGCGGGCAGGCTCAGCGCAGGCAGATCGCCAACGTATGTGTCGCATACGATGAGCACCTACACGGGATTCTGCGCCATGCTAGAGACATCGCCGCGCCAGTCGCTGCCACGTTGGGCGGCGAGTTGCGTGCGTGTAGCCTCAACCCATCCCTTTCCATTACAGAGTCTGCTTTTATTAAAAACCGCTGGAACCAGACAGCTCCCTCAGAACAACGTGTGCATCTTGTTTCAAGACACAGCTGAATGTGTAATCCAGATACGTTCGTAAAAGAGAAAAGGCAAAACCTTGTTATGAGAGAGCTTCTCGTTGAGCAACTGGATCGCGTTGGGTCTGTACGTGGCCAATCACACGAAGGCGAGTGAAGCGAAATGATGGCCCGAGCGACGACCGTGGGGCTGGTCGGGCTACGAAGCAGCGGGTGGCGCCAGGTCCGCCACGTGCACCAGCGCCAGTTCAAGTCCTACGAGGCGCTCCGGGCCGACTTTCACGAGTGGCTCAAGAAGGAGGTCAAGCTCGTCTCGCTCTTCCTCGCGACAGGCCTCTCGGTGGTCTTTGCCTACGCCTACCGCGACAACTCGCCCGTGCGGCAAATGCAGTACATCTTGGCCGAGGCCACGGCGGTGGCCGAAGGCGGCGACAAGCAGCGCGCGCGCCAGCTCACCCAGCGCGCCTACGCGATCGCAGGCTCCGTGAGCGACCGCGGTACGCTAGTTGCTGCAGCATCCGCACCTCTGCACGCTCGACTACTTAGAGCCCCATCTGTACGAGCTTGCATTTTCGATTGCCGCGCAGTACGAGGCAGCGAGGCAGTTTGACATGGCCAAAAAGTTCTACCACGAAGTACTCGGTCAGCCTGCGCATCGCAATTGACGACCACGTGTAGGCGATGACGCATGCGGCGCACGCCAAGCACGCGGCCAAGCACGTCGGTTTGTACCGCATGGTAACGCTGGACCGCATCGCCGAGTGCTGCCACAACCTGTACGCGACGCTACCACTGGCGACAGCATTACGCTGACGCGGCTGTAGGGGCGATGTGTCTGGGGCTGCAACGTATTACCAGCGGGCGCTGGACATTTACGAGAAGGATCGGGGCACCGCAAAGGACCAGATGGACGCCGAGGTCTGCGGTATCTGGTTCAACTATGGTACACCTCTGACTCGATGTTGAAATCGCCTCATGGAATGCAGCGCGCCTGTGCATGGACAGCCGCCAGTACACCGAGGGCGGCCGCCTTCTCCAGAAAGCTACCCAGTGCGCGCGCGAGAACGATCTCCCAGAAGACAAGCGCGCGCAGATTCACGAGCTTGCGGCGCAACTCGGCGCCGCGCCCCGTCCGACGTTCAACGCGCTCGTCGGAGGCGGCGTCGACATTTAGCTCACCAGAACAAAACTCTCTTGCGATTAAAACCACTTGGTCTTACGCGTCGGGCTGGAGGGCATTTCGGAGGCGGTCAATGACGCCCGATGACGTCGCTTGGTCGAGGATCATGGCCACGGTGCGGCCCTTGCCGTCGACTGCGTTGACGTCGGCGCCGGCGGCCACGAGCGTCTTGACAGCGCCGGCACTCGCCATCTCGACGGCGTAGTGCAGCGCGGTCTTGCCCTCGGGGCACACGGCGTTTAGCTCGTCCATTGTCAAATACGGAATGAGCGCGTTGAGGTACTCGGACTTGTTCCAGGACGCAAACTTGTGCAGCGCCGTGAGGCCGTAGGCGTCGGCGCCGGCGGGGTTGACGCCGTCCTTGGAGAGAAGTTTGGTCTTCGTAAGGTGGAGGCGAATTTCCTCGAGGTCGCCGGGAAAGTCGATGAGCTTGCTCAGCGGCCGGCGCTCGTCGTCCGAGTTGGTCGTGGTGCGACCCGAGAACGTCGTGCCTTCGTCGGCCTTGAACATGGTCTTGAGCACCGTGGTCGTCTTCTTGAGCTTGACCTGGCCGAGGCCACCGAGGCCAAAGATCGACACCTTCTTCGTGATGTCGTTGACGCTCGGCGGCGGCGGCATGGTTTCGGCACGGTATGCAGCGCTAATGGCCTGGACTTTCTCCAACTCGGCCTCGGAGCAGCGGCTGCGGTCGGCGAGGTACTCGTTGAACGTGGCGACGATCGGGTTCTCGGCGTTGTCGTGGCTCACGTCCTTCGGGCCGCGGTTCCACTTGTCCGTCACAGAGAGAAGCGCGCCGTTGGCAAGGAGCACGTTGGCCGTCTTGGCAGCGCTCTTGTCGCCCGAGCCCGCGCAGAGGTGCAGCGGCGTCTCCCCGTACGCGTTTTGGGCGTTGATGTCGACGCGGCCATCGGCATGGAGGAGCGCGATGGCTTCCAGCGATGCATAGAGAGCGGCCATGTGCATGCCCGTGTCGTTGTTCTTGGACGTCTGGCGCACGTCGACGCGCGGGTCCGCGAGCAAGATCGCGAGCAGCTTGGCGTCGTCGTTGAGGCAAGCGTAGTGGAAGGCCGACTTGCCGTCCTTGTCAACCTTGTTGATGATCTCAGCCGTCAGCTCCGTCGAGGCCAAGAGGGCCTTGACCTCGTCCAGGTCGCCGCAGGCAGCAGCATCGACGAACGCGCTCTCGGCCGACATGGGTCCCACAATCAAATTTGAAGATTGCCCCTCCGTGTTTACTTCACGTGTTGTATATGTTCGTGTTTACTACACCTGCTTCATCAATGCTGATACATGTAGCATGCCTACACCACTCAACAGTTTAAAACGCACTGCAAGACAGCATACCAGACAGCGCATGTGATGTGGGAGGTAGTCCATTTACTTGGCCGATTGCGGTAGCGACCATGGAGCTCACGATCGTGTACGTGCATGGCCTGGCGCAGGGCAGGCGCTCATGCGGCGAGTGGCTCGTAGCAACATGGTGGGCAGTGGATCCTTGGAGAACAAGTTCGTGCTCTCGGAGGTCGTGGCCAAGACGGGCAAGCGCGCCGAGCTCATCCCGAAGAAGAACTGCGTGCTCTTGAAGCTCACGAACCCGCGCGCGTCGGCCATGCTCTTCCCATCTGGAAAGGTACGAGCACTGACCTTGATCAATCTGTACCTAGCATCGTCCTATGCAGCTGGTCGTGACGGGCGCCAGCACCGAGGACATGCTCAAGGCCGCGGCGCAGAAGTGCACGCAGATCCTCAAGAGCCTCAAGTTCCACGTCGGCCTCATGCACTTCCGCCTCGAGAACGTCATTGGCCGCGCCGACGCCAACTTTCGCATCCTCCTCGAGGAGCTCTCGCTCGCCCACCCCGACATCACGACGGTACGCTAGTTGCCTGTCCCTCCTCATGCATCGTGTTGCAGTACGAGCCCGAGCTATACCCGGCGCTCATCTACCGCATGCCACGGCCAAAGGTGCACATTCTCATCTTCGTCAGGTACGCTCCATCGTCTCTCTGCGTCCTGCGCCGATGCCTTCTTTCCTAGCGGCAAAGTCGTCTTTACCGGTTCGCGGGACGCCCGGGACCTGCGCGAGGCCTGCTACCTCATTTCGCCTGTACGCACTCCTGCGTTGACGGGAAGTAACGCGACGGAACGTAGATCCTCGAGCAATTCCGCGACGCCAAGCTGCCAAACGCAGACCACCACATTGGCCAGGCCTTTGAGACGGCGACGCCCCGCGACTAATACACCCCTTCTTCATGCGTGCAGCGGATGTAGCCTTGAAGCCGCCTCGAAAGTCTGAGCTCGAAGCTGTGAATCACACTGGTTGCTGCAGGGTGGAGGGTAAACGTGTGCAAGGGTCTCGGTGTTTCTGGGGCGACCTTAGCGCGTCGAGAACTTTTGGGACATGGAGCCTTTCGTGTGGATGCACGAGATGGCTTCGGCGAGGAAGGGTGCGACGCTCAGCGTCACGATCTTGTCCGACTTGGCGGCCTCGAGCGACTCGGGAATCGTGTTGGTCGTCACGAGCAAGTCGAGGTCGGGGCACGCGTTCACGTCATCGACCGCCTACCATCCGAATGGGTACCTAGAACGTCTGGAGGCAGGAATACCGTCGACGAGTACCGACCATGGACGCAGAACGCGCTCACAGACGTCGCGCCTTGGCTTTTCAGGAGCTTGGCCACGTCAATCAAGGTCGAGCCTACGAATGCGATCGTATCCTCTGGCTCATGCACGGACTGTGACCGCACCCGTGTCGATGAGGTTGTCGACGACGATGCAGTCCTTGCCCTTGACGTCGCCGACGACCTCGCCGGGCTTGGACCGGTCGACGTGGTGCTTCTTGACGACAATGGCCATTGGAAGACCTACGAGATGGTGCTGAGAAATGCTGCTGCAGGCGAATCCGAGAGTACTCTCGTCGTAGGTGCGCGAGAGAATGTCGCGGAAGATGACCGACTTGGGCACGGCGGACGCGTGCGGCGCAATCACGCACGGATTCGCGAGCTGGAGCTCCGAAAAGTACACGGACCCGATCGGCGACGCGCCGAGGTTGTCGACGGGAATCGTGGGCTTGAAGAAGCCTTCGATCTGCGCGCTGTGGAGATCGACCGTCACGACGTGGTCGACGCCCATCTCTTCGAGCATATGGGCAATGTCCTACGAGGAGGTGAGCTGTCGCCGACGATACGCTTCGTACGGCCGCCGCAATCGGTTCGCGGCCCTTGATCATGTCCTGCCGCGCGTAGCCGTAGAACGGGATGACGGCGACGATGGTCTTGGCGGACGCGCGACGCATGGCGGCGATCGAGAGGAGCAGCTCCATGATGCGGTCGACCGTGATCGTCGAGCAGACGATGTAGACCTTCTGGCCGCGCACGTTGGCGTTGACCGCGATGCTCGTTTCGCCGTCCGCAAACTGGTTGACGGCCATCGGGCTCAGCTCGACGCCCAAGTAGTCGGCGATCTCGTCCGCGATCGGCGTCTCGCCGCACTTGAAGAGCTTGACCGACTTGGCAATGTCCGGGTGCATCTTGCCTCGGTAAAAGTGCCAGCGCTTGGTCGTGAGCGTCTTGCTCTCGGTCGGCGACGGCGTCGTCAGGAGGCCCAGACCCATGCCGAGGGCCATGGCGGCGCCGCCGAGGGCCCGGCGCGACGCTCGAGTTGCTGCCATCATCGTGTTGGTGTGCTTTGGCAACTGTGCGATGGCGAGTGTTGATATTGAACCTCTACAACTCGATGGAATATCAAAGGACGAGAGGTTGCGATCCTCTCAGCGCTTCGAGGCAGCAAAGGACCATCCTGCTTCCGCTGGTTGCTGGCGCTCCTCGCACGATGGACGCTATCTGCTACGTGTGCATGTCATCGACGCGGGGCCGGCCACGCGCCGATCATGCTCCGTCCCACTCTTGCCGTCCATCGGTCGTAGCGTTCTCACACCAATTGCGGCTGTAGATTGAAAAAAGTGTATTTAGTGTCATGACAGGCATCAGATCTTATTAGAACGGGTTCGAGCTCGGCTTTTCAATGTAGACCCAAAGCGTGATGAACATGAGACCGAACGCGATCATGGACTGGCCGACAAAGTTGCCTTGGTCCATGAGGCTGTGGTAGCTCCACCCAAAGTACTCTTGGATCGACATGCGCACGCTCGGCCCGAGCTTGGACGCGATGAAGATGCCCATCATCATGGACGCCACGAGGAGCGACGCGCCGTGGGACGTCTGGAGCGAGTTGTACGTCGCGAAGAACCGGATGAGCGCCCAGATGACGCCAAAGACGTGCGCGAAGAACATAATGACGTTCGGGAGCTCGGTCGTCGACCCGCGCGACGAGCTGCCCGTCACAAACCACGTCGGCTCGCGGCCCGTGAGCTTCCACCAAAAGGTCTCGAAGACTGCCGATGTGTGCGTGAAGGCGTAGGCGAACCAGGCCTCTTGGGACCGGACGACGTCGTTGTTCTCGACCGTGCGGTTGCTCATGGCCGAGAGCATACCTTGGATGAGGAGCTTGGGCACGAGCGCGTAGAGGAGGCGGAGGCCGGCCATGTAGATGGGTGCGTAGCCCGTGAAGAGGAAGTAGAGCGTGATGTAGTAGAAGAGCACGGCGCAGATCGACCCGATCGGGTAGACGGTCGAGTTGATGTAAAACACCGTGCGCATGAAGCCGTGCTTCTTGGGCTTCGGGGGCACTTGGCACACGGGGCGCTGCCAGTCCGGGTCAAAGTAATTCTTCTTCTTGTTCATGAGCATGATCTGGAAGTTGCCTTTGGCCCAGCGCTTGCGCTGTGCGAGGGACGACGCGACGTTGTCGGGCACGAGGCCTTCGGCAAGACGGATGCGCTCCGACATTTCGCCTTCAAAGTCCTTGCGGAAGTAGAGACCCTTCCAGCCCATGCCACAGAGCTGCATGCCCGTGTAGCAGTCTTCCGTGAGCGAGCCGTACTGAATGCCGCCGATCGAGTCGAGCGCTTCGCGGCGGAAGATGGCGTTCGTGCCGGCGAACGATGCGCACTCGTACCCGTCCTGCCCGGTTTGGATCGCGTCGTAGAACGTCGCGTTGCGATGGCCGAGCGGGTCACCAATCTGGAACTGGACGCAGTCGCGAAAGTACTGGGGCGTCTGCACGAAGCCGACCGCGTTGTCGCGGACCTCGTCCGAGTAGTTGGAGTTGGCCGTGAGCCCGTCCTCGAGGGTCTCGGCCGAGTGGCACTTCTTGCAGACGCCGTACTTGTCGACGTTGTGGCCGCACGAGACGCACTTGAGCGTCTTCTCGCCCTTACTGTGCTTCTCCGTCATCGTGCCGTTGACCTGGCGGCGGTGCAGCGCCGACGCCGTGTGCATCGAGTTCTCAAAGCACTGCTGCGAGCAGTAGCTCATCTGCTCCTCCGGGACACTTGCGATCTTGCACGACGCGCAGCACATGCGCGCAATGTTGTTGCAGCCGGACGTGCAGCACGTGTATTTCACCTTGCCCATGCGCTCTTCCGAGTCGAAGAAGAAGGGCAGCGTCGCCAGCAGAAACTTGGGGTGCGGCTGCATGTCGTTGTCGAGGATGAGGCAGTAGCGGCCGATCGCGCCCTCGTTGTAGCACGCGTTGTTGATGTTGCCGGCCTTGGAGTAGTGCGTCGGCGGCTTGACGCGACCCACAAATGTCACGTGCGGGAGGCCGCTGTACTTGTAGTCGTCGCGGAACGAGCCGAGCGAGCAGTCGATGCGGGGCACGACGCGCGGGCGCGACGCCGACGGGAGGTTGGCCGACGAGTGCAGCTTACGCCACGCGTACACCTCGAGCTCCTCGTTCGGGTCGCACACACGGTCGTACATGAACTGCGCCACCTCTTGGCGGAGGTCGCCGGCCTTCTCGATGACGCCTTTGTTGAGCTCAATGTCGGGCACCGGGTTGCCCTTAGTAAACTTGGTCTTGCAGTAGCCGTCGTCGAGGATGTAGATCTGGAGCAAGTGCGGCGGGTACTGGATGTTCATGCACGCCGCGAGCGTGTCGATGGTCTCGTCGGCCGGCTCCGAGTAGTGGCAGATGAAGATGTCGACGCGCGGCCACTGTTCGTCCGGCAGCTTGGGTTCAAACTCGTCGAGGTAGTGCGCACCGCGGCGGACCGGCTTCCACATGCCGAGGTAGTAGATCGCACCGAGAACAAAGCTGATGAGCTCGGCGACGAGGAGGCAAAAGTACGAGACCCACTGCGGAATCGACGGCGAGGCAAAGCACGCGACGGTCTCGACGCCGGCGAGCTCGAGCCACCACTTGGGCGGCGTAAAGACGCCGTTGAAGGGCTTGGACTCGCAGTGCAACTTGTCCATGGTCTGGCTCAAGATCGTCGAGCAGTCGACAGTCAGTCGCGCTTGGTCGCATGGCTGCAGGCCGACGACAAACCAAAAGACGAGACCCGCGATCTCGACGAGACCGGCGAGAAGGAACATAAAGTAGAGGAAGCGGTATGTCGCGAGGCCCTTCATGACGTACTTGCGCACGTTCGGAAGGCTGCGCTCGATGACGTTGCCGGCGCCGTTCTGCACGATGCTGTTCTCGACGCCCGAGAACCACATGCGGTACTCCTCGTCCGTCTCGGGGCAAAGCACCCAGAGGCGGCGCTTCGTATGGATCTCAAAACCCTTGGTTGGCAGATCCAAGCGCGCGGACGGGCGGAGCTGGAGCGCGTCCTTGAGCTCAATCGCGCCGACCACGAGCTCCGAGTTGCGCGTCTGAAAGTACCGGCGGCAGTCGCCGTCGTTCTGGAAGTAGTAGATCTTGGCCTTCTCGAGCGCAAAGTAGCGCCTGCGCCAGCTCTTGTGGATCGGGCCCTTGAGCGCGCGCTTGCCCTGCTTGTGCATGTAGCCATGCACCGAGATGACGTTGCTGTCGCCGCTGGCGGTCGACGACGGCGGGGTCCCCGCCGCTGCGTTGCGCTCCGTGACCTTCATGGGCGGGACATACGAGTAGCGCGGGTCGTCTGCGTTCGAGTCGTGGTGGCGCATGGGCTTGTCGAGGCGGACAAACTCGGTCTCGGCGTGGCCGTCCGACCGCATCGGCGTCCCTTGCAGCAGTCGCGAGTCCGTCGCCATGCTCCAATCTGCAAATGAGCGCAGTTTTTTTGCTTTGAAATTTCCAACAAAAGTTGGGACAGCCCTGATTGGTTACTCACTGTACATCTTCGATTAAAATATCTTGGTCTTTGTATCCGACGCCCAACAATCGAAGAAGAGATCCAGCTGGCAACCCGATCACGTGGAGAGTGAGTCGATTTTATTCCCAGTTTGTATGCGGAGAGGAGAGTCGAAAATCGAAGGATCCCCGCCTTTTTCGAGGGATCGCGCGACTTTTACGAGGAGCGGTGGAAGTTTAGCGCGCGAGAAAAGAGTTAGCGAGCTCTACAAGACTTACTACGAGAGCTCGAAGCGTACAAACGAGAGTCTATCCTCGCGGGCGAAGAGAGGGTCAGTACGTCGAGCTGTCGCACGGGTGGGACTGCGCTACTACTACGTGCCACCCGTGGGTGCGGCCTAGGTCAGGCGATGTCGCTCCCGACGAGAT